AAGATGGCACTACGATCTTAGTTTGGAGTGCGTTGTGCCTCTCAGATGGCACTACGATCTTAGTTTGGCGCGCGTCTTGGGTCGCGTCTCGCTACACTCTGTGCGCCTCGCACATCGACGCAGCCTCGCTTTCCGTGCTCTTTATAGCGTTCTTTACCACTGTGCCATATGCCACTGTGTACCAAGGCTGGACGATTTCGTTTTCGAACGCAAAAAGGTCGATCGCGCGGCCTTTTGATGCTGCACCGGATATCCGGATAATGTGGCTAATAACACGCAAGTTGTCGCGGTGCGTTCCCGCTTGCGATTTGATGGCCAACTTCGGTCAAAATGCAAAATGGCTCATACGTCGTAGAGTGATTAAGTTTGCTTTGTATATCACGGAGCACCAAGTTGCACCATCGTGCGCGGCCTACAGCGCTCGACACTCGTGTCGAAAGTGATCCCGAATTGCACCATTTGCGGCATCACGAGAGACTTTTACATGGCACACGCCATTTGCAAGGAAGTATACCACTCTTTATGGTTTGAAGTCCTCTCTCCTAGTTCTCGTAAAGGCTGCACCGTTGAAGCTTGGTACTTCGCTCATTTTGAACGGCGTTGGCGTCCCGGCGCTTGCTTCGTATGCTGGCGAGTATGGTGTCCACGGCAGCCACCGTACAAATGTCTTCAGCCACCTCGCGCCGCTTGGTAAGGTAGCGGTCGACATCGAAGCGAGAGAGACACCCACGTTGCTCTACTCTCTCGATCGAGTCTTGTCTGTTCGACTCGGAGCCCTGGCTCTTGAGAGCTCGGAGCCGCCTTGGATGCGCTTGCACGACACCGCGAAGCACGTGGCAGAGCGTAAGGAGGCGGCCGACGCGACAACTCATCACACCGTCGTTCAGGAATTCACGGAACATCTTGCAATCGTTGCAGTGCGTTGGATCAAGAACAATGTCGCGCATGACGAAATCGTTCGAAGCGGGCAGCGGAGCAGCACCGCGGGCGTACCCGAGCAGCGCCATGAACTGCGTCGCCAAGTGCGTGAGAAGAACTTTCTTGTGCGGCGCAACGTCGTAGAGCGTCTGCATGAATGGGAAGAGAAGGCAGCGGTACCGTATCAAGGCGCTGTCGAGAATCTCTGCGTCGGGCGGTGGCAGCTGCGCCACCCACGCGGCCGCAAACGCCGAGATCGATGCGGGCGACACATGTGGTGACGCCCGCGGTGGAACTCAAACACAGTGCGAGGGGAGAGCCGTCTCCCGGAAAGCAGGCAGTTGTATTGAGTTACTCCGCAGAGCAAAAGATGAAGCGAGCTTCGGCTTGGGCACTCGAAGAGGCGCTGGTCTGAAGCGTCGCTCCTAACCTATGGTTCTAAGTATGTGATATCTAGTTGGAGATAGTTATATCTTCCAACTAGTCGCCCCTTCCCCTAACGGCTTCTCCAGCCATCCACGACCAACCTGGTCGTGTCCTGGCTTGCGTTGGTTGGAGCATGGGTTGCCCCAATCGTCCAGACACAACACACAACAGCCAGCGCTTCAAGCGCCGCCACGTTTGGTTGCTCAAGAGACTCGTTCCGCGGGTTGCCGACGGCAATGGCCATCAATTTCTCCTGCAGCTTCGACACGGCGCCCATAATTTTGGGCACCAAAAGCGACCGTAGCTGCGGCGACGGTGCTGGGTCCAGCCTACGCAGTAGGTGTGAGGTACCCGCGAGAGCTGCCAAGTCCCAGAGCTGCCAGAGACTGTCCAGGCGCGTGGCCGTCACGTGGACCAGCAGCTCTTGGGTCGAAGAGCGCTCTGTCAAGCAGCGTCAATGTGCCGGTGGCGCGGGTAGCAGAACGCGTCAACGGCCACAATCATGGCCGGCGGCAAGCGAGCGCTGAGCCACTTGCCGGAAGGTAGATTCGGCGCGTGCTCGTCCACGTACCAGTCGAGGAGGATGCAATTTGATGCAAACTCGATTGTGTTCGTTGGCTCGCTGCTCTTGAGGCGCGGCAAGAGAGCGTGCCAGCTGGCTTTGAGAAACTCGCGAGCAAAGGGCTGGGCAAGCGGCGGGCAGACCGGGTCGAGCGCGACACCCGCGAGGCTCGAGAGCAGCTGCATCGCGTCTGAAACGCGCCAGCGCGCGAGAAGACCAGAAAAGGCCATTTGCAGCACGGACCAGCCACACTGAAGCAAGCACGCATGGACATATGTCGCCACGTCGGTGATCGTCGTGACGGACGAGACCACGATGACGTCGCGGACGAAGCGTGTGACGAGGTCCATGGCGTGGATCTGGAGCAAAAGACGACCAAATATACTTGCGTAGCGAGCATCAGACGTCGCCTTGGACGTTGTTGTGTGACGCTCTTGCCGATGGAGCTCAAAGAGCGGGAGAATGAGCGCCACCAGGTCGCGGGCGGTGGCGCAACCGACCATGTCGGCGTCGGTCTGGTCGTCGACGGTGGCTTGGAGCAGCGAAAGAACTGTGTTGAAGCCGAGGAGGAACACGCGACAGTGCTTGGGCCAGAAGAGAACCGCTTTGGCGGGACACGGGTAGTCATCGCGGTGGTACATGCGGTGCCGTGCGGGAAAGGCGTCCGCGTTCAAGCCTATGAGGCCATCAGCATGTAGCGCACACGCCGGGTGCAAAACGAAGCGGTCGACGCGGTTTTCGAACGGAGGCAGAGTCGGCGAGACCACGTCGCTGTCCATACTATCGACCTGCGGCTCGGACAGGAACCGCCTTTGAAAGGAGACGAGTGCGACGTCAAACACCCCCGTAGCGACAAGCACGTCCACCAGCGTCGTGTCGATCGCGTCGAGCGCGGCGAACGAGAGCTCGTTGCCTAGCGTCTCGTCTTGGATGCACGCAATGTATTCGAGTGGCGAGGCTTGTGCGAGTCGAGAAAGCGCCGCGATCGCCGCTTCCTGCGTCGGGCGAGCGACTGGGCGCCTGATCACGAGGCTGTAGACGAGGACAACGCTCGTGATGGGGGCCGACGAGAGCTTTGTGTCGAAAAGCGTCACAGTGATGCGCGCTGCCTCAGGCGCCACGGCCTTCTGACGCTTCTGGTCGGCGCTGTGCGGATACGACAGGTCGCCACCTCCATACGCTGACGGCAGTTCGATGAGGAGCGAGCCAAAATTGTTGTCCGAGCGAGGAGCCTGAAGCGCCGCGGCTGACCCGACGTCGTCCACCACGAGGTGTGAGAAAACAGCGCGCGTGTGCCATGCGTTTGACCAGCCACCGATCTTGTTGCGGAGGACCTCGAATTGATCGCGGACGAGAAATTTGGACCACGCCGCATCGTTGAGGATACAAAGCTTGTCGGCGGGAACGACACCATTGTCGCCAGCCAGCGCTAGCAGGTGTCGCGCTTGGTGGTCTGGCAGCGGCCACGAGAGGAGTCCGCAGATGCCACCGATGCAGATCTGCGGCCACTCGCCCCTCGGGCTGAGCGTGTCGTGGTACACGTCGCTAAAGCGCTTGATCTTATGCGGGTCCGGATACGACCCAGATCCCACGCGATAGAATGACCTTGGACAGCATCGCGATATAATGGTACGTGAATGGGGTTGGACGCCAGGTTTCGGTGCCCCAAGACGCGAAGCCAAGCACGGGAAATTATCCCTGTCAAGTCACGAGCTAAAATTAGAGCGATGGACGTGGTCGAGCACAACCTGGCGCTGCGCGAGCTCTGGTGCGAAGCAGACTGCGATGAGATCTTATGTCCAGGTCTGCTTAGGAAGCGCAAGGGCGAGTATGGGCTGCATTTTGTTCTCGACGGTACGCGAGGTCGCACGAGGTCGTCCGACTGATGCTGGCCTGCTAGAAATTCACACTCTGCGGCAACTCGGGCTCGTTTCGGACGACGAATACATGCGTACGTCGTTCATGATCTCTTTTCGTCTAAGGTCTTGTAGGTCTCATGCGCCAGACGCCCGCCACTACGCCGACGAAATCGTTGCCCGATGAGCTACAAGCGGCGCTCGACGACCGCATCTCGGCCCTCTTGGACGCGCAAACGTACTTTCCGCTCGACCAGATCCAGGCGGTGCTCGAAAGCGAGTTCCAGATCTCACTTTTGAGCCACAAGGAGTGGCTCCAGCACACGATCTTTCGCCAGAGCAAGGTCAAGCTCCAGAAAATCAACCACGCGGCCGCCCTCGCCCGTGCCTCCGCCGGCGCGTCCGTGCTCCAAGCTGCGTACCGGCGCCACCGCGTGTCATTTCTACACAATGCGCGCGCCCGTCGAACCGCAGCGCTGGAGGCCGCGAACAACGTTGCGCGTCGGGCCATCGACAACTACGCGCTCGACGTCATCGGCCGCTTCCTCCTGCGGCGCATGTGGCGACAGCGCTTTCGCAAAGCCTTGCGAATGTGGCGCGACGACGCGAGCCGAGCCGCGAAAGCAGAACTGCTGCGGCGTACACGAGCAGCTCACACCCTCACGAGGCAGCTGCCAACGATGTTGCTCGACTGCAAGAAACACCGAGCGCTCCATCTTCAGCGACAGCAGCAGCAGAGTGCGGCAGCGACGAGGATCCAAACACGCGTGCGTTGGCGCCTCCAACAAGCAAGGCGCACGCGTGCACAGCAGCAGATTGCGCGCCTCTGCGTACGTTCTTGGCAGCGGCGCCAGCTATCTCGCGCCAAGACGGCGGTGAGCACGTGGCTATTGTCTTGCATCCTGCGTCGTCGATACCGCTGCCGGTTGCAACGACAGGCTGCGAGTGCGAGTCTGTTGCAGCGCTGGCTCCGTCGCGAGCTTCTCAAGCGACGCACTGTGCGAGCTGTTGACTGTCTCTGCTGTTGGCTGCGCGCTCTGCAGCAATCGCGGAGGCTGTGTGGCTATGCGCGCATGCGTCGGCGACTCGGGTTGGAAGTGCGCAGGGCCCGCATAATACAGACCGCCTATCGATCGTACGTCCAGCGTCGCCAGCGGCGTACCACAGCCGCAGCTATGATTCAGTGCCTTGTACGGCGCTGGCTTGAGCACCGCGCCGCGCGCCTGGCTTGCCTCTTGATACACATCACGCGTCGGGTACGACGGCGTCGGTCCCAGGTTGCAGCTCGACGCGAACGAGCGGCTAAAGCACTGCAGCGTAGCGTTCGCAGTCTGCTACGCCGGCGCTACGTGCAGCGCGAGCGAGCGCTCCAGATCGTGCGGCGATTTTGCTGCCGCGTTCTGGCGCTCCGGCGAGCCGAGGCCGCGCGAAGAAAGCTCTCGTCCGGGCTCGTGCCCATGCGGCCGCGCACCAAGAAGCCCCACACGCTGCCCGCCGTGACGCGCAGTGCAGTGGTCGCACCGGCGCTTCCGCCCGTGAAGCTCATCAAGCGCTACGACAGGATCTGCTCGACGTGCGCGAGCCCGCACCACACCCAGTGCCGGCGACCGTCGCTTTCGTCGCCGATGAAGTCGTGGATCGCCGTGCCGACACTGTACCCGACCAAACCCTCTCGACCCAAGCAGAGCAACCAAGAGGCGAGCGCCGAGCGTCCCCAGCCGACCAAACCGTCGACTGTGCACCTGCCAGCGCTCCGAAGCGGCGTCCCGCGGCCCATGAAGCGTGCTGTTTCGCAGTTGTAGTGTTTCGATATATTAGCAAAAAAACTATGCTTTTTCGGCCTCGGACTTTTCGCTCGTGACGTTGATAAGAACAAAGCCGGCAATGACAAAGACGGACGCAAAGACGGTCACGAGCGTCGGCGAGACGCTGTGGAAGATAAAATCCGAGACGATCGCAAAGGGCACCGTGAGCGAGAGTCCGATCGTCGCGACTGTCGGCGTCGTGAAGAGCATGGCGAGCGCCCAGAGGTAGTCGCTCAGCACGTTGTCAAAGAGGCCCTTGATGGTGAGGAGCCCGAGGATCTCGCCATTGAGCGCCGAGAGGTTCTCGAGCTGCGTCCAGTGCAGTAGGAGCACGAGCGGTAACAAGCCAATAAAGTTGAGGAGGCCGAGAAGCCCAAAGAAGAGGCCGAGGCTCACCTTGCCTTCGTCCGGGATGAGGCGCCGGATCGCAGTCGTGTACACGCCATACATGAAGGCCGCAAAGACCGCGAGGAGGTCGCCCCACACGTTGTCGCGCGTCGTGCTCCCAGAGTCGTTGAAAACTGTGGCCGAGTTGCCGAGCATGCAGAGACCGACGCCGCCGAGCTTGGCGTAGCTGAAGCGCTCGCCAAGGTACGCGATGCTAAGGCCAAATGTAAACATGGCCGAGGTTGAGCTAATGATCGTGCTGCTCGTGACGCTAAACAAGTACGATTATGCATTGTCGATGGAGAAGCGGGTGTCTACCTCGTCATGTTGAGGCTAATGTTGTAGGTGAAGTTGGCGAGGAACCAGAGCGGCGCGACGATGGCACTGATGGCGAGCGTGTCGCGGGCGCTCGCCTGGCGCGAGGACGGCACCACGTAGCCAAAGTACTTGCCGCCGTAGTAGAGCGGGAGGTTCACGGCAAAGAGCGAGTTGGCCACGTACGTGAGGAAGAAGGGCTTGTTGAAGCCGAGGTCGTGGAACACGTACTGCACGAGGACGCTGGCAAAGGTCCAGATGATGGCCACGACCACGACGCAGCTGACGCCAATGACCCAGCGCGAGTGCGAGTAGCGCGGCGTGCGCGGCGACAGCGACGCCTTCGGAAGGCCGCCGGCCTCCAGCAGCAAGCTCTGCTCCGCGACCATCTTTCAAATGATGTGTCCTGTAATCATTGTAGTAGTCCGGATAAGCTTTCCGGATGCCCGCTCCCCAATCGAACGGGCGCTGCGGATTCCGTGGATCCTTGGGCGCTTGGGATTCACCTGGAACCCGAGGGCGCGGCGGTCGCGCGTCATTTGATTGGACGCGAGGTCCAAGAACACGGCGGAAGCTCTACGAGTCCGACGACCGCCAGTGCTCACAGCGCCACCACCATTGCCATCATCATCCGTCGATCAACTGACAGTCATCAACTGACACATCATCCGCAAAAATACGACCATTTTCGTCAAAATCATGTAAATACGGTCACATTACCGTCCTCAAATTGCAAAAAACGGCGATGCAGTGGCGCTGGGTCGGAGCCATCGTGGCCTTCCGCCTCGCAAACGCGCTCTTCGTGCGCACGTACTTTAACCCGGACGAGTTCTGGCAGAGCTCCGAGGTCGCGCACCACCTCGTTTACGGCTACGGCTACCTGTGCGTCCAGCGGATGCCACACACGGCCTCATGCGTCTCCGTAGGACGTGGGAGTGGCAGCCGGACGCGCAGCTGCGGGGCTACGCCCATCCCGCGCTCTTCGCTGCGCTGTACAAAATCCTCCAACTTCTCGTACGACACGACGCTTTGCATATGTGCCTGGCTGACATAGCGGTTTAGGGCCTAGACACGCCATGGGCGGTGGCGTACGCGCCGCGCCTCCTCCAGGTAGATGATGCGATGCATCGGCAGGGAGGTAACGTAGACTAGGGGCTCATTGCGGCCGTCGGCGACGTTTTTCTCTACAAGCTCGCGTTCGTGTATGTGGGCGAAACCGCGGCCAAGTGGGCGCTCTTCTCGCAGCTCACGTCGTGGTTCGCCTTCTACACGCTCGTGCGCACGTATTCCAACTCGATCGAGGCTGTTTGCACCACGGTTGCGCTCGCCTACTGGCCGTGGTCGTTCCAGGTAGCGATGCCCTTTCAATTTTACCGTAAATTGCAAGGGCGGAGTAGACGGACCGCGCCAAGATGGACCTGTACTGGCGTCGGGCGGCGTGGGGTCTCTCGGCGGCGGCGCTTGGCGTCGTGTTTCGGCCCACGAACGCCGTGCTCTGGGTCTTCCTTGGCGCGCGCCTCTTGCTTGCGTCGCCGGCGAAGCTGACGCTGCTCGTCAATGTCGTGGCGCCGATCGGGGCGGTGGCCATCGCCGCGATGCTTGTCATCGACCGCATCGGGTACGGCGCGTGGACGTTTGTGCCGCTGAATTTTGTCCGCTTCAACGTCCTCGAGGGCAAGGATGCGCTGTACGGGACGCACCCGTGGCACTGGTACCTCCTCGCGGGCTTTCCGGAAGCCGCCGCGACGTCACTGCCCTTTCTACTTGCTGGCGTCTGGAGCTCCCAGGCACGTTACACTCGTGTGCATGTCTCTGACGTGGTAGACTGTGTAGCGTCGGGAGCTGGCTGCGCTAATCGGATGGGCACTCGCTGTCTATAGCTGCGGTGCTCACAAGGGTACGTTCCTCTTCCACTGCAAACGCGAGACGTAGCGTGTAGAGCCGCGATTTCTCCTCCCGCTTCTCCCGCCCACGTTCGTGTACGCAGGACTCGGCCTCGCGCGGCTCCACGCCCGCGCGCCTACCAAGCTCTTTCACGCTCTCGTGTTGGCGCTCGTGGCCGCGAACGGGGCCGCGGCCGTCTACTTTTCGCGCTACCACAACGTACGCTTGCGCCCACGAGCACGAACGCTCATTCGAATTGCTAGCGCGGCGCCTTGGACGTCGTCGACCATCTCCGAGCGGCGCTGCACGAGCAGCACGATGCAGCGTCCGTCGATTTCTTTATGACGTGCCACGCCACGCCGTACTACAGCCACCTCCACCGCAACGCGTCTCTCTGGTTCCCCGACTGCTCGCCCACGTATTACACGAGCCAAATCTTACGTGCTCATACCGGTATGCGTAGCAACCGTGCCAAGGGCTCCGAGTCCGATGCGGTGCAGACTACACCACGGGATGTGGCCGAAGCGCGCTACAGCAATGGCAGCTACCGCCCCACGTTCCTCGTCATGTACGCGTCTGCCGAGCGTGCAATTGGCCAGAGCCGCCTCGCCGCGTGGCAGTACACCAAGGACACGAGCTTTTTCAACACCCACTTTAGCCTGGACGCCGATGTGCCCGAGCCTGAGACCCACATGGTGGTATATCGCCAAACTGCGTAGGTCGGCCTTCCGCTTCCTTAATGGAGATTAAGAAATGAGATACATACATACGGACCGGAATATCTAATCGCGGCGGCGATCGCGCGAGCTGCCACGGCGGTCACGGGAGCTGCCGCGGCGGTCGCGCGAGCGAGAGCGCTCCTTCCGGACGGGCGAGCGCGAGCGACGGCGATCACGCGAGCGGTCACGGTCACGACCGCGCGAGCGCGAACGTTCACGCCGGCGGTACGGCGAGCGGCTACGGCGACGATCACCGCTGCGACCACGGGGTTCGTTGTAGCGCGGACGCGAGCTCGCGCCCGGCGGGCCAAGGTCTACAATTCCGATTTTTGAGTTGGCACGTCAATACTGCAACACGTACATTGGCCGGGGGTCTTGGGGTGGCCACGCGCGCGCTTGGCAGCTTCAACGCGGATGCGGCGGCCCATGATCTCCGTTCTGTACGATACAAGAGCTTATTGAACCATTCTCGATTCGAAAGTTGCGCTGATGCGTTGTTCGTACTCGTGCAGGCCCGCGATCGCATCGTCGGCGTCACGCTTGTCTTCAAACGTGACAAAGGCGAACCCGCTATCGCATGACTATGAGGCGCTAAGTACAGTATGAGAGGGGTGTACCGCGACTCGTGCGTCACGGGGTCCGAGATGAGGTCCACGCGCGAGAGCCGGCCGTACTTGGAGAAGAGCGCGTTGATTTCTTCTTGGTTCATCTAGCGACAGGGGGTTCGCGAGGGTGTATGCTGGGGGTATGAGGACCTTGATGGGGAGGTTGGCGATGTAGAGGTTGTTGCCAACGTTCGTGTTGGGCACATCGCTGCGCTCGCGCGACTGCGTCCGCGATCGACGGTCTGAGGACATGGGCTCAAAACTGCAAATGTCCGCCTCACCTTGCGTGGATCTTTCTTTTTTTAAATGCCACACTCATGCATACAAACATCAAGCTAGCTTTAATTGTTTGTGTTTCTATCAAGCTTCGAATTTGTATGACTGGGGAATCCCATATAAGCTTAGCGCTTACGGATTGGCTGAAATGCATGCATTTCATCCAATGGCATCGCCAGCGTGACGTACCCGGCACTGCGACATGGCTCAGGTCAAGCGCAAGCAGTACGAGGACGACGCCGTCGCCCTCTACGACGTCGAGTTTGCGCCCGGACCGCTTGGCATCCAGTTCGAGACGGGCTTCTACGGCCACCACGCGCTCGTGAAGGGCCTCGTGCGCGGCAGCCAGGCGAGCCGTCTTCTCCAGAGCGAAAACCACGCGATCCAAGCGCATGCGATCCAGACGGGCCATGTGCTCGTCGCTGTCAACGGCGTTGACGTCACCACCGACTCGTTTCCTGATGTGCGCGAGCGAAATGCGCACCGGTGCTCACAGCTGCGGTAGGTGATGGCGTCGATTCGCAGCGCGGCGCACCCGCGCGTCCTGCGTTTCCTTGACCCGAGTGTGCTCTCACTCGACCGGTTCCGGCACGATCCAGCGCAGGAGCTCGTGAATCGGTACACGCTTCTCTTGGCGCTGTGTAACTCATTTGCGTCTAGTGACGAGTATGGCTTTGCAAAGGACGACAAGTACATTCTAAAGCACCGCCAGCAGTTGCGCCACCAACGCCAGAAGCCCGCGGTGGGCTCTTCCTCACCCAAACATATTGATTGAGAACGAGCATGTAGCGATATCGACACGAGAGGCAGTGGTTGGAACTGCTGCAGGAAAACGGAGGCTTCGATGGCCTCCAGGTCTTGCTGCACGAGAGCTCCGAGGACGAAAGCATGCACGTCCGCCAGCTCCTCCAAGTCTCTCCACGACACCTCGCACGATCCGCTAACAGAAAATGACCTAGCCGCTCGTTGTCGGCGGTATTCCGTCGGCGTATCGCCCTGCCATGTGGCTCTTGCTGGCGAACGTCGCGGCGTACAAAGCCCGCTTCCCGCACGACTACTACCAAAGTAGTCTCAGCGTACGAGCGTCTGTCTCAGTGTTGAGTAGGTCTTCTCCACCGCGAAGACCACCGAGGCAGCGTACGTGCTCCGATCTGAGTTGGTCGAACGCATGGTGCTGCTTTAGACGGTCGATGACATTGAGAAGGACGTGGGTCGCACGTACCCCGAGCACACGTTCTTCCAGGTTCACAAGTGAGATCAACGTCGCGCTCAGGCGTGTGGCGTAGGCCGAGCGCGGCAAGGTCGAGCTCACGAACGTGCTCTTGGCGTACGCGATGCACCGGCGCGAGATCGGGTACTGCCAGTCCATGAACTTCATCGTCGGCATCCTCGTACTCTTCCTGCCCGAAGAAGACGCGTTCTGGCTCCTCGCTGTACTCCTCGAGAAGTTTTTGCCCTGGGAAAACTACTCGTATGCCGATATATCGCAAGCGTATGATAACTTGAAGTCGCATTAGGCGGAGCATGGTCGGCGCCCAAGTCGACCAGATCGTCTTCAAGCGCCTCGTGACGCTCCAAGCACCGGCGCTCAGCGCGATGCTCGAGACCCACGGCATCGACATTGAGCTCGTCTCGCTTCAGTGGTTCCTCTGCGTCTTCCTCTGCACGCTGCCCCTCGAGACAGCGCTGCGTGTCTGGGACCTCCTCTTCTTCTACGGGCAAGAGGTCGTCTTTGACGCCGCGCTCTGCATCCTGCAGCTCGGCGAGCAAGACATCATGGGCGTCGCGTCGCACGCAGAGCTCTTCCAGCGCGTGCGGGAGCTTGGAACCGAGCTGCACGACGCCGACGCCTTTGCCGAGGTAGGACGACGACGAGCGAGGCTCCTGACATGGGCTTTCTAGTTTGTGCACGCGTTCATGCAGAATGAGCGCAAGGCGCCCAATGGGCCCTTGGACCAGCTCGTCGCCAAGGTCACGCGGTTCCTCGACAAGGGCGCAACGCCGGTTGTCGCCCCGACGCCCAAGCTCTACACCTTTGACGACATTGAGCAGGTAAGTCCCATGGCCTCATGGCCCGTGTCTCATCATCTCGTCATGGCAGTGGCGGCGGGAAGCGCGGCCTCAGGTCGAGGCCAACGAGCGCGAGATGCAGCGCTTCCGCGAGACGTGCGCCGAGTAGGCCCACATTTTCAAACTCAAACTCAAAATCTTTTTGTCGCACCTTGTTTTTGTATGAGCATACAAACAAGAGGACAGTGAATTATCTGTGACGCCCAACGAAGATGGACGCAACCTTGCTCTCGTCGCTGCAGGCGCGCATCGCCGCAATCTGCGCGGCCACCGACCTGCCCCGCCACCTCCCCGAGCTTGTCCACGTCTGCGAAGAGCTGGAGCTCCAGACCCTGAGCTCGGGCGTCGAGCCCATGGCCGCGTCGCACTACGCGCAGTTCCTCGCGGCCCTGCTCGCCCTTCGGCGCCTAGACGAAGCCCGCCACCTGTGGAAGCGCTTGCCGCTAAAGGGTGCGGACGAGCTGCAGCAGATTTGGGCCGTCGGACGAGCGCTGTGGGCGCGCGACATTGTCCAGGCGCACGCGGCCGCTGCGGCCTTGGAGGCAAGTACGACGGACTCGGCAGTGGCGCCGGTGGTTGCGGTTCTCAAGCAGTCGATCCAGCTCTCGACGGCGGCCTTGATTGCGCAGGCGTACTCTGTGCTTTCCATCGACAGCACCGCGCAAGCCCTCGGGCTCTCTCGCGACGCTACACTGGCCTGTACGTACCGCACCTCTCCTTGCCTCTCATAGCTTCTTTGGCTAGTCTGCGCGCAACACGGATGGCGTATCGAGAACGACTGCGTGCTGCCCACGGCGCTCGCGAGCCCGTCTGGCGAGAACGCGATCGAGCTCGGCCAGTTGCACCACCTCGCCGACTACATCTTGCACCTGGAGCAGCGTTCGATTATGAAAGTCTAATCTCCAACGACGAGCTCTATCGTCCCCATCCATATTCGCCTAAAATGCTCTTGAGCTCTGCGAGGGCCCGCGGGTCCGTCGTCGCGACGTTCGGCAGCTTGTTCTGGAGCTCGATGAAGAAGCCGTGGCAAGCGTCGCAGCGCGCGGCCCTAGAGAGTAGCTCGTTCCCACAGCGACAGCAGTCGGTCGTACCGTTCTTCGCCGGCAAAGTTGACTTCGCGGTTGCTCCGGCGCGCTTCCTTGTTGTCCTTGACCAGAGGACCAAAGGCCGTGACGAGGACCTTGGCGACGGCGACACCGACGGCAGCGTACGGGGGAAAACCGCTCACAAGCTCGAGCGCGAGCGGAAGCAGCAAGACACATGCCTCCAGGTCGAGCCCGATGGTCGCGAGCTCGACGTTGCCGAGAATATCGACCGCGAGGGCTTCCCGAGTCCCCGTCGGGAGCTGGCTAATGAAGCGAAAGCCACCTCGTACGTGCATGAGCGCGTTGAATCGTGCTAGGAGAGGTACCGTGGACGTCGCCCTTGTCCCAGTGATACGTCATAAACTGCTCCAGGGCCTTTTGCCGGCTCTTGAACGTTCGAAGCGAGAGCTCCATCCCGACCTTGAGCTCGTTGACGTAGTCGGAGCTAAAGGCTTCCTACTCATACGAGCACGTGAGATGCTGCAGCAAACAGGTGCAGACAGGAGGCTCAGCGAATCGCTTGATCGTGTCCACGCCCATCTCGGTCGATGCGCCTATGGAGTTGCGTTAGCACGACAGCTACGCAAGAGGCGTACTTTCTGTCGACGCTGGAGGGGAGGGCTCTGGAGTCGGAGGGGGGCGTTGGTGTACACTACGGGGCGGCTGCGGAGGTGTCGCCGGCGGCTGCTGCAACGCTGGTTGTTGCGACGGCGCCGACCGGGGCGGCTGGAGGACTTTGGGTGTAACAGGGCGAAATATGGCGGCAGGCGTGATAGGTCGCGGCGTCTTCTTCGGCGGGGCGAAGGGCTGAAGCGTGTTGAGGTCGACACGCCAGACCGAGATGAAGGCGTTCGCGAACGAGCCGCCAAAAAGCTGGAGGTTGTCGGTCACGAGGGTGTCGCCGAGGGTCTCGGTCACGCCTTGGCGCGCGTTGTTCCACAGCAACGTATCGTGGCACTAGCGACGCGCCATGACGGCATACGGAGAAGGGACGTCGTACCGTCACTGACGCGTCATAGGACCAAACCTTGACCATGTCCTGGGACACGCAGAGGGCATACTTGCCGCTGTACGGCTCGCTGATCGTGTGTGCGATCGCGGCCACCGGCGTCGTGTCGGTTGGCGTGACCCCAAGGAGCTCGAAGGATTGGAGGTCCCAGAACCGCATCGTCCTATCCTGCGACGCTGACACGAGGATGTACTCCTCGGGGTTGAATTCGAGGCACGTGATGGCGCCGCCGTGGTCCGTGAACTCGCGAAGAAGCTTCCCAGCTGTGAGGTCCCAGATCTTGAGAGTCCCGTCGGCGCTGCCGGACGTGAGCCAGCGGCCGTCGGGCGTGAAGCTCACGCATGTGATATCACTTGCGTGGCCCTTGAACGTCTGGACACAGTTTTTTGTTTTGAGATCCCAGATCTACGCATCTCGATGATGGCAAGGGACAAGGTATGTTGCGCCCGACCTTGACGTTGGTGTCGAGCGCGCCGGATGCCACGTAGTCGCCGTAGAGATGGTAGTCGATGCTTGTGCACGAAGACATGTGGCCCTTGAGCGATCGAAACACCTTGGCGGACTCCATGTCGTAGGCCTTGATGGCGCCCGACGTCGACCCGGCGACGACGCGCTTCTCGGCCGGATCAAAGGTCACACACTCGACAGGGCTCGAATGGCCAGCAAGGCTCTGGCCCACGAGCACGACATGAGCAACAGTTCGCCTTCGCACGACAGTACCATGATGTTCTTGGTCTCGCTCTCGCGGATGCGCCAGACGTTTACATTCGTGTCGTCGCCGCCACTGACCGCCACTTGTCCCTACGCGGTCGTGAGCTACCCGCCCGAAGAGAGGCTGCCACGTACGGACTTGCGCCCGAAGCGGAAGCAGTTGACGTTGCTCGAGTGGCCCATAAAGTGGGCTACGTGCCATGAGAGCTCCATCCAGGCAGCAGCCACGTACAGTGCTTGAACATCGTTGCAGCCGTCGCCGAGATCCAAGCTAATTTGTACACTATTCTACATTCGAAATATAGTGTTATTTTATCTAGCGGCCGCCAAACGATGAGAACGAAATACCCTCCAGCAATATGAATTAGAGGGCAAAGCAGAAGATGTCTCGCAGAGGGTTTCAGGGGGTATCGGCGTGGGAAAGACCATGAATCGACACAAGATACGACGGTGATGGAGGCCAACGCCGACGCCAACGCTAGAGGATCTTCGAAATTTGGTTTTGGCTTCGAACTACGTATTTTAATACTTATCAATTCAGAATACAAACAACCAATATAGCATCCCCAATTCCACCAAAATAACTCGCGGGTATTAATAAGGTGGGGTTGGCGGGAATCCATCACAGCCCAAATGGCCGCGATCAAGGAGGTTATGGGCGGCAAGGTCGTGACCTTGACCGCCAAGGAGGTACGCGACGACCCAACGCGAAGATGAAGGCTCACGCTGCGAGGTAGATCCCTGTATGTGGAGGCGGGGGTACCGTTTGCCTCCTCAAGGATGGCACGATCCGCCTGCGCTGCCGCGGCAAGGCGTCGCTCCTCATCAACAAAGTGAATGCCAGCCAGCTCGTGCTCAAGACGGGCAACGCTGCAGTCCTTGGCATCAAGGACGCGTTCAACGCCAACGGGTCGCTCCAGAAGTACGTTGTCGTTGACGCGCCGTCGTCGCTCGAGGCTTGCACCACCGTGGACCTCACGAAGAAGCGCCCGGCGCCGGCCAAGGTCGAGCCACCGGCTAAAGTCCGTCGCACAGTGCTCGAAGACAGCGAAAGCAGCGATAGCGACCGCGACGTCGCGCCCAAGAAGACTACGCGCCGCAACACGGTGATCGTCGACACGGACGACGAGGAGGCTGCGCCGGAAGACAGTACAACCGAAGAGTCGTCGCCGAAAGCGACCCTGGACGAGGATGGCGTCGAGTCCATTGACGACGATGACGATGACGATGTGTACGTGATCGAGGTCAAAGCGAAGCCAACGGTACCAGAAACCTCGTGGATGGCCAAGTACGGGCGGTCGACCTTTACGCCCGGCGACACGAGCGGGGACAGCAATGGATGGATCACGGCGCCGCGAAAACGGAAGGACGCGACGGACCAGTGGACGGCGAAGAAGCTCGAGACGTTCAAGAAGCCCGTGGCCAAGACGCGGAAACCGCGCAAACGAGTCGCGTCGTCGGAAGAGGAAGAAGAGGAAGATGAAGACGATGCGTCAGGCGAATCGGATGGCCTCGACGAAACCGACCACGGTCGGCGGCCGTCGACGAAGCAGTCCCAGAAGGACGAAGTCGGCGCCATCTTGAAGACGTGCGAAGCGCTGGCAGAGACGCTGAGGACGTCGGTGTCGCAGTGGTCGTCCGCACCCGAAGCCGCCAACGACGAAGAAACCGCGCTCGTGGCGGTCGACGACGACAAGCAGTTTGTGCGCACGGCGGACATTCCGGGGCTGAGTCCGACGCTCGTCTTGAAGCCGTACCAGATTGTCGGGGTCAACTGGCTGTACCTGCTGTACCAGCACAAGATGTCGGCCGTCTTGGCGGACGAGATGGGTCTCGGGAAGACGGTGCAGACGATCTCGTTCCTTGCGCTCCTCTGCAGCAAACAAAGCTCGCCCCACTTTGTGATCGTGCCGGCGTCGACCTTGAGCAACTGGGTCCGCGAGTTTGCGCGGTTTGCGCCCAAGCTGCGCATCCTCACCTACTATGGCGACAAGGAAGACCGTATCGCGATGCAACATGCACGAACCGAGTTTGACGTGCTCCTCACCACGTACTCGTACTTTGAGCGCGACGCGTGCGCGGACGACCGGTCCTTCTTCCGCAAGTTCCATTTCGGGTATGTTGTGCTGGACGAGGGCCACTCGATCAAGAACGCCAACACGTCGCGCTTCAAGCGCATCGCGGCTGTCCGGGCGCGCCACCGCCTCGTGTTGTCGGGGACGCCGATCCAGAACAACCTCAGCGAGCTGCTCTCGCTCCTCAGTTTCCTCATGCCCAAGATCTTCAACCACGGCTCCGAGCAGATGATGGACTTCTTTGCGGGCGACCAGCAGAGCACGACGTGCGCCAAGATCCGCCGCATTCTCGCGCCTTTCATTCTGCGCCGCATGAAGAAGTACGTGCTCACGCAGATGGTGCCGAAAGCCGAACAAACGAGCATCCTAACGCTCCCGAACGAGCAGCGGACGATCTACGACGCCCTCGTGGCCGCGGCCGTCGCGACGAAGCGCGCTGCTAAGGACAAGGAGGCGGCGCGCAAGACGAAGAAGACTCCGACGGGCGTCACCCGGGAGATGCGCGACCTCCTCAACCTCGACAGCAACATCTTTGCGGGGCAGTCGGACACGGCGATCTTTACGCAGCTGCGCAAGGCGGCCAACCACTCGATCATGCTGCGACACCACTTTCGCTGCGACGTCAAGATGAAAACGCTCGGTGCGCACCTCTACAAGCTCGGCGCCTTTGGGGACCAGTGCACACGCGCGATGGTCGACAAGGAGATCGAGTCGTACTCGGACTTTGAGCTGCACGAGTTGTGCGTGCAGTACGGGGACATTAGTTCGGAGCTTCGAGCGCTCCAGCTGCCGGCCGACGTGATCCTCCAGTCGGTCAAGTTTGACTTTTTGAGGTCGCTTCTGCCGACTCTGCAGACGGACGGGCACCGCGTCCTTATTTTTTCACAGTGGACCAAGCTGCTCGATCTCATGGAGGTGCTCATGGAGTACTTGGGCTACAAGTTTCTCCGGCTCGACGGCTCGACGTCGGTCTCGGATCGGCAAGCGCTCATCGATCAGTTCAACGAAGACACGTCGATTTTTGTCTTCCTTCTCTCGACGCGCGCGGGCGGTCTCGGCATCAACCTCACGGCGGCGGACACGGTGATTCTGCACGACCTGGACTTCAACCCGACGATCGACGCGCAGGCCTGCGACCGCTGCCACCGCATCGGGCAGACCAAGCCCGTCACAATCTACAAGCTCGTCGCTGGTGACACGGTCGACCAAGCCATCCACAACATCGCCGAGCAAAAGACCCAACTCAACGACGCCGTCCTCGGCGAGCTCGGCAAGTCCAAAACGACCAAGTCCTCGAAGGCCGGCAAGAACAGCTCGACCGCGGACGTCCAAGCCATCCTCTCGTCCGTGCTCTCATCGTACACTGCGCAATAAGATAAGAAACCACTAAGTCTTGGATAGCAAACTATATGATGAGATCGTCCATGGACGGAAACCGGAAATTTGTTGGGAGGAACTGGTTGCGCTGACAGTTGCGGATCGTCGTCTTGACCTAATGCCAGCGCTCACTTCACTGCCCAAGAGATTGCAAATACCTGCGCGACAAAGTCCTTTGCGGATCGGCCAAAGCCGTTGAATGTGTTGGCGCAGAACCCGAGCTGACCTCCATAGTACATGAGGAACATGGGGTAGACGCGGAAGTTGTGCCGCCTGCACGCAGTTGATTAGCCCATTGCTAGCTACGAAGACGACGACGTACGTGCTCAGAAGCGTCGAAGTGGAGCAGTCGACAAGCACGATGCGCTTGGCGCTGAGCGCGCGGTCCGGCGCCGGGTCTTCGTACGCCCCGTGGTTGTGCTCGCGGGGCGGCGTGTCGTCGTCAAGTGGCCGCCTACAACACGTTGCCTCTTGGGTCATCGATCGAAGGCATCGTACGCAGCGTCGTCGGTCGCCCACTCGACCTCGATCGTCGCCAGCATGCGCTCGGCTTGGACGCAGTCGGACGTCGAGAGATTGGAGCAGACAACAACGAGGAGCTGTTGCATGTGGTGGAACGTTCAAAGGTGGGGCTTTGTACCTGGTTGCTCTTCATGCGCGCGACCATGTGGTCCAAAAACCGGGGGTGGAGGCGCGGGAGGGTCTTGACGATCCCCTTGGGCTTGGCGATCTATCCACAGAATTTATCCGACGGGCGCCAATCGAAAGCGAACCACCTTGGCCGACGGGATGTAGCTGTGCTGGCGCTTGATCGGCGAGAAGAAACTGTGGCAAGGAATGCTGCGCTGGGCCTCAACTTGATCGTGCACGTTTTGGCCGATTGCCGTCGAGTAGCTACGTCGGACCGTCCAACGGGATTCGAATACGAGCGAGTACGATTTGAGACGCAGCACGAGCGACTTGTTGGTCTCGACAAGTGGCTGGAGGTGCGACTGGACGCTCACCTTGTCGACTTCGCGGCCACTCGCCGAGACGCGCGGCAGATGCCAGTTGTAGCGCTGGGCTTTCTTTGTCGGCGTCTCACTCTACACGCGACGTGCTCGATCAAGGGACAATGGTGTCTCGAAGTGGCAACCTGGCGATCTTGGCGATCGACAAGCGTCGGCCGCGGTATTGCCAGCTCGAGGGTCCCGTCGACCCGCCGGCGCTGAATCTGAACGTGGATGGTTGCAGCGATGATGCACAGATCCATGGTGCACCTTGTTGAGGTACGACGCGCGCACGGGTCGTCCGAGCTCAAACACCTGCTATTGTCAGCAGACCTTCGTATCAGAGGGTGCGTACGAGAAGGCTGTGGTGCTTGACTGTGAGCTGTATTGCTGCTTGGCTGGAGCACTTGAGCGTCATGACCGAGTTGAGCTGCAGATCAATGGAATGAGGTAGCAGCGCCGTCACCGAGGTGGGATCCCAGCGGTAGTGCTACAACGCTGGTCACTCGGTCGGAAATAAGACGCGCATCAGTACCTGAAGTATTTCGCCGTCTTCACCTGCGACAAGGACGTCGGCGTTGGTGGCGACAAAGCGCTGCTGACCCGTGCGGTAGTTGGCGAAGCCGTTGCCGCCAAAGCTAAAGCCCACGAGGAGCTGCGTCGGCTGCCCGTCCAGCCGCGTATCTACCCACGACCAGTAGACTTGGGCGCAAAACACTGTCTGACCCACCGTCGTAAAACTGACCGTACTTGGCTCCGTCCACACGGCTAATGACGGCGAGGACCGAGCCGGATCCATACCTGCCACAGCGTTCATAGAGGCGCCGTGCAAGGTGAACCGCGTACCGCAGGATGCCGCAGCCGTCCTCGTCGAGGCTCATGCGTCTAAATTTAGAGTCTGACAATATTCTCCAACGCTGCGAATGCGATTAAAGAATCATGCTGAAAATGCAACAGCTGTTGGTAGTCGTCGTAGCGCACTTGGGAGTCGCCGCGTCACTTGTCCGCCTTGAACTTGATCGAGATGCTGTTGACGCAATGGCGGTGGTTCGTCGGCGTCGGGAAGCCTTCGTTCTCAAAGACATGGCCCATGTGGCCGTGGCACTTGGCGCAGACGATCTCGGTTCGCTGGCCGTCGCTGTCGGGGACCCACACGATGGCACTGGGTAGCGCATCGTAGAACGCAGGCCAACCGCAGCCTGAGTCAAACTTGTGCGTGGACGCATACAAGGGCGTGTGGCAGCCGGCGCACACGTACGTTCCTTTCTCAAAGTGCTTGTTCAAGGGCCCGCTGCCCGACGGCTCCGTGCCCTTCTGGCGCAAGACGCGGTATTCCCACGGCGTCAGCTTCGCCTTCCACTCGTCGTCGCTCAAGGCTTGCGCCTTGGTCGAGAAGCGCAGGCGCCGGGTGGCGGCGCCGACTGTACGTGGAAGCCGGAGGCGAAGCATGGTCGGGATCTCTATGGATGCCGCAAGGCCATTGGCTGGAAATATGCAGCTTATTGACGAATCCGAGGTCGTAAACGCAAGGCAAATCGTTTAATTGGCTATAAATCAAGCGTCGTTGGCGAATCAGCAATTAGGGTTTCCCCACGTTTTATTACTCTGCATTTGTATGGGGCAATTGCATTTTTTGAACAGCTACGTCATTTCGCATTCATCGACCATGTCCCAAGTCCGCGCCTCGCACCTCCTCATCAAGCACAGCGGGTCGCGCCGCCCGGGTACGTTGGCAGCATGGAGCCCTACGGGGCGAGGTAGACGCTGTATGTGAAGGCTCATGATGGGCCGTAGCCTCGCGTCTCTCGCCCAACATCACGCGCTCCAAGGACGAGGCCATCGCGATCCTCACCGGTACGAGCGCCGCTGCAGGAAGATCGCTTAGCGCGGGCCGTTGTAGAACTGCGCAACAAGATCACGTCGGGCGCCGCTCGCTTCGAAGACCTTGCAATCCAGTTCAGCGACTGCAGCAGCGGTACGCGTGGTGGCGACCTCGGTCCGTTCGGCCGTGGCATGATGCAAAAGCCGTTCGAAGATGCTGCGTACGAGCACGATGGGTGCCAGAGGTCTCATCTCCACTGCTTAGCTTTGGCCTCCAGGTCGGCCAGATCAGCGGTATCGTCGACACGGACAGCGGCGTGCACATCATTGTCCGCACGGCTTAAGCTCCTTCAACGACGCATTCCTTTGCCCTTGAGTGAACTATGTACAGAGGGTTGGATTACTCCACTTACTACCTACGTGCTCAACGAGAGGAGGAGCGCGGTGCCCCTCTTGGTCCACACGTCGGGCGACCGCTGGGCGCCGCACTTGAGATCGACGGCGATCATAAAGGACGGTCGCTCGCGCGTGCCGGTGCGGATCGGGTACATGTAGAGCGGGCAGCTGTACGTGCCCTTGGCCGCCTTCTTCTTGTTCTCGACTGGTCGAAAGTGGATCATGGGCATGACGCAGTAGAGCTCCATGGGCAGCGGCTCGGTCAAGCAGTCGTGCTCAAAGTCCCAGCGGGCGCCCTCGAGGAATAGACCTTTGACGTACGCGCCGTCCTTGGGACCGACAACAATCGAGTCTTCGTGCTGGTTGACGATGAGGAACTCCCAGTTGAGCGAGTCGATCGAGACGCCGTTCTTGCGCGCTGCCGTCTGCAGTAGCGCCGTCAAGAAGCCCGTCGGGTACGTAAAGCCCGCGAGCCAAAAGACGACCGGCATCGCCGTGTGCGCCCAGTGGCGCATCTGGGCGACGCGCTGCTCGAGCTCGGCCGTCCACGCACCGAGAGGCTTGAGCGACGGGTAGCAAAAGCTCCACGCTTTGGGCACTGCGCCGAGCAGTAGCGCTTGTGAGACGCCTTCAAGCTCAGGCGTGATGACGACGAGGCCTTGGAGACCCTTCTCGAGCGCAATCAGTGACGACTTGATCGTGCTCAGTAGCTTGTTGTAGCGCTCGAGCTCCTGCACGAGCACGGTCTTGAGCGCGTCCGGATCGCTGCGCGCCGAGAGGTTGAGCTTGACCGTCGGGAGGTCGAACGGGTCGGGTACCTTCTCCTTGAGGTTCTGGAGGACGCTCAGGATCTTCTCGTCGGTGCCCTTGCCGCCGTCGCCGCCGCCCATGGCCTGCAAGCTCAGAATCGTACTGAGGAGCTCCCGGCCATTGTCGATCTGCGAAGCAATTTGCGCATTCGGGTGCTGGCCAAAGGCGAGGGGCGGGTCCTCGAGCGGGAGGTTGCGGATAAAGTCACCGTACGTGGCGAGGTCGCCGTCGTCCGGCACGTAGTACTCGGGCGACTCGGAGAGCGGCGCCATCTCGAGCTCGAGAATGTCCTCGCAGAAGAACTGACCCACATACACGAGCATCAAGCGGCGGTCCCAGTCGTCGGTGACGCGCCCGCCGTAGTTGGCCTGCGCAATGAGGTACTTGAGGGCCTCCCACGGCGTCTCGTCGTACTCGTCGAGGTAGATGGCGAGTACGTCTTCGCTGATCGCAAAGTCGCTCTCGTTGAAGTCGTACGGGATGTTCCAGCCGAGGTTGTTGAACTTGCGGCGCTCGAGGAGGAGTGCGTGGAACCAGCAGAGGCAGAAGAGGAGGCGCTTGTACTTCTTGGTCTGCTTGCAGCGCGCAAATCGCTCCGGCGTCATTGTGTTGTAGAGCCGGAGCAAGTTGGCGCGAATACCCCGCGGCGGCTCGGTCGTCATCTTGATCCCGCGCTGGAGGATCGCAATCGGGAACTTGGGATTCGGGTCACTCGTGAGCCAGAGCCGAAAGTTGGGGTTGACGCTCGGGTTCGCGCAGTAGTTGTCGATGAGCTTCTCGAGGGTCGGGGCCCAGCTCAACATGAGGTGGCAGTTGGCCAAGAAGACCCAGTGGCCGCCCTCGAGCCCGCGCGCGAGCATGGCCTCGGCGAACCCGCTCTGGCCCTGCCCGAGGGCGCAGTTCTCGACCTTCTTATTGAGCGTCTCGGCGAGCGCCATGAGGTTGTTGGTCGGGTCGACGCCTGGCGAGAGCACAAAGATGAGCGGCGTCTTGTACGTCGAGTTGTCGTAGATCGCGCGGAGGTCAAAGGGGGGCGGGTCCACGAACTGCGCGCCGAGGTTCGTGGCCACAAATTTGGACGCTTGGATCGTCACGCGGTCCGAGCGGAGCACGCGGAGAAGCAGCATGCGCTGGAGCTCGTTGCACTTGCCTTCCCAGTCGCCCGGGAGCTGCTCGATCTCGGGCGCGCTGCTTTGGAACCACTGCTTCCAGCCCTTGCCCGTTTGCTCAAAGGACGACACGAGTCCTTGGAAACGGGGCAGCCGGTTGAGATCCACGACTGCGTTCCACGTGCTCTCGGGGCAAAAGTCGGCAACCGGGTTGGCGACGCGCTCGTCATGGCCGAGCACGCTTCCGCCTTTGAGGAGGAACTCGTACTCGTCCAGCGGCACCTTCTTGAGGCTCTGGAGGACGCGGATGCACATTTGAAACGAAAAAAGGAGCTTATGGCGCTCAAAGAGGCCGCGGCAGGCGTACGCGTAGACGGCGTACGTGTGGTACTCGTTGATGGCCGTGATGCGCTCGCCAAGGTCGTCGGTCAGCGTCAGCGTCTGGCGCGCCGACCGGCTCTTCGCGATCGACTCTTTGAACAAGTCGACGTACGAGTCGAGCGAGAACTGGTACATCGGGTCCACCTTGGTCATGTCGTTGAGCACAAAGTAGAGCGTCGACGAGCGCACGGCGACCGCGACGTAGCCCATGCGCGCGGCGTCGATCTTGCGCTCGGTCTCTTCGCTTACGACGAGCTGCGAACTCACTTCTTCCGACGTCGTCTTGGACGCATTGAGGGTGTTGACGAGCGACTCGTCGTCGAGGAGTGAGCCTTTTGCGGCCGAGAGGAGGCGTAGAATCTCATTCTCCAAGTCGACGAGCTTGCGCTTCGCGGCCGCGACCTTGATGACGAGCTCGGACTTCTGCTCTTCGAGCGCGGGCTCTTCCATCTGCACCACCGTGCCGAGGAGCTGTGCCTCGAGGCCTTGCTCCTTGACAACAAAGTTGACGATCGTCGTCTTGGTCGAGACCTCGGGGGTGTAGTGGGGGTTGTGCAGCTTCGTCGTGAGGTAGAACCGAAAGTCGTGGTTGTAGTCGAGCTCTTTGTCACCAATGCGAAGGATGTCGCGGTTCCCGACCTTGACAATGCTCTTGGTCAGGATCGGCTCGAGACTCGGGTCGAGCTCCTCCTGCACGTCTTGCATGAGCACGGCCGTGCCAAAGCGTATGGCGTTCTCGAGCTTGCGCAGGAAGTCCTTCATCATGGGGTCGACGACATCGAGCTTGGAGCCCTCGAGCGACTTGATCCACTTGTTGCCTTGGCCTTGCGGGTCGATCATGAGCGGCCAGCGCTTCCCGCGGGTCGTGACCACACCGTTCTCCGTTGACAAGTTGTCGCGGGGCAGTCCGTGCGCGTTCCAGTGGCGAACGTCGGTGGGGTCGGCGAGGAAGTCGGTGAACTGGAACGACGGCGAGAGCGGGAGTCCCTGCTGCACGACCCGGTTCGACCACGTGTCCACGAGCGACGCGCGAAACGCCGTGTCGAACGGCCCCGCGTACGAGAGGAACGCTGCCGCGACGAGTGCATCGCCCACCACGTTGAGCAGCGACGCTTCTTTTGTCGCGATGCTCACTTGCCAGCGCTCGCGCTCGCCCGAGAGACCGGACACGAGCTGCGTCGCGCGCGAGAGCTTGAGTTCGAGCACTTCGGCCTCCTCCCGCAGCGCGTTCTTCTCGCTCACGCTGTCGTCGTACTGCTTCTTGAGCGACTCGACCTTCTCGGTGACCTCTTGGAGTTTGCCTTTGGCGCGCTGGAGGTCCTTTTGCTTGGACTCGAGCGCGTTCTGAGATTTCTTGAGAACTTCGCGCTTGGGCGCAACGAGACGAAAGACGGTCGAGTAGACTTCCATCGCGAGCACCCACGAGCAGAGCGCTCCGGCGGCGCCCGAGACCTTGCGGACAATGTCGGCCTTGAACATCTCCTTGGACGTGTACTTTTTGAGCGCGGCGATCGTCTTGTCGCGGATCGAGTCTTTGTCAAAGGTCTTGATTTGCTGCAGAAAGTTGACGTCGTTCATCTTGACTTTGGCGACAGCCCACGTCGGCGTGAGACCAAAGAGCACCATGACCCCGCACATGACGAGCGAGACGGCTTCCGGGGGCTGGGAGTACACTTTGACTTCGGCTATCGCCTTCTTGTCGAGGAGGTCGACCTCGGCCATGGCCTTGGCGAGCGCCGGCAGCGCTTCGTCGAGATCCTTCTGGGCGTCGTCGGCGATTTTCTTGGTCTCGACCTCTTCCTTGTAGATGCGCTCGGACTCGGCTTCGACCTGCTTGCGCTGCTCGTCGGCGACGCGCCGCTCCGAGACGATGATGACGAGGAGGTCGCTGCAGTCCTTATTCTTCTGCGCTACCACCACCTTGCGCTCTTCGAGCTGCTTGGACATCTCTTCGACCTGCGTCCGGCTTTCTTCGAGTTTTGCGAGCCCGTTCTTGAGCTTGTCGCGCGAATCGATGATCGCCGAGCTCTTCTCGAGGAGACATTCCTACGAGATCTTGTGTCGCCACGGATGCATAGCAGGCTTGAGACGTACGACGTAGCCTTTGACGAGCGCGAGGTAGTTGGTCGGCGTGACGTAGTTGTGCCGCTTCATCGACGAGAGCATCTGCGCCGATGCGAGCACGACCGAGCTATGGACGACTGCAAACACCGTCGCGATCTTGGGCCGCTGGGCCTCGGCCGCAATGCGCTTCTCGTCGAGGAACTTCATCCCGACCTCTTGAAGCGCATCGAGGGGCCACTCGTCAAACCAGTCGATCGTCGTGTTGTTGACAAGCGACGGAAACTGCTGCACGCGGTTGCGAAACCCTTTTCCGATCGGACTCAGCGCCAAGACCACGTGCAAGTTGCGGCGCACTTCGCCGATGAAGAAGCCCCAGAGCCCTTCTTTCGTCTCTTTCACGCCTTGCGCGCGCGCTCGGAGCCGGACGCTGTCGATGATCGTACTCTGCTCGTCCTTCTCAAAGAGACCAGGAATCTAGAGTATGTCTCAGATCTCAGTGCCAGGTACCAGATTTGAAACGAGGTACCTCGCCGGAGCTCAGAATGTTGTTGATGTCTTCGACGAACGACTCGCTCTTGATCTGCGTATCGCTGAAGAGGAACGTTGTCCGCTTGTTCTGGACGCCCGTGTTGTTGTAGAGCTTCTTCATGTCTTCGTGGAAGTCCATGGGGCGGTAGTTCTTGGTCACTTCGATCTGGAAAAGGTCGCAGCTCGCAATGAAGGCTGCGAGGCGCGTCAGACTCTGCCGCCCGCTGCCACCGACGCCGACTAGCAGGAGGTTGCCGCGCGGCGTCGTCAGCTGCCGGTAGATCCGCAGCAGATGCATGAGCGCGTCACCAAAGAGCACGAGGTCCATGGGCACGAGACCCGGCTCAACGTTGTAGTTGTCGAGCTGATCTTCCACGAAATGCTTGAGACCCTTGACGTCGTCAACTTCGTCGTACTTGACGGGCGCGTCGTCTTCAGACGGCGTCAAAATCCCGCTGAAGAGCGGTCCGCTCTCTTTCAGCACCTCGGCGTGCGTGTTGAGGAGCCGGCTCCACTCGGTCTGGAACGTCGCCGCGAGGATCTCGTCCAGTTTGGTCTAGATCAGGTTATTAACTGGCGTATAGCGCAAAGAGTACCTTGAAGAGCGCACGGTCGGCCGCGGACGTCAACCGATCGCTAAAGACGCGCAGGGCCTCGTGGATCCAGAGCCGAAGCATGCCGTCCCGACCAGAGATGAGAAGTTTCTCAGCGGTCAAGAGACCTTGGACGACCTTGGCCATGTCGCGGAGGTTGAAGAGGTAGTGGCAGTTGGCGGGCGTCGGGAGGAAGTTGGCCTCGACCGTCTGGTAGAGCACGATGGTGGCTGTGACGAGCGGCGCGCCGAGGGGCTTGATCTCGTCGTCAAACTCACTCAGCTTGGGCACCAGCATCGTCTCGAAAATCTTGCGCAGCTGCGTGTTCTCGGGGAACGTCATGTTGACGAGGTTGAAGCGGCTCTGGAAGCGGGACGAAATCACCGACCGCCCGCCGCCCGGTGGCCCCATGGCGGCCACGAGCTGCATGTCGACAAAGTACCGCAGCGTCTGCTTCTTCCGGTCGTACCAGCAGCCGTAGTCGACCCACTGCCGCAGTAGTTCGAGCGGTGGCTGTGAGCCAAAATCATCTTTCGTCGGCATGTTGAGGTCGTCGACGAACGTCACGAGCTTCTTGCCGCCGACGGGGCCGAACCGGTTCATGCTGCGCTTCTCCATGACGGCTTCAATGACGTCTTGGGTCGTCGATGACGACGTGGCCGAGCTAAAGTTCATGACGAGGCGCGCAAAGGTCGTGTCCGAGAGGTTTTCGAGCTCGCGCTCGATGATGGTGGTTTTGCCGACGCCCGTGTCGCCGACGAGGAGTGCGTGGAGGCCGCCAAGCACCATCGTCTGCAGCAAGAAGCCATACCGAAGCGTGTCGATCGTCGGGACAATGATCTTGTGGAACGGGGTGTTGGGCAAGACGCGGTAGTTGGTCGGCAGCTTCTCGTCCCAGAGCTTGAGGTCGCGCGTCTTTGGGTCGACGTAGAACTCGTACACGGTTTTCACGGGCGGGAACACCGTGTCGATCTCGCGCAGACACGCGTCAAAGCGGGCGCGGCCGTCGTCGTTGGCGGCGCCCAAGACTGACCAGACGAGGCAGAAGAGAAACCACTTTTCGACCATGGCCGCAAAGACCTCGGAGCTCTTCTCGACCCCGTTCTCGGGCGTCGCCAGCACCTTGTAGAGGTTGCAGAAGCTCTTGACGCCGTTGAACTCGGCGACCGGGATGAGCTCAGTGACGTCTGTCCGGCGAAACGCGAGCAGTTTGACCACGTACTTTTCAAAGAGCGTCTTGAGCAACTCGCGCTCGTCGGCGTCCGCGATGCTCGTATCGAGCCACGTCTGGACGTACGGGCGCCACCCGAGGTCCTCGACGTCCATGTAGACCATACCGGCGCGGGAGACGGTCGCGGGCGAGGCGACCGAGAGGTCTTGGACTTCGAAAAGGAGCGCCATGGACGGGCTCATGCCGATGCGGTCGCCGTTGATGAGCGTGAGCACCTTGTTGTCGTCCATGACCGAGTTCATCGACTCGATCCAGAGCGTGTCGACCGGCCCGTCGAGCATGATCCACTTCTCGTCTTGCTTCTCGTCGCTCGCGAGCGTGCGGAAGATGGCGCTGAGGATGCCGTCGATCCACTCAAAGGTCGCAAGGTCGTAGACCCCGTAAATCTCGTTGAGCGAGATCGACTTGGGGTTGAGCACCTGGACGCGCACGGGGGTGTACCCGCTCACGCCTTCTTTCGCCAGTAGCGTCTTGGCCATCTGGAGCGTTTTCCAAACCGTGGATTTACCCGCCATCGTCTGACCGACAATCATGTTGCAGTGGCGCGTCGCTTGGCTCTCAAACATTTGGATCGTTTTGAAGAGGATGTTGGGGTGCAGCTGGAGTCCCTGGCTCACAAGTTCGCGCTGGATCGCGCTCTGCAGCGCGCCGTAGTCCGGAATGGGGAGCTCGATCGACGGGAAGAGGTCGCCGAGGAGGAGCTTGAAGAGCGCGGCGTCTTCGCGGACAAACTTGGGCGCGTTCATGTCCCGCAGCGCACGCAAGAGGATGTGCTCTTCCTGCATGTTGGGGTCCTCTCGCTTGAGCGCGCCAGCCATGTTGAGCACGGCTTTTAGGCTTCGGAGCCCAAAGTCGTAGTGGTCTTGTTTGCTTAGCTGCTGGATCATGAGGCCGTACAGCGTCGTCGTCTTCTTGGCGAGGACTTTGGCGTCGCGGAACCCCTCGGCTTGCAGCATCACCTCGGCAATCAAGGCGAGGTCGGGCACCATCATGGCGCACGGGCGCATGAGGGCCTTGAGGTTGTCGGGCAGCTCTGTGCGGCCGGCGTACCCCGGGTTCATCGTGATGAAGATGCCCATGTTGTGGTTGCACTGGATCATCGTGCCGAGGAAGACGAACTCCTTGACCTTCATCGTCAGCGCCTGCATGATCGTGAGCACTTGCTGCGCGACGACCGAGAGCACTTCGATCTCGATGCGGTTGAACTCATCGAAGCAGCCCCAGCCGCCAGACTGCACGAGGCCCGCAAACATGCGCCCGACCGACTTGTAGTCGAGACCGTCCGAGCAGTTGAAGACGATGACGTACTTGGCGAGGTTCTTGCCGAGATCCTTGACCGTCTCGGTCTTGCCCGTGCCGGCCGGTCCGAGCGGGTTGCCACCGCGGTTGAGGTGCAGCGCCGTGGTCATGGTCAGCACGCACCGATCCGTGAGCGGCGTGATCACGAGGCGGCCGTTGTTTCCCTGGTACTCGTAGCTGTACTGGAGGCAAGTGACTGTCTGCTTGACTTCGCAGATCCCGTGGTCGCCGAGGTCCTTGTTGAAGTAGAAACGCAGTTGCATGAGCCACTCGAAGTCGTTGGTCGACTTGCACGCTTGCTTGACGAGGCGGTCGATCACGTCGCGCGAGTGAATCTCGATCGTGATGAGCGCGACGAGCTTCTTGCGGTCGGTCGACGAGAGCTGGCCGCGCACCATGTCGGCGAGCTTGTTGAGGTACGAAACCCACTTCTTCTTGAGCGTTTTCAGCGCCTTCTTGTCGCCTTTGGAGACGTCGTTGAGCGCTTTGATGCACTCGTTGGTCCACGCAGTCTGGCCGCACGTGATGAGGAGCTGGCCGGGAAACTCCTTGATCCACTTGTCCTTCTTGCCGCGGTACCCGATGAGGCAAGCCGCAAACAGCTTTTGAAGCGACGCGACCATGGCCGCTTCGACGCGCAAGAGCCACATTTCGACGGCGCCGGCCACGACCACGTTGGTGAGGTACAGCACTTGCTCTCCGTCCGGCGCGTTCATGCCCGCGGCTTCGAACGTGAGGTTGCCACGCGTGCCCGGGTACAAGAGGAAGAGCGACTTGATGGCTTCGAAGCACTTTTTGATGTGCTTTTGGACTTGGTCCGGGTCTTTTTGGTGGCCGAGGATCTCGAGCAAGTCGTCGTTCGAGAGAAAGTAAAAGCGCGGGAAGAGCATCCGCTTCGTCTCGAGGTACTGGTCGAGGCACTTCTGGATCTGGTCCAATTTGGCCTGCATGTCGACGAGCGTCTCGAGGGTGTTGGGGAGATGCGTGCCCTTGAGTGCGTTCTTGGCCGACGCCATCGACGACGTCACGCGGATGTACCCCTGGTTGACGTCGTCAAAGAGAGCAGACTCGAGTGGCAGCTGCTTCCGAATGTCCTCGCTCGCCATGAAGATCGACTCGAGGTAGATCCAGCAGCGCTGGACGCCGAGAAGCGTCTCGACGACCTCTGAGACGTGCGAGAGCGCCGACTCCCAGTACAAAATCTTGGCTTTGAACGCGTCGAAGAACGGTGACGCCTTCATCGTCGAGAGCTGCACCTGGTCGTCCTCGAGCGCCGTGAAGAGGTCTTCGGCCGACCGCACCTTGAAGTACACCGACTTGTACTCGACGAGGTCGAGGTCGATGCCGTTCCAGCGCTCGGCGATCCCGTCCAGCGCCTGCTCGATCGAGAGCTCTTTGGACGCGTTCGAGGACATGGTCGAGATGTACTCGGCGTGCAAGTGAAACCCGAGCGAGAAGACCTTCTCGAGCGTAAAGTCTTCGGCGGTCGCATCGAAGAACTTCTCCATCTCCTCCTTGAGCATCGCCCAGTGGCGCGGCCGAAGGGCTTCGTTCTTGAGGTCCTGGATCAAAGGCAGCGTCGCGCGGAACTGGTCGATCTTCTCTTTCATGGACGCCCAGACCGCCCACTCCTTCATGTCCTTCCCGGCTTTCGAGATCTTCTTGAAGAACTGCGCGGCCGTCATCTCCATGCGCTCGACGTCGAGCGACGTAAAGACGTTGTGCTTCCAGCTCGACCAGACGCCGTCCCACTCGTCGTAAATAGCCCAGATCGTCTGCAAGAGCTCCAGCTCCTTCTCGGTTCGGACAAAGTCTTCGTTGGGCGACTCTTCGATGCCAAAGATGTCGAGACCTTTCTTGAGCGCAGCCTGGCGCGCCCGCGTCGCCTCCATTTTGGCCTCAAACGCCAGCAGCGTCGCATGCGCAGAAGCCGACGTCGTATCGACGTCCGAGTAGGGCAATGACGCCACCGCCTCGGTCCGGAGCTCGATCATGTGGTGGCTCAGCTCCGCGACCGTGTCCTGGAGTGACTGCTTCATGCTCATCTTGCACTTTTGCAGCATCGCGTTGGCCTCGACCATCATGAGCTCGTACGCATCCCACTGCGGCCGCAAGCCCGCGAGGTCCCGCGCTTCGTCGTCTGAGATTTGGACGTCAAACTCGGCCAAGAGGTCGTACTTCTGCTGCAGCGGCTCGAACTGCGCCTCGACGCTCGGGGCCGAGTCCTTGATTTCCTGCAAGAGCGTAATGCTCTGTCCGAGGTGGTCGAGATTCCCGGGCTTGACGAGCAGCTTCTTTGTGTTCTCTTTGATCATCAGGTTGAGCGCACGGAGCTCGTCGGCGGCGGTTTGGTTGAGGAGCCCCGTGAGCTTGCCGATCCACTGGACCGTGTGGTCGACGAGGCTCGCCTTGAGCAGATTCGTGTCGATTTGCACAAAGTTGATGGTGTTGGTGAGGTCTTCGTTCGCGATGGACACCTGCTGCTCGCGGTAGCGCTCAATGTCGACGCGGAACTGCGAGAGCGGGCGATTGGCCTTGGCGTACCGCCGAATGAACGCTTGCTTGTCTTGGTTCCAGAGCAGCTTGTACTTGTCCCAGTACCCCAGGTACTTTTGCAGCTCGGTCGCACTCGCCGACATGCCGTTCATAATGTGCACGAGGACCTTGAGGATTTCTTCGTCCTGGAAGATCGACTGGTAGAACGTGTCTTCGACGACCGGCGCGTCCGCGACCGGCTCGGCCGTGCTCGTGAGCAGCGATGTGAGCCGCGGCACGACCGAGATGACGTTGAAGATCTCCTTGGCCACCGTGTTGACCATCTGCGTGAGGTTGGACATGAGCGGGTGGAACTCGACGCGGCCGTCTTCGAGGACCACGTGCACGCGGAAGAGCGGGTGCGGGTCCGTCTTGGCGTCGCCGTTGATGGCTTTGCTGAGCTCCTGGAGCGATTTCTTGACGCTTTGACGGAGGGCGTCTTCGAGACTTTTGTCGGCGCGCTCGACGAACCGCGCCCACTCGCGCTGGACGTCCGGGGGGCCGCTGGCAAAGTGCGTGTACATGGCCCCCATCGTGCTGCGGATGCTCTCGTACGCGTCGCGCAGCTTCTTCTCAATCTCCTTGCGGTGGCTCGCTTGCTTGACTTCGAAGACGCCGTCGTCGTAGACCGAGTTGCGCTCGATCGCAATGTGCATGAGGCCCGCAATCATCTTGCAGTTGCTCGCGATGAGCTCCTTGTTGTCCTGGAACTCGCGCACGATGCGGTACGTCGTGTCGCAGTGCTTGCGGCAGTCGGCCACGTACCAGTCGACAATGCCCTTGCTCTGCCACGTGAGCTTTTGAAGCCCGGGCTGGATGCGCCGGTCGAGCTTCCGGATGATGTCGTCAAAGAGCCGACGCTCGGTCGACGAAAGCTCGTGCAGAATGCGGTTGTAGTCGCGGATGACGAGCACGACGTGTTCCCGCAGCACGCGCAGCTGCTCCTTCTGGTTGCAGATATCGTGAGCAATGTACGGGATCTGGACCTCGCCGTTGAAGTAGAGCCAATAATGCACCTCGGCAAAGAGCTGGAGCAGCGGCCGGTCAAAGTTGCAGTGCAGAAACCCTTTCTTGGAGCGCCCAATGAGCTTCTCGACTGGTGCGTCGCCGGAGGCTGGCTGCGCGACCGACGCCGCAGCATTCGAATTGGTGCTAAGGGCGTCGGCCGTCGGCAAGGCCGCGGCGGAGGCGAGCATCTCGGCACCGACTTTGGTCATGAGCGGGTTCTCGAGCCGCGCGTTGAGGTTCGCTTGCCCCAGTTCATTGAGCTCGTCGATCCAGTCGTGGTACTTTTTCTGAATGTAGTCGTTCAGCACGGCTTTGAGGCCATCGAAGTGCGACGTGGCTTCGTCAAACTCGATCGCGCCCGAGGGCAAGCTCGTGAGCTGCGAGAGGCGCGTGAGATCTTCCTTGCACTTGAGGAGGAGCCCGCGCGCCCAGAGCGCTGCGCCTGCGTACTGCGGCTCGGTGGCCGAGAGCGGGGGCGCGCCCTTGTTCTTCTCAAAGAGACTGCGCACCGTCGAGATCTGCGCCTTGTACATCGCGTACACGTCGATCGTACGCTTCTCGAGGCAGCGCCGAATGGCTTCGCGCTTGGAGATGGTCTGGAAGGCCTGCAGCAAATCGCAGCCGGCCGCAATTGTCGACACCGAGTCGAACGCGGCGTTGACGACGTTTTGCGTCATGGCCTCCAAGTCTTTGACGCCGTTCTTGAACGCGTTAAAGTCGCTGTGCCAGAAGGTGATTTTGACGTCAAGGATGTCGTAGTCGAGCTTGCGGAGGCGGTCAATGTGCCCCTCAAACTGCGTCTCGATGCCCATGAGCGATTTCACGATCTCGAGGCCGCGGTTGCCGCCAAAACACGGCAGACTCGTCGAGCCCCCGCCTTTGCGCGCAAACTGAATCTGGCCCTCGCACACTTCGAGGAGCTCGCGGCAGCGCTGCACGAACGCATCGACTTGGGCAAAGATGCTCGTATCATCGAAATGCCACTGGAGCGCGCCTTCGCGTTGGACGGCGTTGGTGACGTTGGCGTAGATGGTTTTCCAAGCCACGCCGCACGCGATGGTCTCCTCGAGGTTGCGGATGCTGCGGACGACGTCGCCGTCAAAGATGTCGCGTAGCGAGATGGTCTTGGCCGAGAGCGCAATGATCTCGTTCGAGACCTTGCGGAGAAGCGACGTGATGCGGTCCTCGGTGTTGTAGTAGCGCGAGTACATCCAAATGAGCCGAATGGACGTGAGGAGCTTGGGTAAGAGCGTAGGAATCTCGCTCGGCGTCGCTTTCGCCATTTGCTCGCAGATCGGACAGAGCTTCTTGAGGAACCGGAGGTTGTCGTTGGCCTCGAACGACCCTTGCTTGATGATCTGGCTCAGGGTTTCGAACGGCTGCAAGTACGACGACTTGGCCAGCGTGAGGATGTCGACAATGTCTTTGACGCCAGGGCGGTTGAGCTGCTCGGTGATGCCCGAGAGGTCTTCGGTGCGGTGCTCCCAAAACTTGATTTCTTCGAGCGGCCCCGCGCCTTCTGCGTCGTGGGCGTTGTCTTGGTTGTTGACGACCTCCTTGATCTGCCGCGTCCAATGGATCACCGTCGACTCGAGCTGCTGGACAAGGTCCTTGTCCTTGTGGTTCATCTTCTCACTCGCGATCGGTGGCAGGTACAAGACCGTCTTGCCGAGGCCCCGGGAGACCGTCTCGGTCAAGCTCGACATGAAGCGGTAGAACTGCGCTGTGAATTCCTTCTGAACACTCTCGGGCCAGTTCTTCTCGTGCTGCAGTCGCTGGAGGTAGAACGTGTTCATGAGCTGCAGCAATGACGCAATGCCTTCGCCCGAGATGGACCCGAACTGGAGGCTGCTGGCAGCACTCGACGCTTTCACGGCTACTTGGCCGTTCTTGACAAAGTAAAAGATGGAGCTGGCGTCGCGCGGCGCGGCGGTGCTCACGCGGAGGCCACCGGCAGGCGGCGTCGTCGACACGAAGAGCGCGGGCACGTTGGCACTCTCCGCAAACTCCTTGACGATCGCCGAGTCGGCCGGCGACCACTTGGTGGGCGCGTAGCCCGGCAGCCGGATGCGCTCGCAGATCCACGCCACGAGCAGCTCCGTCTCGTCGAAGCTATTGCTGCTCATGTGGGGCCTGGTGGCCCGGCCAGCAAATTCGAGATCTGGCTCGCGACGCCTCCCAAAGATTGTCCGGATAGAGATTCGATCCGGATATGAGATCCGACCCGGTGGTCGGGAGGGAATTGCACCAGCGACACTTTTCGAGGCGACTTCATGAGCGAGGCCAAGGAGGTAGACGACATGGTACATGCGAATGAAGAAGACAGGAGATGCCACCGTCCGTATGGCGATCAAGTGTTGAAGCGACTTGCAAACACGAAGGTAGCTGGGCGTACATACCGGGTACAGGTCATGGGGTACATGTACCTGCCTGACCAGCTTGACGTGGCATCGCAGGAGACGAGTGCCGGTACACTCAGTACCGGTACACTCAATAGACGCCATTACAACCCTACGACAGCTTCACGACCCGGGTAACTCGCCACCATCACTCATACTAGTACCTACCACTGTCCCTTTTGCGCTCATTTCCACTTGTGCTGCCATGTGGGCAACGATTGCGGATGTGCAGCCGCTCGTCTTGGCCTTTGCGGGGCCATTGACGGAGTACCTAAACGGTGTCCTCGACGAAGAGCTGAAGTACAACGCCAGGAACCGCGAAGAAGTTACGCTGCGCATCTGGACCGACGCCTTCCGCATGGACTGGTCCGGGCCGCTCGAGCGCCTTCCGTGCTCGCCATGCCTCCGTGACGTCGACTTCGCTTGCATCCGAACCAAGACCATGTACAACACGGTCATGGCGTACTTCGGCAAGTGCTGGCGGAGCGTCCAGCGAAGTGATTATTGCAACGCCACCTTTGCGCTTGCGAACAGCGGGAACTGGACAAAAGACCTTTCGCTCTGCGACACGGACGCAGCCGCCTTGCGGAACCTGTGGCTCGAGGACCTCGCGCCCTTCCTCGAGTATCCGATCGCGCTCGCCTATGCAGCGGTCTTTGGCGGCCACTATGAGCTCCTCCGCTACCTCGTCCGCGAGAAGGGTGTCGTCGTTGCTGACTTTGGCTACCTCCACCGGCTTGGTCGCGGTGGCTTTGCGATGGACGTCGCTGCCAAGTACGGTCATCTTGCCGTCCTCCAGCTGCTCCACGACGGCGGAGCGTCCTCGTGCACGACAGCAGCCATGGACGACGCTGCGATGAACGGTCATCTCGACGTCGTTCAGTGGCTCCAGCAGCACCGCACCGAAGGCTGCTCCCCCAATGTGCTCGATTGGGTCGTCATGAATGGAGACACAGCCATTGTCCGCTTCCTCCAAGTAAAGTACAACGTCGCATTCTCGCCAGAGGCACTTCAGCATGCCGCCTCGCGACCCGACCTCGACATTGTCAAGCAGCTGCACTACGTATGGCACGCGCCGTGCACGACAGCGACCATGGACGAGGCCGCGCTCGCGGGCAACTTGGCAATCGTCGAGTTTTTGCATCGACACCGAACCGAAGGTTGCACGGCGCGGGCTATGGACAACGCAGCCTTCGACGGGTCCGTCGACGTCGTCCGCTTCCTCCACGAGCACCGTAGCGAAGGCTGCACGACCCTCGCGATCGACGCGGCCGCCCGACGGGGACACCTCTCGGTCGTCGAGTTCCTGACAAATCACCGAAGCGAGGGGTGCACGGTGCATGCGATGGACCGCGCAGCGCATCGCGGCCGCGAAAACGTCGTGCGCTACCTCCACGAACATCGAACCGAAGGCTGCACGACGCGCGCGATCGATTGGGCCGCGTCCGCCGGCCACCTCTCGATCGTCCGCTTCCTCCTCACGCATCGCTCGGAAGGCTTTACGTTCCGGGGCATCTACTGGGCGGCGGAGTACGACCATCGCGACTACCCCGCCATCTTGGCCTTGCTGCTCTCGCACGACACGACCAAAGTGCACACGGCGGCGGCCGTCGCACGAGCCTTGCGCCTCGGTGACCGCAAGACCTTTGACGCGCTCGCCGCCGCCGGCTGCATCAGCGATGACGTGGACGTTGACGCCATCGACTGGCGACTGCCGCGTCGCGGGGACGCGATACAGGACGACCCTGCCACCGGGGGGTACAGCTGTGCCGACGCCGACGAGGACGAAGAGTACTTTCGGTTCCCGAGATTTTTTGACAAATTTTTGACCAAGGGCATGTAAGAGAGGAGGGCGTCGTTCAAACCGGCGGCGGATGATGGCACCGCTCAAGATCGCCCCGTCATATCGAACTTCCTCCTTCTCCCTTCTCGTTCTTCGATTTAACAGGGTAGTCGTCTCATCTCTTATATACCCTTGTTATAACCGACGGAGAATGTACACAGTTGTCTTCTGAGAATGCACCAGTTGTCTTTTCGAAGATTTAGTTTGTAACGGATGTACTACAGAAGAGTAGACTAGAGGCAAGGACAAAAGTAACCCATGTTGATCAGCATTTCATATAAACCCGACGGTCGACATCATTCGCCTCGTCGCTTTACGGAGCCGGCGGCTCCCACTCGAACGGCGCCGGCGGCTCGGCCTCCTCTTCGGCCCCCGCGCTGCCTTGCGACGGCGCCTGTACCGCCACCACCACCTCGGCGTCGGTCGGCGTCCGGTCCTTGAGAATGATGATGCCCGCGGGCCGGCGCGTGGCGACCACCGGCACGTAGCGCTGGCTCCAGTCGAACGCGAGGTGCTGCTCCTGCGCGAGCGTCACGCGCGCCGGGTTCTTGAGCGTAAACGACGTCGGCTCCTTGACCTTTTTCGGGGCCGGCGCCGCCATCTCCTCGTCGGGCTTGTCTTCCGCGACCGGCGCGGCCTCCTTGGCCTCCTGCTTGGCGAGACGCGCCTTGGCCTTGGCGGTCGTCGAGAGGATCGCGGTCGCGACAAGCTCCTTCTTCTCCTCCTTCTTCTCCTCAAGGCGCTTGGGGTATGCGAACGCCGACGGCTTCGTGCTGCACGTCAACCCAAACGACGTGGGCATCTTGAGGTCCTTGTTGAGGCCGATCGCGACCGTCGGCTGGAACGCGAGCTCGATAAAGTGGTGCAGCGGGTACCAGAACCAGTGCTGCGCCCAGAGCGCAAGGCCGACGACCGACGACATCTTTGTGAAGCCCGTGTGCGACTGGAGCGAAATCGCAACGTTGCGGCCACCGGCGTCGAGCAGACCCTGCGCGAGGACCGCGCCCATCTTGGTCATCGTCGTCACGTGCTTGTCCGACGTGAGCTTGCGCATCTTCTCCGTGATCTCCTTGACCTTGGGCGACCGCCCGTCCGACTCTTGCATGACGACCATCGCGAGCGCGAAGAGCGCGCCCTGGCGCACATAGTCGACCGCGTCGTCGAGCATGGGCTCGAGCAGCTGGATCGCTTCGTTCTTGAAGGTGCCGGCGCACGCGATGCCGACGGCGATGCACGCGCCGTAGCGCACGTGGGGGTTAAAGCTCTCGGCGAGGAGCGAGACGAGCTTGGGGACCTGCGCCGGCGTGCGGAAGAGCACAAAGCCGAGGCACGTGACCGCCGCGCGGCGCACGTCGTCGCTCACGTCGCTCACGGCAATGTGCAAAAGACGCTTGACGGCCTGGTTGTTGGCCGTGCCGACGTACGCCATCGCGATCGTGTAGACGCCGCCGTAGCGCACGATCGGGTCCTTGTCGCGCGTGAGCTGCTCAATCACCGCCTCGGCGTGCTCTTCGCGGCCGTAGAGCATGAGCGCGATGCCCATGACCGCGCCGCGGATGATCTTCTCGTGCTTGGTGTCGTGCGCGTAGCTCAAGAGCTCCTTGATCATGTCGCCGCCCACCGGCGTGTCGCCCGCACCGCAGTGCACGAGGCCGATCGCGAGGCCCGCGCCCTCGCCCGCGACCGCATTGTCCGTGAAGAGGATGTTCTTGAGCTCCTCGTAGATCTCGGGGTTGGCCGTGGCCATGCCTACGAGGCCGATACCGAGGCACGCGCCGTGCTGCACGACCTCGTCCGTGCCCGAGCTGCGCAGCGCCGCGCGGAGGTACTCGAGCGTCGTCGACGAGCCCTTGTTGGCGTGGATAAGGCCGAGCGCGTAGAGCGCGCCGCCCTCCGAGTACGGGTTGGAGGTCGGCGACGGCACGCCGGGCGTCGATGGCAGGTACGGCGCGAGGAGGTTCATGCTCTCGCGCGTATGGCCCTTGTGGATGACGCCGATGCTGGCCGTGGCCGTGAACTTGGCCCAATTGGAGGCCTTCCCGAGCCAGTCGAGGTTCTCGCGCAAGAACGTGTCGACGGTCGTGCCGCAGTGCATGAGCGCGTGGCTGCACACCGCCGCGTTGTGCAAGACCGAGTTGCGGTTCTCGACTGCGACCTTGATGTTCTTCATCACGAGCGGGTCGGCGTCCGACTGCCGGAACATAAAGTCGAGGAAGAGGTCGACCGAGAAGTCGCCCTGGAGGATCTTGCGCAGCGTCGAGAGACGGTCGTTCGCCGCGTCCTCCGGAAGCGCGCCGAGCACACTCGTGAGGAACTTTTGGTTGTCGTTGGCCGCCAAGTCGAATGCGACCTGGTACGCGACGAGCGCGTCGTCGAGCGCCTTGGCCGGCTGCACGAGCGAGACGAGGAGCGCGGCCACGTCGCCGTGCTTGTCGAGCAGCTGCAAACACTGGCTCACGTTCGAGTACTCGGGCACAGGCAGCGAGTTGTACACCTCGACCATGACGTTGATGACCTGGAGGCGGAACGCGCGGTTCGTCACCATCGTGCGGCAAATCTCAAAGCAGTACGACAGCATCGCGCTCACGTCCGACGACTTGCGCAGACTCTCGTCGACCTTGTCGAGGCGGCGCGCTTCGAGGGCGACGCCAAGCGCCTGCTTGTACGTGCCCGACGCGTAGCACCGGTCAAACATCTGCTCTACAATCGCCTGGAGGCGCGGGTCCAGCGGCGCTGGGTCCGCGCTCGTGCGGATGGCAATGTACTCGTCAATGCACGTCGCTAGCATACAGGTCAGCGAATCAAAGGCGCAGGCGACCAACGTACCAATGATGGTTTCTGTGTAGGGCGACGAGCTGTTGACGTCAAAGTACTTGCCGGCGCCGAGGGCCAAGCGGAGCGCGTCGTGGTATTCCTCGAGATGAAAGAAGCACTTGGACGCGACCGACGCTGCCAGCTCGCGGTGCGGGAACGCATCTTCTTCCGAGAGACTTTCGATGAGCGGAACAGCGTCCGCGATCTCCGCCCAGTAATGGTCCACGACGTCGTGAAGCTTCTGGAGCGCGTGCGCCTAGCCATGGCCATGAGTGCTGGGAGCCATATCGATGGGTCATCGTACGCGAAGCACGTCGTCTTGCTCTTCGAGTAAGGCCAAGATGCCCGAGGCTACGAAGCACGTCCATAAGATCCATGTCGTCGCCAAGGCCATGGCCGGCACGGGCCCTCGCCGCCCACGCAGGCGAGGCCGCCATGCAGGCGCTAGCATCGGCAGCGGTCGGTACCTGTGCTGGCTTTCGGCGCCATCGGGGTTGCGACGGCCAACATACTCTTCGTTCCTTTGCTGCGAGGATACAAACCAATATGGGGCTGCCCGCAAAACACCTCTGCCATTCGATACATTGGTGTATGCATTCTGAGAGGTCCAAGTCCGAATGATGGTCAAAGATCCCGAAATCGGCAAAGTCAGCGCTAAGAACTCACTCAAGCCGACATGCATTAGTGCCATCTTACGTCTGCCTACGCGACCGTGGCCTTCTCGCTGCCCTTGCCGATGGCCTTGGAGAGCGCGATCGTGCTGTGCACCTAGAGTAGCATCCAAGCTTCATCTGCGTCCAGAGCTGGCACGGCCTCGTACCGTGGCCATCGCAGCCTTGAGGCGGCGGCGCGAGTTCATGCGCTTGATGACGCCTGGCAGCTGCGCGTCCGAGACGTCTTGGCCGACGACCCACGGGTCTTCAAGCAGCTGCGCCGCCGTCGCCCTATTGCCAAGGGTGCGTTTGAGCGATGCTTGCGTTGGTGCTGATGACTACCGCTTGGTCGGGTCGACGACGAGCATCTTGGAGACAAAGTGCTTGGCGTCCGCCGAGATGTCGTCCCAGTACGGCGAGTTGAACTCGACGTGGCCCTTGAGGATCTTGCGGAAGAGCTGCACTTGGTTGTTGGCGTGGAAGGGCGTGTAGCCGCAGAGCAGCACGTAGGTGATGACGCCGATCGACCAAATGTCGACCGCCTTGCCGTACGGCGTCTTCTCCTTGGAGAAGACGTTGCGCGCAATCTCGGGCGCAATGTACCTACAACGCCCGATGAGCAGCTAGAACAGAAGCGCAAGTCTGAAGTACTCGGGCGTGCCGCAGGACGAGATCATGTTGTTCTCCATCGCGTCTTGCTTGGCGAGGCCAAAGTCAGCAATCTTGATCGACGCGTCGTCGTCCCGGCTCGTCATCAAGATGTTGTCGGGCTACGTCGCCATCGTCAGACGAACTCCTCGGCGATGCGGGTACCTTGAGGTCGCGATGGACGATGCCGAGACCATGGCAGTACTGGATGGTCTCGAGGAGGATCTTGATCAGGTCCCGGCACTCCTTCTCCGTGTAGTACTCCTATACACGCGTGAGCTGTCGCCGGCGAACGACGGGATACAATGACCTTTTCGACGATGCGATCAAAGAGCTCGCCGCCTTCGACGAGGTCCATGACCGTGTAGTAGTACTCGGCCTCGTCAAAGAACGCGTGGAGGTTGAGCACGTGCGGGTGGTGCATCTGCTTGAGGAGGTCGACCTCGAGGTAAATGTCCTTGACATCCTGCTCCGAGAGCTTGGCCTTGCGGAAGCATTTGACCGCGACCGTTTTGCCGGACGACTTCTCGATGGCCTTGCGCACGACGCTGAAGGCGCCTTCGCCGATCTTCTCGCCGAGGAGGTACTGCTGGCGGAAGCCGTTCGCCGGCGGGTCGCTGCTCCCGCTGCACGTCGTGAGGACGCAGCCCATGATCAACTGACTCACGACGACGAACGATTCAGTGGCACGCCGCGATGCCATTGGTCCATTCAAAACATTATGACCAATCAGCGACGAGGTGTAGACCTGGCGCCAGTTCGACCACCTTGTGATAACGACAGGCTCGGCTGCTGACTGGCATCAACCAAACCAGTCCATCGTCTAGTTACGAATCTAGTTGTGCGTCTGGTACTGCGCTCTCGACTGGTCACTTTTGCAGCGACGACGTAAAGATGCGCTTGAAGACGCGCGGGAGGTCCGACGTGTCGAGGCAGACGTGGCCGTGGCCCGGCGGGAGGTGCGAGAGGATGCGAGTCGCTTCGTCGGCAAAGGACGCGATGAAGATGGCGTGGGCGTTGACGCGGCTGTCGGCGGCGAGCTCTCGCCCGAGGACTTTGGGGTGGATGCCGTACCGGTCGAGGTTGGCGTCGCTTACGACAAACACAAAGTACTCGTCGCCGTCCGCGTTGGTGACGCTGCGCACCGCGTCGTGGATCGCGTGCACCGTGTGGTCCCCGCTGCTGCAGTACTGCGAGTGCGCCAGCATCTTTTGCAGCACCTGCATTTCGAATCGTAAGAGCAAGGGCAACGTCAGAGGGTTTGGACCTGGAGGCGCTGCTTGCGGTCGGCGGGCGGCTCGTTGAAGGCGACAAAGGGGATCGCGGGCGCGTCGCCGCTGTGGCCCATGATGGCGTACTCGACCTTGGCTTCGAAGCCGGCAAAGGCCTCCATCACCATCATCGTCGTCTCGAGCATGCGCTCTAAACGTCCGTACGAATAACGTCAAGGCAAGTATCAATGTGTCAAGTCAGAAAGACGGAGTGGAAAAGGATATGTCTTGGCCGTTGAAGCGGTACATGCTGCCAGAGACGTCCATGACGAAGAGCATGCGCTTCTTGAGCGGCGCGAGGTGGAGACCGTCGGGCGTGTCGGCGACGCCGCGCCGCTTGAAGACGTTGCGGTCGCCCGCGATGCCGTCGACGAGCTTGGCATCATCCCACTCGCCGCTCGACTGGTGCTTGAGCCACCCGCGCTCCTTCTCGATGGCTTCGAGGTTGCTCAAGACACTGCGCAGCTGGTCTGTCTCTTGCTCGATGCGGCCGAGGTACTACTCGTACGCGGGTCAGTACTCGAATCAGCCGACGCGATACCTTTTGGTACGCTTGCCACTCGCCGCCCGTCATGTCAATGTCCTTGAGCTTCTGCTGCAGCGCGGCGTCGGCCATGGCCTTGGCCTTTGCGCGGGCTTCGGCGCTCACCTCGTCTTTCTTGGCTTGCGACACTTGGTGCACCTTGTGGCCCTTGTCCAGGCGGTAGGGGCCCCCGCGGCCGCCGAGCCCGGCTGTGTCCGAGCCGCCGGTGCCGCCCGCCCACGTGTTGCCACCGACCTATGGCCACATATAACCGAGCGCCATTCAACACGTGTGTACGTGGGGGGTGTTGTCCGGGTCGTCTTTGCCGTACTTGGGCATACTGGCATCGGTCTTGGGCGTCGACGCGCCGCCGCCGTCCTGGAGTTCGAGCGGCGTCACGACGCCGGCGAGCGTGTCGTGATCAAACATGTACTTCCAGCTCGCCAGATCCTTTGCGAGCGCCGTCGGGTCCAGCTGCCACCGCCGCAGATCACCGCGCGACTGCAGCGTGAGGACGTCACCATCCGGCAACGCGGCGACGGCCACAATACCGTTCGACTTGGTCTTCTTGGTCTTGGGACGGGTCTCTGTCGCGACCAGAATGTCCTTGCTCGTCTCGGACTCCACGTCCACGACGCTCAGCGACGGCGCGCCGCCACGACTCGTGACGAGGCGCGGACTGTCCAAGACCGCCGAGGTGACGCGCTCGCCGTCATCGCCAAAGGGGCGCGGTACCGAGTAGACATCCACGATGCCTCCGTCGTCCGAGGTCACAAGTTGTTGATAGGCGGCCGCCGGGTGCGCGAGGAGCTGCGTGTCATCGCGACACGTCGGCGGCGTCGACAAAGCGTACGAGGCCTTCGTCGACAGCTTATGCTGCGTCACGTGGCGGCCCGCGGTCGCGTCGACAAGGTACACGTTGGTGTCGTCATCCGTGTAGTGGACGCGGTAGACGCCAGCGTCGGGCGAGAGGTGCACAGCCGCCACAGGCGCCGGCGTCGTCACGACCGTCGTCGACTCGTCGTTCAAGTCGACGATCTGAAGCGTCGGCGTCCCAGCCTGGAAGAGCACGATCTTGTCGTCGACGGCGTCCACCACGGCCTGTGTCTCGGTCCGGTCTAGCGACAAACGGTATATAGTAATAAAAGAAACAATGTATAGTACCTTGCGTCCACTGAAACATGGTGCGCGACGACCGCTTCTGGCTCAACGACGGCACAGCGTACGACTGGCGCACCACGTGATTCTCCGAGAGGACCAAGATCAAATCTGCCCTTCGTGTGACGCGCCGGTGGTGGGTCGATCAAGGGTACCTGCGCTGGGCACGTGGAGGACGAGGTCCTTCCGGTACGGGTAAATGCGCGGCGACGTGCTGCGCGTGTAGCCATAACTGTCTTCGAGCTCCGTGTAGAGGTGTTTTCTACTTCGCACCATCAGCGTCGCCACCTCCATCGATTGTGTACCGGTCGGTGCCAAAGTACGAGTGGATCCCGAGCGGCTGCGCGGTCGCCACTAGTTGATCGTTGCAAAAAACGTCTGCAAAGTCAGTAGCTATACCGTGCACCGAGGTCGACGGCAGCACGGCGAGGGACGTGGCCACTTGGTGCGCGCTCAGCGGCACCGTCCAGGACGCGACTTGCTCGGTAAAGATCTCGCGCCGGTGGTACTCGACGCCAAAGGTGCGCGACGTCGGCGGCTCAATGTACACGCGTCGCGTCTTGAGCGGCTTGCGCTCCAATGGCAGCTGCGTCGACGCTACCCGCTGCCACGAGTCGACCTTGGTGCGCGGTGGCAGTGGCGTCGACGGCGCCACCTCGATCGCAACCGTGCGTCGCGCCGAGGCGTGTGATGAGAGAGGGATGCCATGACTAGGATCGCAATGTGTATTAGCAGCATATCCAACTTAGAGGCCATGGCTACCGACAGTCTAAGCATGGGCGTGACAGAGAGAGACGTACCGGAGGAAGACGGCGGCGAGCAATTGGCGCAAGTTGGGGTCGTACGCGTCAAACGCCAAGACGTTCTCAAGCGTGTCGGTCACGCCGTCGCCCGGGAACGTCTGCAGGTGCTTGGCGACCGCGACAGCTTCGCGCGTCGAGTACGGATACGTGATGGCGCCGTCGTCGACGAGTTGCCGGAGCTCAGCGAACGCCGCGCAGAGACGCTCGAGCACGTCGACCGGAACGCTCGGCGCGTACGCCCGCAGCAGCGCGAGCTCGGAGGCCGCGTCCGGGTTGTCGATCGAGCTACGTAGCTTGAGTTTCTATGTAGACAGAGGTAGAGGCTGTACTGGCTCGCAAAGATGTCGCCGATCTCCGAGAAGAGGTTGTTGCCAAGGAACGGGTAGCCCGGACGGTTGGCCAGCACCCACATGCGGAAGTGGGGGTGCACGAGGATCGTCTTGTCGGCGTCAACGCCGTCCGTGGCGACCTTGGTCGGGTCCAAAATGCGACGGCCGTCCCCCTACGCGCATGTTGCCGACGCTTCTTGATGACGGAAAGAGCGGGTACGAGCAGCATCTCGCCGTCTTCGATGAGGCCCTTGAGCACACACACAACTTCAAGCGGCGCCTTGTCGGCCTCGTCGACGACCAGCGTCCGGCCTTCCTTGACCGCGCGCACCAACGGCGAGTCTTCCCACGTGATCTTGCCCTCGGCCAGCGACGGCACGAGCGTCAGCGTTTGCACCGTCGTCTACGTCTCGTCGAGCGTGTTTGGATAAGAAACCAAAGGACGTACATCGCGGTGGAGCTGGATGTACTCGCGCTCCTGACGCATGAGCTGGAGGAGCCGGTCGACGACCTTGTTCTTCCCGACGCCTTGGTTGCCGATGAGCAAGAGGTGGCGCTGCCCCGCCACAATGTCCTAAGCACCTCATCGGTACTATCTGAGAGAGGTCGACTCCTTGGTACCTGCAGCACGTTTTGCATCACGCGCGTGTGCTTGGGGATGTCGTAGTACAGCGGCTGCGGCACGAGCTCTGGCCGGGTCGGCGCCTTCGGGATCGGGTACGTCACGTTGCCGATCGTCAAGCGCGTCTCCGACGCAGTGATCGAGAGACCGTCCTCTACCGATTTGCATGAAAATCGAATAGCTTGGGCGATTGGGGGTAGGTACCACTGGAAGAGGCTGCTGAGACCGACGACGGTGGCGGCGTGTAGCACGCGTCCAGCGCCCGGTGGATGGCCTTGGCCAAGTTCGGGCCGACAAACGTCGTCATCATCGTGTCGTGCACGACCGGGCCGAGGTCATTCATGGCCGTGTCTGGGAACGCATCGAGGCGTCGGGCCATGCGCAGGAGCTGGCGCAGCGAGAGTGAGAGCTCCGGCGTCGCCTGCACCTGGTCCCAAAAGGCCACGAGCACCCTACGCATCGTCGTCATTCGACACGCAAATCAAGCTGGGCGTACGAGGTGACGGCGGCCGGCAGCGACGGGCTCAGGGACGTGAGCATGTGCTGCAGCTCGGTGCGGGACAGCGCCGGAGCGTGCGCAAAGGTCATCATGGCCAGACTCTCGGACGAGAGCCAGGACGGGAACTTGCCCTTGCCGGTGCTGTCGCCGAGGCAGAGGATGCGGAAGGCCGGGTGGATGGGCACTGCGCCGTCCGACTTGTCGGCCGAAATGAACTTGGCGCCGTCCGCGAGGTCGATCTCGCGGTCCTGCATGAGGCGCTGGAGCGTCGCCAGCGTGTCGCCGTGGAGCCGATGGACGCCGTCGAGGATCGCGACATGGCCGTATCGGGCCGCGTGCATCTACCATGTCTCTCAGCACTTGTGATTCGACCGACGTCAACGTACGAGCGGGCTATCTTCCCAGTACGTGTTGCCGTGGTCGTCGGTCGCCCGGCGCTGGTACAGATCGCGCGACGTCATGTCCTTGAAGAGCGTGAACAGCTCGGACGGGTACCCGAGCCGGTGTGCAAACAGCCGCGCCAAGCCCGACTTGCCACTGCCCTTGGGCCCGAGAAGGCACACGTCTTTCCCGAGCGCATGGTCCTACGCAGATCTTCTTCGTCGCTCTGTGACGTCGAGCAAGCGCACCTGCAGCATCGTCGTGAGCACATCGTGGTAGGCCGGCGCCTCCACGTAGCCCGGCATCGGCGCCATGTTCGGGCCCAAGGCGCCGCACGCGACCGAGATTGCGGGGTCTTGGCCAACGACGAGGTCCGCCACATGCGGCGCCGTCGCAGTCAGCGCGTAGCTCGGCGATGTCGATGACGACGACGATGCTGCTGCTGGGAAGAAGGCGTCGAGCACTCGCTCCATGGCGTCCTTGTGCTCGGTCCAGAGCTCAATGGGGAAAACGCGCCGGAGAGCGTCCCGCACGGACGCCGACGATGGAAACGCCGAGGCGACAGCGACGACATGCTCGATCGAAGCGAGGTGCGGGGGCCGCTGGCCATGGGTCGTCATGTCCTCGACGACATGGATGGCTTCGAGGAGCCCGACGAGCTTCTCCGTGAGCGGGAGCGACGCAGATGGCACGGACGCCAAGAGAGTTTCGAGGCGCACGCCCGGCGACGGCGGCGAGATGCGCCGGGCCTGGAAGCGCGATCGCAGCGGCGGGTCGAGCGTTCGCCCAGGAAACGGCGGCACGGGCAGCCCGAGGGCAATGACCCGGAACGCGGGATCGACGCGCACGAGGTTTTGCGCGGCCAGGGCCTCGGCCGTATGGCCTCCCGCCAGCAGCGCGTCGTAGCTGCAGGCGATTATAGAGTGCAACAGACAACAGGCTCTTACCTCTCGGCCTTCATGAGGAACCGACCGTCTTCGAGCGCCATCTCTCTGTAGATACAAGTAATAACGATAGGATAGCGAAGTAAATGGAGCCCACCGGTTCTCCAAGAGGTTGTTGAGCGTCGGGAGCACGTTGCGCTCGGCCTTCTCGAGACCTGCGAGCCATGAGTGACCAACGACGCTGCGGAAGCGTACCGTCGAGGATAAGGAGCCGGCCGTGCATGGCAGCGCGGACAGGCGCTTGGTCGGTAAAGATGGCGGCGCCGGCCGAGATCTCGCGACGCTACCCGCCGCCATAAGCTCAATGTTTGGGTGGAGGCATGGTGCACCTGCTTGAGGTCCGACTCGGTCGTGTCCTGCGAAATGGCCACGTACTCGACTTCGCGCTGCAAGAGCTCAGCAAACTGCAAGGCGAGGTGGCGGCGCGCCGGCCCGGGCGGGCTACATTGTCGCAGGAGCAAGGTGGTTCACCGAACGCTGCGGCGACGTACCCGATGAGGAACATGTCTTGCTGAAGCACGTCCTTCTGGAGCATCCAGCGAAGATGCTGCAATGACTCCTGCGAGCGCCATGAGTTTACGCTGAAGGAGACGGACTGTATTACCTGCGAGAGCGTGCTGGGCACAAAGCCTCGGGGCACCAAGTGCGGTTCCTACATGCATGTGGGTGGTCCTGCAAGGTCGACGCAAGCAGCGTACGCTGGGCGTGGCCTTGGGCACCGAGATGCCACCAATCTGCACGGTGCTCATCGCTGCCTTCTGCAGCTGGACGACGCGCCAGTGGCTCGACCGACGACCGACCCGTTGGCGGAGCATGCTACGATCGAATTCCAGAGTTGACGTAAACAGGAGGTTTTGATGTGGCTAATTGCACGCCACTAATAACTGCAACCCTAATCGCGATGCAACAGGAAGTCGAGCAAGTTATAAAAGGCTAGTTATATATCTTTCGATACGTCCGAGTCGCGCGCGCGTAGGTGGTTGACAAGCATCGTGGCCTGGACCTACTTCAACGGTCCGTGAGAAGATGGCAGTCGGAGCTATTTGCATGTTACCGCGGCCTTGAACTTGCGCCGGGACTTGTTGAAGTCCGGCAGCTTCTCCATGACGCTGACAAGGTTGCGCGCCGAGACGTTCTGGCCGACGATCCACGGGTCCTGGAGCAGGTCGAGCGCGGTCGGCCGCACCTTGGGGTCGAGTTCGAGCGCGCGCGAGACAAAGTCCTTGGCGTCCTGCGACACCTCGCTCCAGTCCGGATCGTAAAAGTAGAAGCGGCCGTTGACGATGTTGTCAAAGAGGATGTTCTGGTTCGGGTCGTGGAAGGGCGTGTAGCCCGCGAGGAGCACGTACGTGATGACGCCAATCGACCAAATGTCGACCGCCTTGCCGTACGTCGCGTCCGGTCGCGAGATGATCTCGGGCGCCACGTACTCGGGCGACCCGCACGTCGTCGAGAGGCCGTTCGTGTCCTGCTTGGCAAAGCCAAAGTCCGCGATCTTGATGGCCGAGTTGTCGGCCTTGGACGTCATGAGGATGTTCTCGGGCTTGAGGTCGCGGTGGACGACGCCGACGCTGTGGCAGTACGCGATCGCTTCGAGGAGCGTCTTGACCAAGTCGCGCGCCTCCTTCTCCGAGTAGTACTCCTACGTCGCGGTGTAGCGTGAGGCAGCCACATGCAAAGACAAGCAAACGTACCATGAGCGCGATCCGCTCAAAGAGCTCGCCGCCCTCGACGTACTCGGTCACGAGGTAGTAGTACTTGGGCTCCGAGTAAAAGTCGACGAGGCGGAGCACGTTGCGGTGGTTGAGCTTGCGCAAGATGCGGACTTCGGAGAGGATGTCGGCGTCGTCCTGCGCCGAGAGCGTCTCCTTCTTGAAGATCTTGACGGCGCAGAGCTTTCCGGTCGCCTGCGACCGCGCCTTCTTGACGATCGCGTAGCTGCCTTCGCCGAGGACGCCGCCGAGCGTGTAGTGCTCGCGGAAGAAGCCCGGCGACGGGTCGTCGTTCGAGTCGTCCATGCGCTCGACCTCCGTGGCCACCTCGGAGGCCACGTCCGTCACGTCCTTGTCACCGTCGTCGTCGCCGAGGCCCGCTGGCCGCCGGACGCAGGAAAAGCCGCAGCCCATAGCTCTCAAGGCGAACGAAAAATTGCGATCTCGACCATCCCACGTAAACGCTCTCTGACGCATCCATGTTATAACACATATTTATATCCAGCCCACAACCAAGGGTGGCAAGCTGCGCGCCACGTGCTGTCGCGACTACCTTGCCGGAAGAGACGACCAGCCTCCTTCTAGACGCGGGCATCGACAGTATACGCTAAGGACAGCATCGCAGAGCATTCGCCGCGCGGAAGAGCCGTACGTTGAGTCCAGTAGTGGGCAGTGTTATAACACTTGACCCACAATCCGACGCAGCGGTGAATTCTTCGACTGTGACACCGTGCAGTAGGCGCAGCACGTGCATGGACGACTGCCGGACGCATGCTTCTGACAGGAAGACGCATGCAAACGCTGTGGCAGACGCATGGAAGCGGAGTACATGACAGAATGGACCGCGAGATGGAAGCTTGGAAGAGGTTCTATTGCCAAAACTGGGGCTAGATTAAGTAGATACACTAGACGACGACGTCAGTGGGGGCACGGGCAGGCGGCGTCATGGGCGTCGACGCAGACCGGGCGCGAGCGTTGTTGAGGAGCGACACGGTGGCCTGCACGGTCTTGACGGCGGCCTTGAACTTGCGGCGCGCGTTGAAGCGGCGCAGTTCGTCCATGACGCCGTTGAGCGGCGTGGCCGAGACATCGCCCGTGATCCAGACGTCGTTGAGGAGCTCGTCGACGGTCGCGCGCGCAGATGGGTCGACCACGAGCATGCGGCGCACAAAGGCCTTCGCCTCGTTGGACACGTCGTCCCAGTAGGGCGACTCGAACTCAAACTGGCCGGATTTGATGTTGTTGAAGAGCACCGTGTTGTTCTTGCCCGAGAAGGGCGGGTAGCCGCAGAGGAGGATGTACGTGATGATCCCGGCCGACCAAATGTCGACCTGCTTGCCGTAGAACGACCGCGCGAGGATCTCGGGCGCAATGTAGCTACATCCGAGAATGAGCAACCGATATTACAGGTCCAGAGGAGCGTACTCGGGCGACCCGCACTTGTCGGTGAGCTTGCCTTCAAAGTCCTGCTTGGCAAAGCCAAAGTCGGCAATCTTGATGGACGTGTCGTCGCCACGCGACGTGAGCAGAATGTTCTCGGGCTACTACCATGTGAGACGTCGAGGAAGAATGAAGAGGTTGACTACCTTGAGGTCGCGATGGACAACGTTGAGGTCGTGGAGGTACTGGATCGCGTCCAGAAGCGTCTTGATCAAGTCGCGCGCCTCCTTCTCCGAGTAGAACTCCTTCTCGACGATCCGGTCAAAGAGCTCGCCGCCCTCGAGGAGGTCCGTGACGATGAAGAAGTGCGAGGGCTCTTCGAAAAAGTCGTGCAGCTGCAGCACGTTCTTGTGCTTCATGAGCTTGAGGATGCCCACCTCCATGAAGAGGTCGCGGATCTCGTTCTGCGCCATCTTGGCCTTCTCAAAGCACTTCACCGCGACGCGCTTCCCATTGCGCTTGTTCGTGGCCACGTATACGACAGCGGTCGCACCTTCGCCGAGCTTCTGGTCGACGTCGAGGGCGTAAATGTCGGCAAAGTGGTGCGACGAGACGAGCGACGGGCGCGACTGGATCGCCGGCGAGAGCGACTCGTCGTCGACGCGCGGACTCTGCGGCGGCGTCGAGAGATTGTCGCTGTCCTCGAGCGGGCCGTCGACGGCGGCCGTGGCCTCATGCACGTCGCGGGACTTGGGCTCAGCATGGCCCTCGTCCTCGGCAGGGCGCGGGCCGCGGCCACAGCAGCACAGCTTCGAGTTGCTTCCGCCCATGGTCTCTTCGTCGTGCAAATAGCAGTGTGGTGGCTTTATCCTTCCCTGTATGGAATCCAATACACTGTCAATGAGCGCGATTGTAATATAATATCTTTTTATTTGTATGTAATATTTTATTTTATGGTCGTAGTGGATTGTTTGGGCTTTTTAGCCAATCAGCGCGCGTTTTTCCATCCCACGACGCCACAATCCAAGACGTCGGCCAATCACCGACGCCGATCCGGTACCACATACCCAATCACAGGCGCGTATCTTGTGTCGACACTGGCGACACGCAACTCTTTGCGAGAATTAGTATCATGACCAAGGATGCCAGCGCCACCGAGTAGCTTGCGCTCGCCCCAAGCACCGTTGCCGCTGCCTCCCGCCTTGCCGCACCTTGTTCTTCCGCCTTTTACTTCTTTACAGTATTAACACCGCCGGTCGAGCCCACGTCACATGGCACATGCTTCAATTTGGAAAAAATGTGTGAAAATCGCAGCTGAATTTTACAGTATTTCCACCGTCGCGCGAGCCGAGCGTCTGAACCCTCTGTCCAGCAGACGCAGAAGTATCTACCATAAGCATGAAGTGCTTTCTTGGATGAGCTCTGGCCGCGTCGACGCCTCGCACGAGCGTCGGTCGCTCGGAGTTTCAATATCCTCCCACTGCACTGTAGTACTGTAGGACAATATGATTATTTTTGGCCAATCAGAGACCGCTCTGCCATCCTCGAATTTATGCCAGAGCACGATGGGCTGCTGCGGCGGAAGGCTCATCATGGCGCAGGAGGACGGGGCCGAGGCCGACGCCGTGCACCTTGAGGTGGATCCCGAGACGAAGGCTATCAAGCTCTCGGGGCCGTCAACCGACTTTGCGGCGCACTACACGCTCGGGCGCGAGCTCGGGCGCGGCGCCTTCTCAGTTGTGCGCGAGGTAGTGCACACGGCCAGCGGCACCAAGTACGCCGTCAAGTGCGTCGAGAAGCGCAAGATGCTCGAAGTGGACTACACGTCCATGGCGTTTGAGGTCAACACGCTCAAGAAGGTACGGTCGCCTTGCAATGCACTGCCGGATCAATGAGCCTCATGATGCTAGCTGCGCCACCCCAACATCCTGACCTTTTACGACATATACGAAGACAACGAGTACTTCTACCTCGTGACAGAGTTCATGGAAGGCGGCGAGCTCTTTGAGCGGCTGGTCGAGAAGGTTGCTTCGATGCTCGCAGGCATCTAGTCTTGCTAACCTCGTCTGCATGTAGTCGTACTACACGCAGCACGATGCGAAGGAGGTCATCACGACGCTGCTCAAGGCCATCAAGTACTGCCACGAGCGTGGCATCGCGCACCGCGATCTCAAGGTCGACTCTGTTATAAGTGCATGTGCCATTACGCCGTGATGTAGCCTGAGAACATTCTGCTCACGAGCAAGACGGACGACGCATCGATCAAGCTCGGCGACTTTGGCCTCGCCATCACGCACGACAACTGCCGTAGCATGACCACGCGCTGTGGCAGTCCCATGTTGGCTCTCCGGCAATCGATGTGGGAGGTCTCATGCTTATGTAGCTACACGGCGCCCGAAGTGCTCGACATGGAGACAACGGCGTACGGCAAGGAGTGCGACATCTGGAGCATCGGCGTCATCACGTTCATGCTTCTCTCGGGGTCGCCGCCCTTTTACGAGTCGAACCTCGCGGACCTGTACCGCCAAATCAAGGCCGCCGACTACCACTTTGACCCGTACTACTGGGGCCACGTCTCGGAGGACGCCAAGCACTTCATCTCGCGCATGCTGGTCGTCGACCCGGCACAACGGTGGACATGCTTGTATGACCCGCGTATCACATAGCTCATCGCTGCGTAGCGCGACGGCCGATGAGCTACTGCAGCACCGATGGCTCGCGGGGTCGTCCCAGGTTCTCTGCTACTGTTGGCCCGGGTGAACCTCATGGCGCTGCTGCTGTAGGAGCAAAGCAACCCGTCGTTGCTTCAGGCGCTCTCAGAGCTGCGCAAGTTCAACGCACGGGATACGATCAAGCGCGCCATCTCGTCCGTACGTCGCTGTCTCGCATGTCACGACGGGAAGATGACGGTATTGCACTAGGTCAAGATTGCCGTGTCGATGCACCGACCGAGCGGACTCAGCAGCAGCTTTGTCAGCAGCGAATGCTCCCGACGGGTCGTCAACGGTAGTCTGACGTCGCCGGCTGCCAAGAGTGCCAGTGGGACACCACCTGTACCGCCAATGGAGGACAGCGACGACAGCGAAAACGACGTATTCCAATCGTTCATCCAGACGGTGCCGCCGCCGGCCGAGGTGCCCACCGTGACAAAGCCGGTCGACGACATGCCCCGTCTCTCGACTGGCGACGACGACTGGATATGACCAATGCTATTGCGATGTTTGTTTCGAGTCGTTGCTCTCTTATGCAGACGCCACGGGCTTGGAGCTGAAGAGCCGGCCGAGCACGACCGACGTCTTGACCTACAGACCCGCTGAGAAACCTCACACCCAAGAGAGGGCAGACCGCCGACATGACGCCTTTGAGCTTGCGACGAGCTTGGAGCCGGCGCAGCTCCGAGCCAATGTCGAGCGACGTCGTTGGCACCTGCGGTACACACATCCACGGGTGCGCCAGCAAGTCGTCGATGGTTGCCCTACGCATGTGGATGACATCAGCATTTTTGGAAGGGTAGCGCACCGCCTGGCAGGATCGACGACGAGTGCGGCGGAAATGAAGGTCATAGCGTCCATCGAGACGGCGCTCCAGTACGGCGCGTCGAAGAGAACCTTGCCGCGTTTGATGGCCTTGAAGAGGTGAAACTGGTTGGCGCCGTGAAAGGGGAGGTAGCCACAGAGCAAGACGTAGGCAACGATGCCGATGCTCCAAATGTCGACCGGCGCCTCCTCAAAGCACTTGCCGTCGCCGTCGCGTTGCATGACGCGCAAGAGAGACTCGGGTGCCACGTACCTACTCTTACTCGTCAAGCGTCGTTCTCGTCCATCGAGAAGAAGACTTACTCGAGGGCGCGGCCGTGCGGCCGGCCAAACCGAGTGAGCACAAGCCACGTATCGTCGTCGGGTTTGGTGAGCACAATTGTTTCGGGCTACACGCAAGTCGTATCTCAATCTCAAAAGACGCCTGTACCTTGAGATTCGAGTGCACAACGCCCGCTTGGTGGCAGTGCTGAACAGCATGCAACAGCACCTTGACCAGCGCGCGCGCTTCTGCCTCCGAGTAGCAGTCCTACTCTCCGTGCGACTTCTGCTGCTACTGTAGTGCGAGTACCTTGTCGACGATGCGGTCAAAGAGCTGGTCACCGGTCGCCGCCGTGAGCACGAGGTAGAGGCCGTCGGGCTCGGCGTCGAAGTAGTCGAGCACCTTGATCGTGTGCGGGTGGTCGAGGCGCCGAAGCAATTCGACTTCGCGCGTGACACCCGCGATAGCATCGGCCGAGAGGCGACTTGTATCGTAATGAACGACGTGGACGGGCGACGACGACTCGATCGTTGCAGCGCGGTGGAGGACGCCCACGCCGTCATGGCCGATGCGCTCATGGAGGACGTACTTGGCGTGGAAGCTGGCGCTCGTCGTCGTCGTCGACGATGACGCTTTGGCGAGACGCGCGAGCGTCATTGCGGCCTTGACCGTCCGCACGACGCAGCGGAACTTGCGCTTGAGCAGAACGCGGCGCAGCTCGTCCTTGGCCGCTGTCAACGGCGTCGCGGCAACCTACGTATCCCAGTCCATTTCAAGTCGTGGGTTCGGACGTGGTACGTGGTCGGCGTGGAACCATGGGTGTTGGAGCAGTTGCGCTGCCGTGGCCCTGGTCGCGGGTGTTAGGTATGAAGCTACGGTAGAAGGTACCGGTGGGCAGGGTCGGCGACGAGCATGGCCGAAATGATGCGTTTGGCGTCGTCCGTGACTCCGTCCCAGTACGGCGAGTCAAACACAAAGGTCCCGCGCGAGATGGAGGCTTCGAGACTCGGCGGGTCGTTGCCATAGAACGGAAGGTACCCGCTCAAGAGAACGTACGTGAGGACGCCAATGGACCAAATGTCGACGGGGGGTCCGTAGGGCGTGGCGCGTCGGCGGTTGGCAAGGACCTCGGGGGCCGTGTAGCTAGTCGATTTTGTGATCCAACTCGACTCTCACAGCGAAAGCACGTACTCCAACGAGCCGCAGACGCATGTCAATCGCCCATCGTCGTGCGTCGCGAGGCCAAAGTTGGTCAGTACCATGGCGATATCGTCGTCTGGCGACCGCAAAAAGATGCTTTCGGGCTACAGCCACACGACTGCGCAAGTGCTTTGTCTCAGTGACGGTACCTTGATGTTGCGGTGGACTACACCTTTCGCATGGAGGTGGGCGACGCCGCTCAAGAGCTCTCGCAGCAACGCGCGCGCGTCACGTTCCGAGTACCCATTGTCCTAGCGCCATGATGTCGAGTGACAACAATGGAGCATAATCATCGTACCTTGGCGACGATGCGCTCAAAGAGGTCGCCACCCGCTGGGAGGTCGGTGACGAGGCAGTAGTGGTCGCTCTCAGCGTAGAAGTGATGGAGACGCTCGACGTTCTTGTGCGCGATGCTCTGCAGCACCGACACTTGGCGGTTCAAGTCGATCTCGTCCTCGAACGTCATGAGGTCTTTCTCATAAAACTTGACGGCGTAGCGATCGCCGGTCGCGACTTCGACGGCCTCGCGGACGACCAGCGCCTTGCCCTCGCTGAGCACATTGGGGCTGATGGCGTAGTTCTTGAGGAGGGCAGCACTCGCACACTCGGGCTCGACCACATACGGGACAGCGACAGAGCCCTGCCGCCGCAGCGTAGGTCGCACTGGAGCGACGGGAGCCGCGCAGAACGCGCGTTGGAGGGCGACCGTGGCCGTGACGGTCAACACGGCAGCGCGGAATTTCCGCTGCAGATTGAGGCGGCGAAGCTCTTCCTGGGCACCGCGTAGGGGCTTGGACGCGACCTGCAACACGCGTCAAGCAGTGAAATGTGAGAGTCTGTCGACCTGAGTGCTTGTCATCCAGGGATGGGAAAGAAGCTCGCGGGCCGTCGGGCGCTGCTTTGGATCGTGAATGAGCATTTGCGTGATGCAGTCCTTGGCCATCGCCGAGATAGAGGCCCAGTCGCTGCCGTCAAACTCAAACTGCCCGGCGGTGATGCTCGCAAAGATCGCGTCTTGGTCGTCGCCGTAGAACGGTAGGAAGCCTGAGAGAAGCACGTACGTCACGACGCCAATGGCCCACACATCGACGGGTGCGCCGTAAGGAGAGTGCGAAGAGCCGTTGGCGAGGATCTCGGGCGCGACGTAGCTACCATTTCGCATGAGTCGACGAACGCCAGGTACATGGTGCGTACTCAGGCGCCCCGCAGATGCTCGTGTGCTCTTCGTGCGCCGATGCGGCAAAGCTAAAGTCGGTGAGCTTGATGTTCGTGTTGTCGTGGACGCTCGTGAGCTTGATGCTCTCGGGCTGCATGTACTGTCTGAAGCCTAGGATGATTTGCAGGTGGCTGTACCTTGAGGTTGCGATGCACCACGCCTTGGTCATGACAGTACGCGATGGTTTCCAGCAGCGTCTTGATCAAGTCGCGGGCTTCGCGCTCCGAATAGCTCTCCTAGCAGACGATGCATGAGGCGAGGCCGTGCAGGCGCCAGCAGACCTTGGCGACAAGCCGATCAAAGACATCGCCGCCTTCGACGAGGTCGCAGACGATGTAGAGCTGGCTGCCCTCGGCGAAGATGGCGTGGACGTTGAGGATGTGCGGATGGTGCAGGACCTTGAGCACCTCGAGCTCGTTCTGCATGTCGATCTCGTCCTCGAAGCTCATGCGCTCCTTGTCGAGGACCCTCATGGAGAAGAACCTTCCTTGCGGACGATGGAGGACCTTATGCACCGCTCCATGCGGCTCCTCGTAGAGCAGTCGCCCGATGATGTACTCGTCCATCATCATCGTCGCTCCGTGGATTTTGCAAGTTGAGATTTGTATGCGGCTTGGCACAATGGAATGTTCTTATCGGATTGGTTGAAACAAACGAAATTTGACCAATCCAAGGCCAAGAAAGATACTTTTCTCGCGGGCGTGGTGCACGTCGCGCAACCCTGACACGTCAGTGTGCCCACCACTCGACACCGTCCTCTCAACCAGCAGTACAAAAGCGTTTCGGGTTGTCTCTGTGCGCTACTACCCTATCCTAGTACCTCGCTTGATTGTTTATAATGATTCAGCGAAACACTAGGGAATTTAGGGACTGGGGTCCGCGAGCTCGAGAAGAGCCGAGCCATAAGGACAAGCGGTCCTTCCCAGAACATGTACACTAGCTACAAGAGTACAGTGTATCTCACGACCCAAGGGATATCTGGTTTGATGCTTCAATCGCTTTGCAGAATCTCAACGCGCAGGTTCAAACCACTTCGCACCTGCTTGGACCCAAGATAAGCTTGTCATGTAAGCTGCTCGATGGGCTAGGATACATAATTGTATTTGGCCAACGTACAGTGTACGTCAGCCGTAAAGATGTAATCCGAGTTCCAGATATATAGAGACGAGAGTACGACGTCTACCCCGTTCGGACCCTTGCCGTCTGCGTTAACGTGTACAATGTCCTCTTCGCAGCTCGATTCGTGATTTATGAAAGGCACATTGTACCATCCGCACGGGTTCCATCCAAATCACTCGGACGACGGGGTTGTCTCAACCGGCGACGCACGATTGGCTAAAATACCGCCAATGAGATGCTGTCGGTGGTTTGCAAATGGGCAATGTGGCATAATTCGAGGAGACACCACCCTGTTGGGCACGATGAGCGCAGCTGGCGATGGCGAGCAGCGTGCCGGCGTGGCCGTCAAGGACCTTCCGCGCGCCGACTTGGCCTTCGCCGCCAAGTACGAGATGGGCGACGTCGTGCCGGGCCGCTCGTCCGCCGTGCGACGCGCCACCGAGCGCAGCTCGGGCAAGGTCGTCATGGTCAAGCGCTTTGACCGGACAAAGCTCTCCAAGGCCGACATGAAGGAGCTCCGGAAGGAAACCTCGGTCTTGCGCAAGCTCGCGGGCCACGCCAACGTCTTTGGCCTCCACGACTTCCTCTACGACACGTACGAAGTGTACGTGGTCACGGACCTCATCGAGGGCGACGACCTCTTTGAGCGCATCGTCAAGAAGGTGCATCCGCATCATCGTCGAATCTTTAGCCTATTGCTGACACTAGGAGATCTACACGGAGAAGGAGGCGCGCGACGTGATCAAGACGCTCCTCGAAGCCGTGGCCCACTGCCACGCGCACGGCATCGCGCACTGCGATTTAAGCCCGCAGAACGTGCTCTTCACGAGCAAAGCCAGAGACGCGACGCTCAAGCTCACGTCGTTTGGCTTGGCCCAGGAAGAGGGCGTCGACACCTTCTCCGTGCCGTGCGGCCTCCCGACGTTCATCGCGCCCGAGGTCGCCAAGAGTCTCATCTCGTACGAGACTGCGATCTACACGAAAGCTATTGACGTCTGGGCGGTCGGCGTCATTGCGTATACGATTCTCTGCGGCTACTTGCCCTTCTACAACCACACCGAGTGGAACCTCTACAAGGAGATCAGCAAGGGCGACTTTAGCTTCAACGACGCTGACTGGGCCGCTGTCTCGCCGTCGGCGCAAGCGTTCGTTGCCCGTGCGCTCGTGGTCGACCCCCAGCAGCGGTACAAGACTTCTACAGCTCTCGGGTTGATGGAGTGCATGTAGCCCCACGGCCGACGCGCTGCTTCAGGACGCTTGGGTGACTGCCTCGAGCGTACATCGCCGCTTTACCCCTACCGTACTTGGACACGGATTGCGTAGGTGGCAACGACGCCGCTGGTGAACGCCAAGGCCGAGCTGCGCCAATTCAACGCCCGGCGGAGCTTCAAGGCCGCGATCCACACGGTATACTTGTACATAATCACTGACTATATAAATTGTAAAATGCGTGTCGGTAGGTGCAGGCCGCGCTCTCGCTCGCGCGCATCGCCGAAGTCGCGGACGAAGACAACCAGCACAGCGACGCGTAAAAGTTGCGTGCATATAGTGTGTTCTTCTATCGCAAAGTGCTTGTACCGAGTCGACGTTGCGTTTTCGGATCTACGGAAACAAGGGGTGAAGGTTCATTTGCGGCTGGCGGAAGCAGGAAGCAGCATGAGCAGCAGCGGGAACGAGTCGATGGGCCTCGAAGGAGGCGACATCTGGGGCGAGATCGAGCCCGAGATCCTGGGCATGACCAACGACGAGCTCAAGCAGCGCATCCGCCTCCTCGACAACGAGATCCGCATCATGCGCTCCGACATCACGCGCATCAACCACGAGAGCTCGAGCCAGCGCGAGCGCATCAAGGAGAACAACGAGAAGGTCAAGCTCAACAAGCAACTGCCGTACCTCGTCGGCAACGTCGTCGAGATCCTCGAGATGGAGAACGAGGACGACGAGCAGGATGGCGCGGCCACCGACACGGACGCGGCGCGCAAGGGTAAGAGCGCGGTCATCAAGACGTCGACGCGCCAAACCATCTTTTTGAGCATCCCGGGCCTGGTCGACACGGAGAAGCTCGTGCCCAACGACCTCGTGGGCACCAACAAGGACAGCTACCTCATCTTGGAGAAGCTGCCCGCCGAGTACGACTCGCGCGTCAAGGCCATGGAGGTCGACGAAAAGCCCACGGAAGACTACAGCGACATTGGTGGCCTCGACAAGCAGATCCAAGAGCTCGTCGAAGCCGTTGTGCTGCCCATGACGCACAAGGAGCGCTTCGAAGCCATCGGCATCACGCCGCCCAAGGGCGTCTTGCTCCATGGCCCGCCGGGTACAGGCAAGACGCTGCTCGCGCGTGCTTGTGCCAAGCAGACGGATGCCATTTTCCTCAAGCTCGCGGCCCCGCAGCTCGTCCAGATGTTTATCGGTGACGGCGCCAAGGTACGATGCATTGTATGTACAGCATCGTCGAACCATGGCCAACATATAGCTCGTCCGCGACGCCTTTGAGCTTGCAAAGGAGAAGTGCAAAGACAAGGACAAGGGCGGCGCCATCATCTTCATCGATGAGGTACATGCATCGCACCAGGTTGAAGGAGCATGGAGCTCATGACGGTGTGTAGTTGGACGCCATTGGTACAAAGCGTTTTGGTGGCGAGCAGTCAGGCGACCGCGAAGTCCAGCGCACGATGCTCGAGCTCTTGAACCAGCTCGACGGTTTTACGAGCAACACGAAGATCAAGGTCATTGCTGCCACGAACCGACCGGACGTGCTCGACCCGGCGCTCCTGCGTTCGGGTCGTTTGGACCGCAAGGTACATTGCACTTAGCACCTTGGGTACGCATGACCTATTTGCCCGTAGATCGAACTGCCCCACCCGACAGAAGAAGCCCGTGCGCGCATTCTCCAGATCCATTCGCGCAAGATGAACGTCGACACGGACGACGTCAACTTTGACGAGCTCGCGCGCTGTACGGACGACTTTAACGGCGCACAGCTCAAGGCGGTACGCCTCCTGCCCGCCACCGGATTGGGTCTCACACATGGTGGTAGGTGTGCGTCGAGGCTGGTATGCTTGCGCTGCGTCGGGAGGCCACGATCATCAAGGTACACTCGGACCCTCTATCGTCCTCGTCTCATGCGCATGTAGCACGAAGACTTTATGGAGGGCATTGGCGTCGTGTCGGCCAAGAAGAAGGCGACGCTGCAGTACTACGCGTAAACGAGGCCGCCCAAGCTCTTGGGATTCTACCGTGTCTATACTATTTCGCCCTCTTGATTACATCTTAGTACTCGTACGCGTCGGGAAACTCGACCGAGACGGGGCGGCGGCCCACAGGCGACCACGGGCGCACGTCGCCGCCGGCGAGGAGGCCATCGATCGCGCTGCACGAGAGGTTGACGGCGTCGAGTGCGTCGAAAAAGCTGCTCGGGCTCGTGCTCTACGCATACCATGACGCCATGCACGTTCGAGAACTGCACCTTGGGAATGTCGTGGAGGAAGCGCATGGCGTCGCCAAGGTCGAGCGTGAGCAAGTGCTCTTCGTACAAGATCAAAATCGCTACGCAAGAGCTCCATTGTCTCTAGCCAAGTAGCGCCGGAGCATGTACCCATGCAGGCTTGGAAGAAGAAGGGCGTGCCGACCAAGATGTAGACGTCCCATATCCGCAGCACGACGTCCAGGGGCACGCAGCGCGTGAAGAGCGTAAAAGCCCTAGCATACATCCTCGCATGCGTCGTCCTTGGACAACGAGGAGGACGTACCAGTCGACGACGTACATCTTGGCGTCCATGCCGATCTCCTCAAAGTACGCGTGGAGCGCCGGCAGTTCGTGCTGCAGAATCGTGTCGTAGACGCGGAGGTAGTGCAGCGTCTAGCGCAAAGTATCAAGACAGTATCAACCGCCGGGGACATGATGTACGCGGTCTTCTTCGAGGCGGTACATGTCAAAAAGCAAGCGCGTGCTGAGGAGCGATACCATGGCCTTGAAGGCCGAGAAGCTGTCCATATGAAGACACAGAATCGCGGCCAAGTAGCTCATGCCTGCGCCAATATATCGCAACTCGAATCCCGCCAGTCGTCGTACCTTGCACGTAGCCGAGGTCGGGGCGGTAGCACGTGTACGCTTCGAGGACTTCGTACGTCTTTTGCGCTCCGACGGCGCCGGCTTGGAACTGCGGGTGGCTCCCGAACGTCCGCGGCATGTCGAGCTTGACGAGCTTGATGTTGCGCTCGTTGTCGGCGATGAGCGCCTCGGTGAGCGTCGACTTGGCGTGCTGCGGCGATGTCACCACCACGAAGCCGCCGTCAAGTCCCGACGTGTCGATCGTCAGTGACGGGCGGTTCGGACGCGTGTCTTTGGCTTTTGCGGCCGCGACGTCGAGAAGCACAGCCTTGGCGCGCGTCTTGCAGATCTCGAAGAGCTGCTCGTTGATCTGCAGCTTGTTGCCGAGGAGCGCGGCCCACGCACGGCCGCGCACTTCCTTCGGAATCCCCGCAAAGCAGAGGCCTCGGACAAAATCCATGGGCTTTTGGTGCTTGGCGTCGCCCCAGTGCGGCAAGACGTCGTGCAGCCACGCCTCGGTGAACGACGTCTTGAGCTTCGGGAGCCGCGCCGCCTTGCGCTCGTCACGCCGCTCCTTGGTCGTCGACGCGAGGAAGCGCCGGCGAAGCGACTCGGAGATGCCGCTGCGCACCGAGAGCAGCTCGGACTCGCTTGGCTTGCGCTCGACCATGTTGAGCGACGCCTCGCTCGTCGTGTCGGCGCCGACGCTCACTACTCGTAGGTTCAAACGCAACGCAAGATAGGACCGCACGCGTACACTGGTCCTTGCAGCTCTTGATGAGATGGACCCACTTGGCGCGGTCGGCGTCGGTCGGCGCGCTCACGTAGAGCCGCAGCTTCTCGTACCGGATCTCGAGCACAAAGTTGTGGTCGTGGACAACGAGGTTCTGGTCCGTGAGCTACGCGCCGCCGTGAGCGCATGCCTCCGACAAGAGAGGGCCGTACGACGTCGAGGTGCTGGAGAGCGTACGTAGCCTTGGGCTTGCGCCCCGACTTTTTACTGTAGAGCAGCGCCGTCTACGCTGTCGTGTGAGGCGCATGCTCATGCTGCGTCGCTTCGTACCGTCGTCAGCACGAAGTACCGAATCTTCCATAGCTTCAAGTGCTGGCTCTGGACAGGCGCTGAGTAGGAGGCATACAGGCGAGCGCGTACCTGCTTGTGGAGGTAGCCTTCGTGCACGACGCAGGCCGCCATCCCGACTCGTTCTGTGCTTAAGCCCGTTGCTGGAACGCGTGCGTAACGGGTCGGGCCGCTCGTTTTTCACGTGAAAATCACACGTCGTATGGTCAGCACTGGCGCCACGGATCTGGCACAGCACCTTGGCGCTTCACGACGACCGAACACGAGCCTCTTTCCATCGATCTCACGTCGAGGTGGTGGAGGCGATCGTAATGCACAAGTGCAAACTCAGGTTCGCGCACGATGAGCTGCCACGTCAGTGCAGCGCAAACGGGATCTGCGTCCAGTGGCGTGTGTAATTGCGTATTTCCCACGGTGGGATTTCAATACCGTGGGCCTTTTTTGCGCAGTTAGCAACTAAGAACGTATTGCGCGATGGGGTGCGTCGAGTCGACGGCCGCGCTGCAGCCGCCGCCGGGCGAGAGCCACCGGTCGTCGTTGGTGCTGCCACCGCGCCGAGCGTCGATAGCCAAGAGCATTGCGAGCAGCGTGGCGATTGCGGCGCCGACCAGCGCGCCCGAGGCGGTCGTGCTCGCGCCGCCTGTCGAAGCCGAGCCCTTTGGCATTGGCTTTGAGCAGCAGTACACGCTCGGCAAGGTCATTGGCGCCGGGACGTTCTCGACGGTCAAAGAAGCCATCCACAAACCCACGGGCCAAAAGTATGCGATCAAGTGCATCAAGAAGGCAGGGCTGACGGTCGACGAGATCCAGGCGCTGACGACCGAAGTCGTCATCCTCAAGCAGGTAATTAACCGTCCACGAAGCCACGCATGTAGAATCTCTGCACAGATGAAGCACCCGAACATTATGATCCTCCACGACTTCTTCTCCGAGCCTGAATACTATTACCTCGTGACCGAGCTCATGGACGGCGGCGAGCTCTTTGACCGGATCGTCGAGAAGGTTTCAAGTCCCTCTCACTACCCTCCGCAGCTCACACGTTGTAGTCGTACTACACGGAGCGGGAGGCGCGGGACTTGGTCAAATTGCTGCTCGAAGCCGTGCGGTACTGCCACGACATCAACGTCGTCCATCGCGACCTCAAGGTGCGACCGCGCTTCCCTCGCGCCCTTAAGATATAACTTTGTAGCCCGAGAACCTCCTGCTCACGTCGACGACGGACGATGCGTCGATCAAGCTCGCCGACTTTGGCTTTGCGAAAAAGGTCGGCAGCGACACCGAGGGCTTGACGACCGCGTGCGGCACCCCGGGGTACGTGGCGCCCGAGATTCTCGAGGCCGGCCCGTACGGCAAGGCGGTCGACATTTGGTCGATCGGCGTCATCACGTACATCCTGCTCTGCGGCTACCCGCCCTTCCACGATGACAACCATAACGCGCTCTTCCGCAAGATCAAGCGCGGTGCCTTCGTCTTTGACTCGCCGTACTGGGACGCCATCTCGGACGACGCCAAAGACTTCATCTCGAAAATGCTCACGGTGCGCCCGGCCGACCGGTACGTGGCGAGCTAAGATCCATGTAAGGGATCCGCCGCGTGCTCCTAGGGCGACCGCGGCCATGCTGCTCGAGCACCCGTGGATCGTCGGCAGCGAGGTAGGACGGGATGGTGTCACCGGCAATGGCTGATGTTTTCTGCTGTAGACGTCAACGGTGCAACTGAGCAGCGCGCTCGACGAGCTGCGCCGGTTCAACGCCCGGCGAAAGCTCAAGGCCGCCATGAACGCCGTCAAGGCGACCCAGCGCCTCGTGCGCGCAGTCGACGGCAGCGTTCCGCCCTGAGCCGCCGCTGTCTCGTGTACTCTACCCTTTACTTCTGTAGCTCGTCTTTTCAACCTTGAAACCCCATTCTCCGTGAATATACGAGCAGAAATCTAGGCGGTTAGGGTTTAGTAGAGCGCGATCGAGAGCTTGTTGGCGGCAATGCGCGGCAGGAGCGACTCGCGAATGCAGTCGATCGTGTCCTTGGACGTGTCCTTGAGCTCGAGGAGCGACATGTTCTTCGAGTCCCTATCGCCAAATTGAGATTCAGATTCAATCGGCAGATATCTCGGTGTCGTACAAGTGCATGTCGAGCACGACGTGCGACGTGCACTCGAGCGAGAGCGCCTTCATCTCCAGGAGCGTCTTTATCCGGCCGGGCGTCCCGATCGCGATCGGGTGGAAACGCTTGAGCATCTCGACCTGCTCCTCGAGCTTCAAATGCTTGGCAAAGAGCTTGGCGACATGGCACTTGAAGCTTGCAATGGCCCTACGACAAGATGCATCTCTCGCGCTTACGACCACACGTCGTACTTGCCAATCTCGACCGCTCGCAGCGCGGACGAGCAGACGATGAGCAGCAGCGGGCTGCGCTTGTCCTTGATGCCCTTGCCGCGGAAGAGGAACTTCCACTCGGGGCAGAGCGCGCGAAGGAAGCGCGTGTAGCTCTCAAGCGTGTGCTTGCCAAACTGCTTGAGGACGGTAAAGTGGCTCTCTACAGGAAGATGGCAGGCGTGAGTGGAGGCTCAATGGACCGCGACGTACCCGTGAGGCCGTCGGCGATCTCGGCCGGCGTGAGGCTGTCGCCGTAGTGCTTCATGTACACGTCGTTGACGATCTTGAAGTGATCGGCTTGCGTCAGGTTGTGCAGCGCCTTCTTGGGCTTCTGCGCCTTGGGCTTCTTGGCCTCCTTGGTCGCCGGCTCAGCCTCGGCCTTGCGCTTCTTGGGCTCCGGCTGCTTGGTCTCCTCGACAGCCGCGTCGTCGTCGTTGCCATCGTCGTCCTCGTCTTCGACCTCGACGTCCGAGGCGTCGCTGGCGACGGCCACGTCTTCCGCGGCCCAGTTCATCTCGAGCTCATCGTCGTTCTGGCGGGCCATTGTAGTCCGTTTTTGATTTTGAGTTTGGCTCCGCAGCACGGCCCGAGTTGATTGGCTCCCAACTCGGGGCTTTGAATTCGGCACGCGGCGTCTTGGATTCGGCACTCATGTCTTTATTTTCGGCACCAACCCCGCCACTGCGAGTTCACGCAATGGTGCACATACCGAGCAGAAGAAAGAGCTATGCGGTCGCGTCGGGTACTAAGCGTGAACGCTATGCATCTCGCGGAGACGTGTGGGCATCGCCACGCGGCGCCACAGAGGTCGCACCGTTAAATGTGGCATATGCCGCCACAAAAACATGAAAAGCGCACTTAGGCGGACCGCCAGCCAAAACCGACCGACTGCCAGATCTTTGAGGACGATGGCCGAGACGTGGGCGTTCTACTACCTCCAGGCCGAGGACGGCGAGGACCGGTCGCACCCGAACGCGTTCCGCATCCCCAAGTCGGGCGAGCTCACGCTGGGCGACGTGCACGCCCACTTCCCCCTTGGGTCGCCTGCCGGCTTCCACTTTCGCTTCCGCCTCAACCACGGCGAGACCTTTTACTGGATCGACGTCACGGCGCCGACGGCGACGGTCCCGCTCGTGAATGGCCGCGTCATCTGCAAGGTGCTGCGCCACGTACGCCCAACAAAGAAGGGCCTCGTCCTCCAGCGCAAGCCCGTGTACAGCATGGCGACCGACGCGGCCAAGCCCCGCGACGCAAAGCGGCCGACCAAGTACTCGGATGAGCCCAAGCCTTCAGCGCGCCCGGCCTCGGCGCCCCCGAAACAAGAAGTCAAGCCCAAAGAGAGCAGCGAGTCGTTTGAAGACTTTTTAGCCGGCGCGCCCAAGCCTGCGCCGGCGGCGCCAGTCGACCTCATGGGCGGTGGCTCGACGTGGACGGCGCCCAAGGCAGCTCCAAAAGCGGCCCCGGTAAGACGACCGAGCCCGCCACCTGTAGCAGCATCGGCGCCACCAAAGGACTTTAATGACGACTGCAACCAGACCGTCGGCCCTGTCTCGCTCGCGGATATGGCCAAGCACGAAGTGTCGGCCGATGGCACCAACGTGTACAACCCGGACCTGGTCGACAAGTCGACCAAGTCTGCCGACGTGCGCGAGGCGATGGAGCAGCGCGAGCAGCAGAAGGCCGCCGACATTGAGCGCGCGCGGCTCGAGCTCCTCGCGCGCGACCAGGCCAAGACGCAGCTCGAGGCCGCCAAGGCCAATGCCGTAGGTGCGCTCGGGCCCAAGCTCAAGAACTGGGCCGAAGACAATGGCCGGAAGAAGAACATTCGGACGCTCATTTCGACGATGCACCAGATCCTGTGGCCGGACGCCAAGTGGACCGAAGTGAACATGGGCAAGCTCCTCACGCCCAACGACGTCAAGAAGCAGTACCGGCGCGCGATCATGGTCGTGCACCCGGACAAGGCTGGCGGCCGCACGGCCGAGCAGCTCGTCATCGCCGAGCGCATCTTTGACGCGGTCAACAGCGCGTGGGACGAGTTTGCGCGCACTGAAATGAAATAATATTTCGCGTGCGACCGTGTGTCTTGTGTCTAGTTTACGCCGCAACCAAACCTAACCTCGGATATGCAAATGGGTTTTATCGCGACTTTGTAGAGCTTGAACTCATTCCTTGCAGCTTATAGCTTAAAACTCAGAGCTTAGAGCTTAGAGCTTAAAACTCAGAGCTTGGCGCTTTCGGCTCTGCATCACTGTGGGCCGGCATCGAGTGGTCTTCTTCGTTGGCCTCTAGAATCGGCGGCTCGGTGCCCAGCTTGAAGCGGGATCTCGACAACGCCATTGGAGAACTCCGAGCGCCGTCGTCGTCGTCCGCCACGTCGTCGCTGTCACTGTCATCGTCGTCGTCGCCGTCCAAGCTCTGTCGCGCCTGCTGTGCGATCTTCCGCTGGACCTTGTCCATAGCCTTCTTGATGTCGGCGACCATGCGGTTGATTTCAAGAAGCGCCATTGGCACCATATCGCTGGCGGGCAATGGCTCGGACGTCAACGACGCGAGACGCGACTCGTCCACTACGACGGACGGCGGGTCCGGTGGTGGCGGGAGCTCTTGGCCTGGCGGGGGGGCGGAAGGGGGTCCGGGGGGCGTGTCGAGTTGCTCTATCACGTTCTTCCCGGACGGCGATGGCTTGAGCACAAAGCCCCGTCGACTGAGAAGCTGGGTGACCGACGCCTTGCGCGCCATGAGCCCTTGGATAATGGATTTACGAGCGGGTTTGGCTTCTGCGCGTCGGTTCCGGTCCTGGATCGCTTGGAGCTTGTCAGCCATGCGTTTGGAGCGGTAAATGCCCTTGAAGGACATGTCAAAGCGACGGCGCATGAGCGACTTGTCGACGAGGTGGTTGAGCTCCGTCTCGACCTTGAGCTTGGCTGTCGACGACTGAAAGTTCTATTTGCATGATTGAGATTGACATTGAGATTGCACACGAGATACTACCATGTTGGCGAGCTGGCGCGCGACGACCGACTTTTTCATTTTGACGCCAAACTCAGGGTACTCGGCCAAGATTTCGTTGAACGCCTACGCCGGAACCGAGTCGGCCTGCGAGGATACAACCAACGTACGTGCTTGCTGAGGACGTTGAGGTCACAGATCGAGTCCGCGACGACCGTGTTCGTGCGACGGACTTCGGCGACGAGCGCCGTCTCCCCAAAGAAATCCCCGTCTTTGAGCAGGATGCGCGCGCCGTCCTTGGTCGACCGGAGCTTGCGCATGATCGGGTGCAGCGCGCTCGTCTTGGCCCGCGGCGGCAGCACTTCGACGGTCCCCTTTCGCACAATAAACATTTCGCGGCCAATGTCGTCTTGGTGAATGATCACGTCTACCCACCCATGTGCAATAGTCCTACGACAAAAATGACAGGGTACCGGCGGGAAGGTACACGGCCGTGTCGAGCGCCATGCACACTTTGCCGAGGAAGCGTCCGTCCGAGCCGGCAAAGATCGGCACGGTGTTGAGCAAGTCCTTGTACAAGTGCAGCGCGATCGTTGTGCGCAGCGGTTTGGACAAGCCCGGTTGGTTGAGCAGCGTCATGTCCGAGTACGCGCGTTGCTAGCACGCAGTACTATGAGACATGTATGTGGATCATGGAATTGCGCACGTTGATCCAGAGGTAGTCGTAGTTGCGCTTGACGCGGTGCTAGCCATGTATTGTCGTTTGGTACTTTGGACACCTTGTCGTCATCTACCTGGAGGTCCGCGGGCAGGTCGTAGTACTTCATTTCTGACGAGATGACGTCCATGCGATTACGGAACGTCGAGCTTTGTTGGTCCCAGCTACGCGCCTCCGAGTGTAGTCGCTCCTTCATACACCTGCTGTTACCTGAGGAGCAGTGTGAGGGTGTGGCCGAAGAGGAGTGCGCAGTTGAGCACTCCAAAGAGCGCGATGAACGAGCTAAATCGTCATTGGCGTCCAGTACGGTCTCATCGGTCGTACCTGAGCGTGTACATGTTCGGTCGATACGTCTCGAATGGCGACGCGAGCTGCGACGTCATCTGGAACGAAGAGGCTTCGGCGATGCCGAGAAACGTGAGAAGGACATTATGGAACGACTCGGCGTAAATACTCGACGCCTAGTCCTTTTTCTATAATACCATTTCAAGACGAGAGACGCACCGTGTCCCAGTCGCTGCAGAGCGTCACGTCGGCGTAGCAATTGTTGAAGATGTTGGCCCAGATGCAGCTACACTATGAATCAGTTCTGAGATGCCATGCGAGAAGACGCACGTAAAGATGTGGAGGCCGAGCGACATGGTGATGCCCGTGACGAGGAGGTGGTAGTACTTGGCGTACTGCCGCATGTACTTGAGGAGGACGCCAAAGCGCAGTAACTTGGGTATTTTCTGCAGTTTGAGGATCTTGACCGACGTCTGGCGCTTGTTGCTCGACGGAATCACGTAGCTCAGGGGGAAGTTGGAGACAAAGTCGACGATGAACCACGAGCGGAGGTAGTGCCGCGCGACGACACGCGCCTCCATGTGCAGCTCGCCGTTCTCGTAGTACCCGGTCCGGAACGATAGCACCATATCTACACTCGAATCTCAATCTCAAAAGCGGCCGTGATGAGGCTACCGCAGACAAAGCACGCATCCAAGAACGACTCGAAGGATGCGACGTTCGAGCCCCACGCGACAAAGTCAAAGCCGAGCGACGCCGGTGTCTACGCTGAATCTCAATCTCAAATCGCAATGGCCCCGTACCATGATGCAGACGTAGATGACGGCCGCGGCGATGCTCAAGTCCCACGCTCGCCGAAAGCTCGAGTTGGGGTGGACCATGAGCAGCTGCGGGAGCGTCCGCCGGTGGTAAATGTCGATGATCTCCACGTCAGGGCGCGGCAGCGTGAGCGAGACGACGCGCTGCCAGAGCGCCTTGGCGCGTACGTTCTCAGCATACTCGCCCTCGGCTTCGTGGCTGTCGCCGTCCGGTGGCACCTGGCTCGTGCTCGGACCCGGCGCCACCTTGTTGCTGGTTCCCGCCTTCATGCAAACTGCGTCACCGTTTCGTAACAGGCCGTAGAAAAGACAAAAAAGACTAGGGACAAATTCGGTAGATAAAATATATGTACATTACTGCATCGCAGGATGGAGAGGGGACACGTGAAGGGACGGTAATTCGGTTGGCGTCGAGGCAGCTTGCAGACGCGCAAGGTCGGCTTGGAGCTGCTGCATGGTTGTCTGCAAGGCCGTCATGTACGTCGGCAGTGCTGCGATCGACGCCTCGACGACCCGTAGCCGCTGGCTAATTGTGGTCAGACTCGGTTGCAGCTCGGCTTCTGGTGTCTCGGTGGCGCCACTCACAGCCGGTTCGGTCGTGCGCCGAGTCACTGGTTGGCGAAGGAAGCTTGGCTTCTTGGCGAGCGCGGACTTGATCGGGTTGTGGCTAAAGACACTCAAGCCGGTCAACACCCGCAGTGCGCTGCTCCGTTTCCGCCGCTTGGGGCGAGTGATCGGGACGACCGTCGTCTGCTCCGAGTGCTTGAGGCGCTCGGCGATGCGCTTGAGCTTGTTGCCTGTCTTGTTGGCCTCGGAGTAGCGCCAGTAAGGGGACGAGACGTCGCTCGCTCGCTGTGTCAGCGAGTGGTCGATGACTGCGTTCAGCTCGCGCTCGATCACGGTCTTGTCGGCGTCGTTCGAGATGTGCTACGCGGTTTTCAGTTATAACACTGTCCGCTATGTAACAGACCATATTGTCCATCTGGCGCTGGACCACAATGCGTTTCATTTTCTGGAAAAAATCTGGAAATTCCGCGATAATCTCGTCAAACGCCTAGATGAATCTAGTTCCAAATAAGGCTTGTTGGGGGCTACCTGCTTGTTGAGGACGTTGAGGTCCGTGACGGTCACCGACTGCACGGACGACGTGCGACGGACTTCCACGACGAGCGCCGTCTCGCCAAAGAAAGCTCCGTCCTTGAGCAAAATACGTGGCGCGTTCTCCGGCCGATTTGCAATCAGAATCTCGACAACACCGCGCCGCACGATGAACATTTCTTTGCCGAGGTCGTCGACTTGGATGATCAAGTCGCCAGGCAAGTACACGGCCGTCTCGAGCAGAAGGCAGATCTAACGCACTATTGCTCACCATCGCCATCGCAAGTCGGAGGTACGCGGCCGAGGAGCTTGGCATTTTCGCCAGCAAAGAACGGGACTGTCTCGAGGAGGTCCTTGTACAAAAAGAGCGCGATCGTCGTCCGAAGGCTCTTGGAGATACCCCGTTGCGAGAGCAGCGTCATCTCCGAGTACGCGCGTTGCTATTTTGTCGACTGTCAGTGGCTTTCCAAAGGACATCGTACGTTGATCCAGAGGTAGTCGTAGTTGCGCTTGACGCGGCGCTACGAGGACAATGTTGGTGGCAAGGAGGACATGGAGCAGTCGGCTACTTGGAGCTCGAGCGGGATCTCGTAATGCTTCATCTCGGCGCTGATGATGTCCATGCGATTCCGAAACTGCGCGCTCTGCTGGTCCCAACTAGTCACTGTGGTGCCAACCAGATTCTCGGTCTTCTTCTCCTTCACCTGATGAAGATCGAGATGATGTTGGCCAAGAAGACGGCGATGCTCACGAGCCCAAGCACGACGATGCAGATCCTAACGCGATAGTTTACGATAGACAATGATAGACAGTTACGAGAGAAGGTAGACGGTCGGCGTCGCGCGCGCGAGCGGGCTCTCGAGGTTGCCGATGCTCGCGTACGTCGAGTACTCGCCAAGCGACGTGTAGAGCATGAGGACGTTGAGAAGCGCCTCGAGGTACATGGGCTCCATCTGTCCAGTGTCAAGCGTCTGCCTGCGGCTTGTATCTACCTGCGTGTCGTCGCAGTACGTCTGGTTGGTCGACGCATCATAGACGTTCTTGATGCACTGGTCGAAGAGACTCGCCCACAAGCACCTACAGAGACTCGCCACGGGACGACTCGTCTCGCTCGTATTACGTGAGGACGTGGAGGCTGATGACAATCGCGACGACGACCAACACAAAGTTGTAGTACTTGGCGTACTGCCGCATGTACTTGAGGAGGCGGGCAAAGCGCAGCATTTTCGGGATCTTCTGGAGCTTGAGAAACTTGACCGACGACTGGTTTGCGTGCGAGTAGAAGAGGTAGAACGGGAAGTTGGAGAGGCAGTCGATGAGCAGCCACGACTCGGCATAGTGCCACATGACGAGCCGCTGGTTCATGACGATCTCGCCCGAGATAAGGTACCCGGTGCGGAAGGTGAGCACCATGTCTAAGGCTATCTCCAGCGCCTGCATGGAGCGACCAAGTCAGTACCCGTGACGAAGAAGACGTCCAAGAACGTTCCGAGGGCGGAGAGCTGGCGCCAATCCGCGTTCTGGAACCCGAGCTCAAGTGGGGTCTACAGGCGTGGATCTTAGTCGACTAAGAAACTGCGTCGTGGTCGCACGAGCAGGCAGACGCAAACCACCGAGCACGCAGCACAGACGTCCCAGACGCGCCGGAAGACCGAGTTGGGGTGAAGCATGTACGGCGACGCCCCGGTGTCGGGCGAGTGAAAGATCTCGATCTCTTCCTTGGGGATGAGGACGCTTTTCGCTACGACAAAGGTAGCATACGTGGCAAGCCGGCGTGCACGTACCCGCTCGGGCAATCTGCTCGTTGGGATCGATGCGGAGTCCGGTGAACGCGCGCTCGGTGAAGCTGCGCACGAGTTTGGTCGGCCGCCGAGGCGAGCGCGGGGCCTCGGCGGGCACGACCGAGGACTTGGTCGTTGCCATCCGCGACAAAACGACCAAAACCTCAAGGGGCTAAAAAGACGCAAGATCGCGGGCGCGTCGCTTGGCAGCACGACGCGTCGAGAGTCCACCACTGCCCTTGTTAGCCATGCGAGGCGGCCAACGGTGCTTGCCGGCGCGGTCACAGACCAGGTTGCACTTTCGCGGGTTGCGTGCGTTTAGTCAGAAAGGCGTTCGCATGGGCGCCGAGCAGCTGATTGATGCGTGCCAAGCACGCCTGGCGCATCCGGAGGCGCCGACGTACGACGTGCTGGAGCGCTACGCGTCGCAGCTCGAGCAGCAGCTCCACGATCTTCTAGCGGCGAGAGACGCCGAGCAGGCCATGTGTCGAGCGAGCGCCGAGTGCACGTTTGCAAAGAACACGGCCGGCCGCGTCCTCACTGCGCTCTTCGACCACGCAACGGGCGGCAAAGTCGAGGGGCTGACGACGTGGTGGGAGACGGGCAGCATCCAGACGCGCAGCGGGCCCGCGCACTGGCGTCTCGACCCGAAGAGCCTTCGGGACAAGCGCGGGTACACCGCCGCCTTGCTTCTTCCTCTTGACAAGCCTGACGGCGTAGGTTCACCCTTCTACACGCGACCGTCGAGCGCAGCTTGGCCAAGGAGAGCGCCAAAGCCGCGACAGTGTGCTTCCTCGTCGATACCATGGGCTTGGACGTGAACGCGGTGGACCTCGTACGAACGCTCGCCGACCTCCTCTTGCTGACGTACTACCGCTCTTAGTTTGGTCGGACGAGCCTCCACTACGCCGCCTTAGCAGGCTACGCTGACGTCGTTGAGGCGCTCTTGAGGCGACAATGCGACCCGCGGCTCCGCGACAAGGCCGGCTTGACAGCGCTCGGCACGCTCCAGCTCACAACGCTCTCGGCCAACGCGAGCTCTGACGCCATTGTACAAGCGCTGCTGCAGCACGCCGAGAAGCCTCACTTTGGCGACGAGCCCACGACCGACGTACTACTGGAATTAACAGCAAACTAGCCGTGACAGACGCGCGTAGGACGCACTGGCCTCGGCACTTGTCGGCCTTCACCGCGTCTTGCCCTACGTCGCGGACCGCGCGGCGCTGGCCGAGCGCTTGGACGTGTGGCGGCAGTCACTCGACCTCTCGCTCGTATGCTGGCACGACGTGATTGTCTCGCTCCTAAGCTTGGACGATGACGCGATGTTTCTGCCGTCAGCCTACATGGCGCCGGCCTTTCTCATGACGTGGCGTAATCAGGTGCATCTGCACGGCGGCGCGTCGACGGCGTGGGCTGCCTTTTGCACAAGCATGGTGGGCCGCTGCCAGGTGCCACTCCGACACTAGAGTACGCAATGTGTTGATGAAGCTCTAGGCTGCGACGCAGCCTGCGCCTGCGCCCGAGAGAGACACGTGGCACTACGCTGCGCTACTGAGTGCGACCGCCGAGAAGCTCGCGCCCATTGCTGTGGAGAAAGGCTCGGTGGTCGCTGCCGTGCGCGTGCCAGGCGGACGGTACCTCGCCTACAAGCGGCTCTTGCTTGGCACGAGCGTCTATGGTGTTGTCGACGCCAACGCGACGTCCCTGACACTCGGTAGAGCGCTTTGGCCGGCGCATTTCCCTCTGAACGAAGCTAGATCGCCCGTTTGAGGGGCCTTCGACCGAGCGCTGTCCTGTCTACGGTGCGGACGAGGACGACCTGCCGCCCTACGTCCAAGTGCTCACGCTACACGAGCGGGCGCCAGGGAACCCGTTCGAAACCGACTCCGTCGAAGAGGTTGACATCGCAGTGTGCCACGTCATCCTAGCGCATCGAGATGTAGGACTTGGTTCAGATGCATCAGCGCATGGCGCCCGACTCGAGCTACGAGCTCCGCCTTCGCGTCGGGCCCACGTCGTCGCGTGCACAGGCCAAAGCACTCGTGGCCGAGTGGCGCCGCGTCGCCCGCCAGCACTTTGCGAATCGCACGTACGTCCATGCTTGGTAAAGTGCGAGGCCGAAGCTCCATAGGTGTGCGTCCAAAGCCAACGTCTGCGCGCTCGCCTGTCCCCAAGTGCAAGGCGAGCGCCTCGTGCGACTTCTTGGTTGACATCACCGCGAAACTCACCTTGTGGCTAGTGCTTTGAGAGCCTCGCGGCCATCGGACGCGACTTGGCCCACGCCACGTTTGGGCGTGCCACGTTCGCCAAGGCCGTGCCTGTCCGCGCGAGCCTCGCATGATGCACATGGACGAAGAGACGACGACGAGGATAATGCATTATTCATGGTTTCGGCCGCGGATGCGGCGCGCGAGCTGGATGTCTTTGACCATGATGGTCACGCGCTTGGCATGGATGGCGCAGAGGTTCCTAGAGGATGGTACATGAGGAGGTAGGAAGTGGGGTGCAAGCGATGCGTACGCGTCTTCAAAGACGCGGACGAGGTGGGCCTCGGCGGCCTCCTGCAGCGCAAGGAGCGCTTCGGCCTGCCACCGGAACTGCACGGTCGCGTAGTTGAGCTGGATCTCGCGCACGAGCCGGGCAAAGGGCAGGCGCCGCAGCAGCAGCTCGGTCGAGCGCTGGTACCGGCGGATCTCCAGCAGCGACCGGACGCCGGGCTTGTACCGGCGCTTCTTCGCGGTGGTCGTCGGGTCCACCGGCGGCTTCCGCTTGGTCGTCGACGGCTTGCGCGACGACATGCTGCTGATCCGTTGATCAAGTTGACAGGCGGGGGCTTTCTTCCGACTCGACCATATGGTTGCCGAGAATCCACCAATCGCAGATGTGCAATATCAAGATCGCGCGCGCTGATTCGCTTGTTTTCAGCAATAATCCGACACATACCTCTATAAAGGTATATCTTGCTGGCTTGTTTGGGCGCCAGGATATATTTAAAGAGGTTTATGCAGTGCGTTGATTGGCTGTAAATCGACATGACTGTAGCCAATGGCCGTGCCGCGTAGGTGAGCTGCCTGCCAGTGCAAGTCAAGGTACGGGAGCTCCCGCGTTCGCCTCGGCAAAGACCGCTCCTGGGGCATACACGTACGCGCGTCAACGTATAAGTGCGTATATTTACGGTATGTGGTCGCCACCTCGGCCTTGACGTGGCAGGTTAGCCCCACTTCTTCCACTGCATGCCTTCCGGCACGGGCTTCTCCTCTTCATAGTCCTTTGCCTTGACTTCCTTCCAGTTGGTCGAGAGCACGGTGCCACCAGACGTTTGCTACACGTTCATATAAGAACGAAGAGGTCCGTAGACAACGTACAAAGGACTTGTTCATGGCCCGGCGCGTGTCCTCGTCGGCCTTGGCGTAAATGTCGGCAAAGAGCTTCTGCATCGCGGCCTCGCCCTCGGGCTTCTCCGCCTCGAGCTCTTCGCCAATTGTCTTGTCAATCTTATTCCAATCGCGCTTGCTCGCGTACGGCTTGGGCGGCGCGGAGAGCACGGCGGGCGTCGGCAGCGGCAGCGCGCCCGTCGGTGCCACAAGGCCGTGGCCCTCGAGCTGGTCCCACGCAAAGCCTTCGTTGGCCTTCTTGAGGCGCAGCTCAACCTTGACGCTCGAGACGCGGAAGGACGACTCGGCCTCGACGATTGCGCCGTACAGCTGCTTCTGGAATGCGTCGATGATCTCGCCATTGATGCGGAACTGCACGTGCAGCTACAGACACCACGGGATGAGCATCAGCGTCATGTGCAAGGCATCATGACTTACGTGGTTGGGCGAAAAGGTCACCGTCACGTCGTCCGGCTGGAGACCCTTCTGCATCAGCGAGAGCGTCACATGCGTTCCGCTTTGGTACCATTCGTGGCTATGACGCATCGTGTGAGATCTCTGCGGAATACCGTTCGCAATGTCTACCGGAGTGCGGGCTTGGACGGCGCCGCGACGGGCACAGGCGCGGGAGCCACAGCCTTGGGCTCCGGAAGCTCGTCTTCGTCTAATTCCATGCCTATTATGATAGGAAGCAGCAGGGCACGTACCTTCGAGCTCGGCGTCGCACTTCCGCAGCCATGTCTTGAAACGTGCCAGCGCTTGGTCGTGGTTGCCAGCCTTGTCCTTGCCGATCGTAAAGGCAGCCTTCGCCTCGCGAAAGCGCTCGAGGCCGAAGAGCGCAATGCCTTGGCGCTGGTACGCCATGAGGAGCGACGGGTCCTGGGCCACGGCCGCCGACGCGTCCCGGAGCGCAGGCTCCAGCTGGTTGAGCTTGAGGTAGGCAGCGGCGCGCTTCGAGAGAGCGTCGGCGCTCGTCGCGTCGTCCTTCAGCGCCGCCGTGTACGCTTGCACCGCGAGCTCATACTCTTCCTCGACGTAGTGGGCATTGCCCGTGGCCGCAGCTGCCATCATGCCAATTTCGAAATCCATCCGTGATGGCACGGTGGCGATCCGGATACATTCCGGACGAACGTTCCAGAAGTGCAATTTCAGAAGATCGGGCAAAAGTATCAAGTCATTGATTGATAGTTATCGACGACTTTATTCGTCGTCAAAGTGGGCGTCCTTGATCCGTTCGAGGAGCAGGTTCATCGCGTGCTCGAGCTTCTTGTAAACGGCGCGGCGCGGGCAACCGACTTGGTCAGCGAACCGGTTGAGTTTGCTACAACCGACGGTTAGCGCCACCCAACTTTGGCGTCCAACCTGTTTTGCATGGCCGGGAGGAGCTTGAGCCACCCGATAATGTCGTCGTACGAGTAGGCGTGGTCCAGAACCAGCTCCCGCGCCGCCTTGAAGTAGTGGTCCATGAGCTTGGGCACGATCACATCGAGCTCGAGGCTGCTCTCGGCGTCGTCTTCGTCGTCGCCTTTGCCGCGCTAAGCAACGCTAAGATCGTAGATCGCCAACCGTGCGCGTACCGCGGCGAAGGGAGTCGCCGCGCCAAACTCGCACCGGCACTCGCGTAGAAAGTTGTGTTCGAGCAGCTGCTTGACACTCCACCGGTCGTTCTGGTCCTTGGCCAAGCACTACACAATACCACGTGCGATAGACAAGCATGGACATTCAAGCACCTTGTCCAAGAAGTCGCGAAAGTCCCCCGAGAAGCCGCTGCTACTGGGCAGCTTGGGCGGCTAAACACAGAATCAGACCCGGTTTAGACCCCATGGATCGTACGGGTTCGTTGCGGATGCTGTGGAGGAGCTCCCAGTACCCGCCTTTGGTCGCGTACGGGTAGTGCCCGAGGGCGCACGTCATGATGGAGAGCCCGAAGGACCACACGTCCGACTTGTACGAGTAGGCCTGCGCCGCGTGACGCCTCCATCGATCGATGAGATGCCTACCTCGCTGGCAATGCGCTCGGGCGACATGTAGGTCAAGGTGCCCACAAAGGTCGTGGCTTTGGCCACCGAGTTTTCCATTTCTTTTGCAATTCCAAAGTCCGAGACCTACTCCAAGGGAATCATGCGACAAAATCATCGATACACGTGGTACCTTGACGTCGCCAAAATGGTTGATGAGGAGGTTGCTGGGTTTGATGTCGCGGTGCAGCTGGTGGTGCTCGTGCAAGAAGCGAAGGCCTTTGAGGACGCGGAACGCTATGTTGGCCAGGACGCTCTCGGACGTGCAGCCGCCCGTGTCGACAATGTCCTGGAGACTCCCGCCGTCCATGTACTCGACGACGATCGAGACGTTGCCTTCGTTGGGGTTCATAAAAGCATCGTAGAGGCACACGATCTCGGGGCACGCCACCTTGTGTCGCTCGCTCTCATCTACACAGTTCATCGATTCCCCAGTTAGGAGACGAGTTGAGCATCGAGACCGGTGAGCGACGACATGTTGTTGTAGAGGGTCTTGACTTCGGCGATGAGCTGGTGACGCTTTTCGTTCTCAAAGACTGGGATAACCTTGACAGCGACAAGCAGCAGCGACGGAACGTGCAGTGCCTTGTGAACGACGCCGCTCGCGCCTACCTCCGTCTTATACACGGATGACGCAATATCGCTGTATACCTTTGCCAAGCACCCCGAGCTTGATGAGCTGCTTCTTCATGTTGTTCCGGGGCGACGACGGACCGCCGCTGATGGGCGTCGGCGACAAGTGGTGTGCAATGCCCGTCTGCTTGATCTGAAAGTCAACAACATCAAACGTCCCGGACGCTGACAGGTCGTAGGATTTCTCTAAGCTCGGCTCGTCGAGCTCCAGCTCGAGCTCCAAGTTGAGTCCGAACGCGTCGCGCTTTTTGGACTTCGCCGCTTTTGCCTCGTCGTCCTTGGGCCCGCGGGCCGCGTCGGCGATGTCGAGCTGCAGCACCCGCTGCTTGGGCGACACGTCCAGCTGCAAGTTGAAGTTGGGCCGACCGGCGCTACGTGCGCAGTTCTTCGTGTCACAAGATATGACAACGAGAGACGAACCCGACCGACCGCTTGGGCGGGGACTGCGTCTGTGGTGCCGGGGGCTTGGCGTGCTTGGCGTCCGCGTCGTCGACTTCGTCTGCGTCCGTGTTGTGCGTCCGCGAGCGAAGCCGCCGGATCTCAGTCGCGAGGCTTTGCACGCTCTTGACCCGATGCGGCGCCGGCTCGGTCTACAGTCGCTGAGTCAAGAACGTCATACAAGTATGTACCTGCTTGGCGTCGCTAAAGGAGCTTGTGGCTTTGGCCTTCACCTTGTCGGGCTTGGGCACTAGGGAGAAAGGAACATGCGCGTCGAAGACTTTTGCGCGTCGTACGGTGGGTCGTCTTGGGCTCGCCCTTGCCCGGTACAAAGACGCGGCTGGTGGGGTCGATCTACGCGGGAATTCGAGCATGAGATGGTCGTCGAGAGCTTCGTTTTGGCTCGAACGCACGGGGCCGCCATGGAGCGCGTGGTACTTTTCGGGCGGCGGCGGCAGCTTTTTCGAGGGCGATCCGGTCGGCGACTGCGGCCGCGTCTGCACCTGCGGGAATGCTGGCGAGCTGAAGCAAGGCTTGGGCTTGGGCATCGCGAGCATGGGCGGGAGGTTCCTCGGCGGGCTGCCTTCCCGCGGCGACGACGGGCTCGGGAGCTTGCCAAAGTCTGCCTCCGTGTGACGGTGCTTGGGCGAGCTACATAAGCGTCCTCTAAGAACACGTATGCGGCGTCCTTTGTACCATTTCTTTTCGCTGCTCATGCACGCCAGCGGCGCCGCAGGCTCGAGAAACTAGGCAGCTGCAATTTGACACACAAGGACAAGGACACGTACCTTGGCCGTGCGGTGGAGCTTCTTCGCCTACCGAACGCGATGAGCTGTCGTCAGTAGAGTCCGGAGCGCGTACATCGTATGGCCCGTCGAGCTCGTCGTCCGAGTACACGTCCTTGGCACCGCTCATGACTGGTGACCGTTCAAGATCCACACGTGAATGACCAACACTCTCTTTTCAAATGTCTATCTTTTAATTGTCCAAACTACGTCGCACGTAGTACACGATCCCTCCGCTAGCTTGCACGCTACCCCAATGCAAAACCTCAACCAAAGAGCTCGGCCAAAACCTGCTCCAAGAAAACACGAGGTTAACCCTAGTCAATGTATCAAGTCAATAATGAACACATCATAATGGAGTATATTGTCGATACAGTATCTATGTATGTATATCGATGGGGCTATTGAATGCTTGGGTCGGTCATCGCGTCCACCATGGCGTGCATTTCGCGGACCTTGGTCGACAGGAGGTCTTGGACGCGCTTGATGTGGTCCAGCTGCACGATGGTCTCGGTCGCGTTCGAGTCGCCGAGCGTCGGGTCGCTCGTGCGCGGGTTGCGCCAATTGAGGCGGTACCCCGCCGCCTTGCGCGGGTTGACCGACGACTTGCGGCGCACCGCGCGCCCCGAGCTGCCCTCCGAGTCGGGTTTTGAGAGGCCAAACGCGCCGCCCTGCGTCATGCCATTCGCGCGGGCTTTCGAGTAGTTGGCGAGCTTCTCCATCATCTTTGGAAAGTGCACCAGCGCTATATGATCACAATGAGGACGAGAACATGATTTGCATCCGAAGCACCTTCGAGGAACCGGACGCGGGAGAGCATGCGCAGCTCGCAAAAGCAGAGCGTGCGCACGGTGGCCATGCGCTTGCAGTCGCGGTTCAGAATGGCCATTTCGCCTACACGAGCCGTACTTGATAATGTAACAGAGGGTTATACGTACCAAAGTACTGGTTCTCGCCAAGGACCGTGATTTGCACATTGTCCTTGAGGACTTCGACAGCGCCGCGGAAGACGAAGAACATCTCGTGGCCGAGCTCGCCCTCGACGCACACGTCCTCGAACGGCGCGAAGCAGATCATGCGCATACTCAGCGCGAGGTCCATGATGAAGTTCGGGTCGCTGCCCTTGAAAAATGGGAACTTCCACAGGAAATGGTCGTTGATCGCGAGCGCAATCTTGGAGCGCAGCATCGCCGAGAGCTCGTTCAAGAGCTCTTGCTCCTGCAGCATGTCGTTCTCCTTGCTCTTGCGCGCGTTCTGGAAGAAGTCGCGGATCTCCATCCGCAGCGGCCGAGGCAAGTCCCGCGCGGCCATGTACTCGTTGATTTCGTCCTTCGCTTTTATGTTAACTCCAAAGTCGACGTAGCAACGTACCATCTTTTCGCGAAACGCCGTCTCGTGGGCCGTCAAGCTCGAGACGAGCGACACGATCTAGACAATAGTCGTGACAGACGCGCTAGAGTCACAGCACGAACGTTGGTGATGCCGTAGGCAAAGATGCCGGCGCCCGCAAACATGGCCACGATCGCAAAGCAGCGTTCGTTGGGGCTAATGCCCGAAACTAGCCAGCGGTGCGAGTCGCTCCTCTGTACAGTTGCAGTGTACCGTCGCCGTAGCCGACCGTGGCGCTACACACGGCATCAGGAGACGCATCGAAAGTGATATATCTCACAGTGTCATGACGGCCCAGTAGAGCGCGGCGATGTACTGGTCCCACATGGTCGTGCGCAGCAAGTTCTTCTCCTTGAGCCACGTGTTGATGGGCGGGATCTCGTACATCGAGTCTTGGTACGAGACCCAGAAGAAGTAGCACCTACCACAATGTCAACCCACGAGGAAGAGGAGGGGGGCGTACGCAAACCAATGCGAGATGAAGACGACCGTGAGGCAGTAGCGGAAGAGGCTGCTGATCGTCGACCGAATGAGGAGCGCGTGCTGGAGGCGGTTGAGAATGCGGAGCATGCGGAAGAGCCGAAGGAGCCGGATGAGTCGGAAGAGCTTGAGCGCGCGGCGGATCGTCGGGTCGGACCCGCTCACGACGGCCGTGAACGGAAACGTCGAGAGGAAGTCGACGATGAACCACGAAAATACGTATTTTTTGGCAATCAACTTGAGCCGAAAGTGCACTTTGCCCTTGATGTCGACGCCCGTGAAAAAGTTGGACAACTAGACAACCGCAGTCGTGGCGCCAATCGAGAATCTAGAATGGGCGTACAATGTCCAAGCCAAAGATCGAGTCGATCACGTAGTTGACTTCGCTGTCAAGCACGGTGCCCGAGCCGTCGGCTTGAAACGCAGCTTGAAACTAACGTAGCTTTTTGGCAAATGGGACAAGACGCGCAGTGCGTACCGGAATGATGATGGCGTTGTAGAAGATGAGGACGATGCACATGACGTCCCAGCGCAGGCGGACCTTGCCGTGCGGGTGCGCGATGAACCAGTGGGGCTTGGTCTCGGCCATGGTGTTGTGCCGGTTCAATTGGCCGCCGCTCGCAAGCAGCTCTACGCTCGCCTCAGTCGAGTCGACGCCGCGACCTGTGTACCTTTGACAAACGTCTTTTGCATGTCGTCCGTCGCTTGGTTCTTGAGCGCCTTCTCCAGATGCACGTGGTTGAGCATCTCTTCTTGGGGACTCATCGACACTTGGACGGGCGTCGCGGTAGTCGAGAGCGCGATCACGTCCCGGCCAATGTTGGGAGCTGCCGACCGCAGCTCCTCGGTGATGTCGGTAGCAATGGCCTCGCCCTCCGGCGTCAGCGGCACCATCTTGCCACTGGTCACGGGCGGCGCGTTGAGAATGCCGATCGCCCGCGCGCTCGTGTTGCCCATCTTGACCACCTGGATATGGCTCAGCTTGCGCGGCTTGATCTCGACGCGCGGCGACGTGGACTCGGTCACCTCGCCGGCGCTGTGGCGGTGATGGCGGTGAAGACGCGCGCTCCCGCCGCGGACCAAGGGTGGCTGCATGTAAACTTGTGCAACTGCCTGGAAAGACTGCAAATTTAGAGGCAAATGAAACCAGATTTCGGTCGTTTCGGTTATCAAATTCTACTCGGACTCGGGCTGCGACGCGCCGACGCTGAACTCGAGGACGAGCTTGCCCGTGACGTGGCCTGTCTCGAGGAGCTCGAGCGCCTCGAGCGCCAGTTCGAACGGGTACACCTTGTCGATGACGGGGCGGAGCTGACCAGCGTCGACAAGCCCCGCAATCTCGGTGAGCATCTTGCCGCTCGGCGCCACAAAGACGTACTCGTAGTTGAGCCGGTGCGCACGCGCCTTGGACTTCATCGAGTAGCTCAAGCAGCCGAGGACGAACCCGAGGCAGCACGACGTGCGGCCGCCCAACTCTGGAAAATCCTCCAGCGCTTCCTACGTCGCGGTGTCAACGCTGTTGTCGCTGCATCAAGGTACCGGCGGCGGTGTGTCGGCGATCGAAGCGACAACGCCACCCTGCGTCACGCAGTCCATGCACTTTTTTGCCTACGACCGCGCGCTTAGCGTCAGGAGAGTTGCTCGATGGACTACCTCGCTAGTGCAGTCCATGGCCACGTCGTACTCGTTCAGCACTTGCTCGAAGGGCTGCTCCGTGTAGTCGATGACAACGTCTACGCCAGTGAAATGGACTGCAGGACATGGGTCGCCTGTACCTGCGCCGAGTCGTGTGAGGATGTGAGTCTTCTGCTGCGACGCCGTCGTCGCAATCGTGCCAGCCTACCGGTGCACGTCAGGTCCGAGCTTCGAACCTGGACACAGACCTTAAATACATTCTTCGCCATCTGCAGTGCGAGCGTCCCGACGCCGCCCGACCTAAGTCAACGACATTCCAGAGCCCAGTGGCGGTACGATGGAGACAGACCCGCCGGTTAGGAGGAACTTTTGACCTTCGCGCAGCTCGAGTCGGCGCAGAGTCTGCAACGCGACGAGCGATGAGATGGGGAGCGCAGCGGCTTGCACAAAGCTACAAGCAGTCGTGAGCACGAGAAGGCGCGGGACGAGACTATCTAGTACGTGAGCGAGCGTGGCTTCATGGCCACATAGCGATCGGCGACCGACACGTATCTACGCTCTTCGTCAAGTGCATGGACAATAGCGCGATGGCAGTATACTCGGCGAGCGAGCCAGGCCGATCGTGCGGCAGGCAGGCGTAGACTTCGTCGCCAATGTGGAACTGCTTGACGTTGGCGCCGACCAAGACGACGACGCCTGCAAGGTCGTAGCCGACGATCTGCGGCCATTTCGTATCGAGCACAGCCTTGAGGCCACCTTCGCGTCGCTTGTAGTCGATCTACACACGGCCAGCAGCATGAGCATGGCGCTGGCGACGATGGACGGACCGGATTGATCGAGGCCGCGTACACCTGGACGAGGACTTCCTCGGGCGCGAGGAGCTTCGCCTTGGGCAGCGGCCCCATCTGCAGCACGGTCGGCTTGCCGAACTTGGTGTAGAAGCAGGCTTGCATCGTCGGCTCGTCCTCCATCGCGCTCGGGCTCTTCTTCGTCATCGGGCTTGGCCAGATCTTGAGAACAACCCACCGACGAGTTGGAATTTTCATTCGATATTCAGCGTCGTGGGCGTCGACAAAAGCAGATTCATCGTGTCAAAAAGGGGTATGGCCAACAGCCTCTTGCGAACTTGTAATGCGCGCACCTCCAAGACAATTGGCTGCCGGCGGCTCGACACCGTTTCGCGCTTGGACCCGCCTAGCGCGCCCACTCGACGGCCTATCGCGTCGATGCTTTGCACAGCGGTCGACAAGACGCAGTTGCGTGGTCCTACCTACTCGTACGATCCCAGCCGACTGCTGGTACAATGACTGGCGGTCCGTCTGATTTTTCAAAAATCGAGAAATTATCAAAATTGTGAGCATCTCGTATGCGCATACTTGCAGAGCTGCGCTGGAGCGATACTGTACGTGGTGCTCGTGTAGCCTTGGTTCAGACAGATGAGGCAGACACGCGGTGAGAAGAAGGCGCTGCTAGCTGGATCGCCAAGGTAGAAACATGTAGACGCGCCGCAAGTTGAAGCGGTATCCGCAGCGTGCACCCCAGGTTCGCGCACTTAATCCTGTGAAATCGAATATGCGATTTGGCAGGTGCGACGAGAGGTTATAAACCCGTGCTTTCTTGGACGTTACATTGGAAGCGCCGACCTCCGGCGCCGACGACCGCGCTCCTTCCTCGACCTCGTCCTCCGCGCTTCCGCGGTCCATCAAGCTCGAGCCCCGCGCGATCCTTCCTGGCGCCTCGACGTCGTTCCATCAACGTCTCCATCTTCCTAGCTCTCGATCGACTTCCTACATGAAGGGTCCCGACCGACGAGCGTATCATTTCTCCCAAAGCCCACCGCGGGGATCCCCGACGAGCGGCGAAGGGCGCATCTCGCTGCGCGTGGACCAGCCCGTCGAAGGGTGCGAGGTCACGACGCATGCATTCTACCGGTCCTCGGAAGGCGACATTGACGACGACGACTTCCAACTCAAGTTTTGCTGGTACAAGTCCAACTCAAAGCGCGCTTGCGCCAACAAGCAATGCCCACGCATTGGCAACGGCGAAGGCAACATTGTCATGCTCATGGCCAAGATCGAGTGCGCTGTCTGCTCGCGCATGGGCATCGCGAACGAAGACTCGGGCTTTTGCACCCTCGAGTGCTTCCGCAGCGGCTGGGGCCAGCATCGGCAGCTCCATGACGTGTCCTCCAAGCAACAGAACCAGCAAAACCGAACCGCCAAGGACGTGAGCGCCGCAAAAGAGAAGGCGCGCAGCCTCGACCTGCTCAACTCGGCCATGGTCCCTGTCAAGGAAGAGACGTGGACTGCGCTGCAGGCCGCCAAGTACGTTGCATGCATCGTCCTCTCGTGCACCACCAACCATGAGCGTATAGGACGTACACCCCGACAACGGGCGACGTAGGTCATGTGCTTCGCGTCGAATGCACGGCCATGTACCGGTCCGGCGAAGAGTGCGGCCCGCCCAAGTATACCGAGACCAACATCGTTCTTCCTTGTACGCTTCTCATCTTGTGCTCGGCGCGGTCTTCTCATGCCTCTTGCAGTTCCGCCGCTGGCGCCGAAGCGGCCGATGATTTCAAGCATCAAGGACGCCGCCCGCGTCCGCTACATTGGCTCATTTCGCGTCCTCTCGTACAACGTGCTTGCCGAGATCTACGCCACGCGACAGATGTACCCGTACTGCCCGATGTGGGCGCTCAACTGGTCGTTCCGGAAGCAGCTGCTCAAGTGCGAGCTCCAAGTCTACAACGCCGACATCCTCTGCCTCCAAGAAGTCCAAGCCGATCACTACAAGAACTTTTTCCAGCCCATGATGACCGACCTCGGGTATGAAGGCCTCTACCTTCAGAAGACGCGCGAATCCATGGGCCTCGCCGGCAAAGTCGACGGCTGCGCGATGTTCTACCGCAAGAACCGGTACTCGCTTCTCTGCGTTTTATCGTCTCGTGACGCCACGTACGTAGGTTTTACCTCAAGGAGCAGTATTCGCTCGAGTTTAACGAAGCCGCCAACGACTTTGTCGCGTCGCTCTTGGCCAATTTTGACATGGCGTACCCGACCGCGTCGCACCACGAGCGCGACTCGTACCAGGCCAGCCTCTCGCGCGTACGCCAGCGCCTCGTGCGCGACAACGTCTCGCAGATCGTCGTACTCGACGTGCTGCCCGATGCGAATGGGTCCCTCGTGCGCAAGCCCGTGCTCCCGAGCATCTGTGTGGCGAACGTCCACATCTTTTCGAATCCGGACTTTCCGGACGTGAAGCTGTGGCAGACCAACACCCTTCTCCAGCAGGTAGACATAGAGTACAGTTTCTCTCGGTGGCTATATGATGCTAGCTGGAGCAAATTGCCAATTCGAGACGACTCCCGATCATCCTGTGCGGCGACTTCAACAGCGAGCCGCCGAGCGCCGTCTACGAATTACTGAGTCAGAACCACGTCCAGAGCGACCACCCGGAGCTGCAGCAGCTCTCGGAAGTCGTGCCCATGACCAAGTTTGCGCACGCGATGCCATTTGCAAGCTCGTATGCGTCGGTCTTTGGGACCGAGCCCAACTACACCAACTACACGGGTGCGTCGCTCTCGATGATTTGGAACGATCACTCACTCTCACGTAGGCTCGTGGGTCGGCGTCGTCGACTACATTTGGTTCACGTCCGACAAGCTCACGCCGGTCGCGGCCCTCAAGGTCCACACGCCCGAAGTGCTCAAGTCGTATGCGCGTACGTGCTTGCCCAACTGCCAGTACGTCTCGGACCACGTCCCGCTCGTCGTCGACTTTTGCCTCAAGACGCCGGCGATGGCACCCGGGCGGTATTAGACTTGTATAGACGCTTCGTAACCGAAAGCCTTTTATATTGAAACTGCTTGTGTTGATGAGTCGCCGGAGCCAGCGGCCGAGCGCCCGTACGCCCTCTTGCCCTCTAGCTATTGACAAGCGGCTAGGCTCGGATACCCGAGATCGCCACGTTGAAGCCGAGCTCGACGCCCGGCTCCGGGCCGCGTTTTCACCGTACGCACTCCGCGTCGAGAGCCTCAGGTACCATGTCAGATGTGAATCTGGACACGAAGCGAGTCTAGTCTGCGCCAGCTCCAGCGACGCGTGCTCGGGCCCAAGCGGTACTGGTACCAGAGCGTCAAGCTCGAGACGGTCTCGCAGCTCAGCGCCAAGAAGTGGAAGGTGCAGATCTACCATGCGCCGTGGCGTCGCAGCGTCGCCGAGTGGTTCGACCACCCGCGCTCGCGCTACAGCACGCCACCGCGGCCCGACCAGCTGACACCGACCGTCGTTGGGACGTACGAGCATGAAAAGGCGGCCCGGGCTGCGTGCGCCAAGGCGCTCCGGGTGCGTGACCGGCACAACCCCGTCTCGCTCAATAACGACCCGAGCGCGCCGCCGCCGAGCCATTGGAACACGGTGTTTGGCGTGACGGTCGTGACCGATGCGTTCCAGCGGCTCCCGCTGCTGCACCGCCTCGAGCTTGTCTACCTCGCCCTCCTCGACTGCGACGGGTGCGTGACCTTTGGCCAGTGCCGCAAGCTCAGCTACATTGGCGATCACGTCCGGCGACTGCCCTGCTTTGGCACCATCGCATTCGATCTTCACGTCATCTGTCGAACGGTCGCCCAGCACGACGCGGCGGCAGCCACGCTCGCGCTGACCGAACGTCTCGGCCTGAGCCACGGGCATGTCTTGAGTGCCGGCGTCGATCCAGCGGCGCAAACGTCGCTTCAGGACGTCGCCGCGCTCCTTGATGAGCCGCATGCAGCGACTCGGGTGCCTCACTTTTACCACGGACTGCCCCAAGCACTCAAAGAGCTCCTCGCGCAAGAGCAAGCGGCCATCTTCCGGGAGCAGCATGCGCTCGGGAAGGACGCCGACGTGCACACCGTCGTCGCCCGCTACGAAAAGCGCACGCGCGCGCTGGGCGTGGCGGCCACCAAGCTCCAGCGCCTCTTCCGACACCACTTGCACGTACGCCCAACTCGATATTGATAGTCGATTCCGACTCGACGGATGCTAGAGCCGCGTGCTGCGGCGGCTTTTGCGGCGACACCGCCATGCGATCACACTGCAGCGCGTGTACCGGGGCTATGTAGCCCGGGTGTTTGCGACCGAGCTCTTCCTCGTCTCGACCTTTGCAGCTACGCACATCCAGGCGGCGTATCGGTCCGTCGTCTCGCGCCGGGCAACAGCCGCGCTCAAAGCCCAAATGATTTTGGGCGCCATCGGGCTCCAGCGGCTCTGTCGCGGGCACCGAGCGCGCAAGTGGGTCTTCTGGATGCGGTACCATGTCGCGAATGCAATCCGGATCCAGCGCTGCGTCCGTGGCCTCTACGGCCGCCGGGTACGCTCCGCCTCATTGTCAAAGTCGATCCATGTGGCTAGCGCGCCAAACTGTTCCGACATGCGCTCGTTAAGCGCACGGTGCAAGTCCCGGCCGCGTCGCTCGTCCAGCGGGTGTACCGCGGCCACGTAGGCCGACGCCTCTATCGCCGCGCCAAGGCCGAGCACCTCTTGCGCGTCGTCTACACCCCCGCGGCAATAGCCATCCAGCGCGTATTTCGCGGCGGCCGCGGCCGTGCGCGGTTTCGGCGCCTCGAGGTCGAGCGCGCGATGGCCCGCACGCTCCAGCGCGCCTACCGCGCATATCGCAACCGGGTGGTGTGGGCCGATGTCTTTGCGCAGCGCCGGCGCAACCTGATGGCATCGCGCATCGGTGCGGCAGGTCGCGGCTTCCTCGCGCGCCTCGTGCTCCAGCGCGAGCGCCGCAAAGTGCATCTGAAAATGGTCGTCGTACCTTCCACGCGGCTCATCCAGCGCATCTTCCGCGGCTACATGGTCCGCAAGCGCCTCGAGCAAGTCCGCGACAAGAACGAAGCTGCGTGCGTGATCCAGGCACGTGATGCGCTCTTGATAGATTGATACTATTGGGCGACGTGTAGTTTGCGTGGCGCCAAGCCAAGCGCGCGTACGCCGAGCGCATGGCGTGGGAGGCCCATCTCGTAGGCCTGCAGCACGCCGCGGCTCGTACGGTTCAGTGCCTTGCGCGGCAGTTCCTCGCGCGCAAGCACGTGGCGGCGCGACGTATGGCCCAGCGCGGACGCTACGGCGCGGCGGCGGTCAAGGTCCAGGCCGCGTGGCGCAGCTTTCAGAGCCGACAGCAGTGCCAAGCGATGCGCGATCTGCTCAAGATCGAAGTCAAAGCGCGCGCCATGACCACGTTCAAGGCACTTGAACTTCGCTTTCAAATCTATCAACTTGATATGTTGCGGAGATAGGACGACCTCGAAATGGTGCACTTCGACAACGTGGACGCGTCGGCCGACCTCGCTCGCCTCGTCAAGTACAAGAAGAAGGCACTTCAGCACATCCACGACTTGAAACAAATGCGGGTGCGTCGCTTCCATTGGTCCGCCCAACTTGATACAAAGAAGCTAGCTCGACTGGGAGCTGCGCGCGCCGTTCGTCGACAACGAGCTCGCAAATATGACGCCCGAAGACGTCGGCCGCGGTTGGGCCGAGGCGTTCGAGACCGAGAAGGTCGTGATCCACTTTTCCCGGCTCTTGAGCGCCGAAGAAATCCTGAGCAAGCGCCAGCAGGTAGCCCCTGCGTCTCTTTGTCGGCTAAGTCCATCGACTAGATCCGCGAGTACGACCACGAGATCGAGACGCTGCAGATCGAGCTCGAGGACTTGGAGCGGGACCGCGACGAGTTCCTCATGGACGAGACATTGGAGCTCGAGGGCCTTCGCCGCTTAGAGCTTTCGCGGGCCCTTATGATGTACGAGGCGGACACGAAAGCGGCGGTCCGGCGACAGCGCGTGCGCTGGAAGGTGCGCAACGTGCGCCGCAACGTGCTCCTGCGCAAGGAGAACGCGCGGCTGCGCGCGCTGCTGCCACCAGCGTCACCGACCACGAACGGCTGCGTCTCGTATGCGACCAATATGGCCCACGCGCGCGAAAGAGCCGACCTCCTCCGCGACACGGTGGCGGCGGCGGCGGCAGAGCGCGCTGCGGCGCTCGAGGCCAGCGGTAGTCGTAACCTGCACGTGCTCTCGACCTACGACGCGATCGTGCGGGCGACGCGGGCGATCGTCGACGAGACGAGCCTCGCGATGCGCCTGCCCAAGCGCGACGTCCGCGAAGACCTCATGTGCCACACGTGCGGCCACATTGCGTGCGTCTGCCACTTGCCGCTGGCCGCGCTGAGCAACCAAGCCGAGCTGCAAGTCGTGGGCAAGCACAAGAAGGCGCCGCCCGTCAAGCTCGGTCGCCGCCGCAAGGGCTTCCACGACGCCAGCATCCCGCGCATGGACCCCAATCAGAAGTAGAGATGAAGGAAGATGCATGTTGGGGTCGTTGAAGTTGATCCCGCAATTTTCACCATTTTCACCATTTTCACACCTTCACGCCAGCTGGTGAAGTTGGTCATCGAGTTTGGGAGGGGATTCGCATGGTGCCAGCGCTGGTCGAGCCAAGATCGCCTGTGGGCAGCGCGGTCGTCGAGGCCTACGCGCGCTCGGCGCGGGCGGCGACAGAGTGCTATGGGCTCACGAAGGACCTGCCGTGGCCTTGCACCCGCGGCTCTCTGGCGTTGCTCATCCCGAGCCTAGCGGCCATGAACTTGCACCTGGCGCTTGTCGAGGCAGTCGCGGGGCACATCGCTGCCTGCTTCCGGTACACAGACCCGCTCGGCGACCTTGCGCATGGCAAGTCACCGTTCGACCTCGTGCTCGTCGTGGATGCGACGCCCGAGCCCAAGTACGACCAGGCGTTCCAGCTGGAGCTATTGCAGGAGCTTGCATCGGACGCGTCGTCGGACCCGTTTGTCGCTGCCAACACGGACATGCTTCTGTCGCGTCACAACGCGCCCGTGCTGCACATGGCCTTTCTGCGCGCGCCGTCGTCCAAGACGCTGCGCTTCGTCGTCGCCCGCCGTGACGGCCATGCCTATGTCTGGGAGTGGGCCCTCGAGAAGCTCGCGTGGGTCTTCCTCAATAGTTTCTGCTTTTCGAGCGAGCCTGCTGCGGACCTCAGCGCGTTCCCGACCTTTGCCGGCGCGCACGGACTCGCGTGGTCGGACGCGAACGGCGCGCTGCAGTGCCGCCACGTCAGCTTTGAGACTATTCCGTCGCTCGCCAAGCACCCGACGCACATCGTCGTGGGCCATCCGATGACGCTACACAGTGACGCGTCGAGTCGCGTGACCTTGCTAAGCTCATCCCGTGGGCTGTGGCTCCTCTCCGACTGCCACGTACAGCTCAAGAGTGCGCAGTCGCCCGTGACACACGCGTGTCCGCATCCGTCGCCGCTCTTCGACGTGGTTGCGTGCGTGCACGACGTCACAGGTGCGCTGCTGACGCTTTCCAAGTCGACTGGCGCCCTCCACCTCGTCCAACTTGAGAATGGCGGGCTCCAGTGCCGGCAACTTGCGTTCGCGCTGCCGGCGCCGGCGACGGTCGTTGCGGTTGCATGCCACCGGCAGTTCCTCCTCGTCACGACCACCGAGAGCTCGCTCGTCGTGTACGATGTGCACTCGGGTGCCGAGGCCACGTCGCTGGCACTGCCGACAGCGACGCAATACCGCCTATGGAGCACAGTGGTCGCCGCCGGCGTCTACGCCGACCACGCGTTCTACCGCCTCAAGCTGCCGAGTGCAACGCAGTACGCCGACGGCCTACCTTCGGGATTCGCGCACTTGCGCGACCACGGCCCGTCGCTCCGGTTTCCCCAAGTGGCGGCGGCCTACGCCTCGCTTCGGCGTGCAGCCGCCAACGACCGCAAGGGCGACGCTTACGAGACGGTCGCGGCGCACCTCGAGCACCCGGCGCTCTTATTGGCGCTGCTTACAGACGCCAAGATCCCAGACGCGATCGTCGACGACCTCCGCGGGCGCCTCGGGGCGATGCAGCTCCACTACAAGCACACACTCCATACCGTGCCGGCGGCGGCCGTGGCGTCGACGCCGCTCTCGCCTCTCACGCCCATCAACATGGACTCGTTCATGTACGTGCACGCGTGGCTGCAGCTCAATGCTGAGCGCAACGCGCTTCTGCAGCCGCTAGCCACGTTGCGGCCGCGCGCGCGCACGGCCGAGTCGGACGTCTCGCTCGACATGCAGCGGTTCCGTCCGACGCCGCTGACAATCAGTCGCCAGCTTCACGCGCTCTCGCCTCTTCAATTCACCTCGTGGGCGTGCTCGGCGCAGTTTGGTCGCCGGCTCCTGCTCCAGCTCGAAGCGCTTTTGCTGGAGAACGTCGTCTTCAAAGGCCCGTCGCCAACGACAGGCGTCCCGAGCCATTTGCTCTTCCATGAAGAGCGCACGGCCAGTGACTACCGCCGGTCGCCAGCGACCAAGCAGCTCTACTTCGAGTGCATGGCCCGGCTCTATGCGCAGCACGAGCCAAATGCGCTCGCACCTTTTGTTGCGTGCGTCGACCAGTACTGTCCGCGCCTCTTCTCGCTCGAGGGCCAACACCTCGTGCCGACGCGCCGTCACAGCCAGCGCGCCCTCGTCGCCCTCTCGCCCGTTGCGCTCGCAAAGGGAAACGAGCCAGCGGCCGTGGCCGCGCACGCCGACGTCCTCTGCCAAAGCGACGCGTGGCTCGAAGCTGCGTCGCTGTTGCTCGCACACGATGAGTATGCCAAGTGCCTCTTGCTCTACGAGACAGCGCCAGACGCCGTGGGTCCGCTGCTCTACTGGCCGCTGCTGCGCTACTGCGTTGAAAAGCAGAGCCCGAACGACCTCGTCGCCTTGGTCGAGCGCAAGCCTGCGTCGCTCTCGTCATCTCTCGTGCTCCGCAACCTCAAGACATTCGTGCCGCCCGGCGTCACGCTCGGCGCGCTGCGCCCGGCCATCGTCGTGCTGTTGCGCCGACCCTAACCCTAACCGGAATGTCCATGACAGAATGTTCCGATAGCGTTCGTTTGAGACTCGTGGAGTGTTCTGAGAAAATGCTTTGGGATGTCATCCGCGTGGGACCCGACGCTCGGTCCGTCGACCACCCCGTTTGGGAATGAAAACAAGTGTAGTGTGAAAATATCGAGTTGAAATATTGATATTCGAATACGCTTAAAGCGATTCGCTGGAGCCGCGTTCGTCCGGCGGTGCCTGCGTGAAGCCCAAGACGATGGGCTTGGGCATCGCGACAAGCCTCGCCATCGTGTCGCTGAACGGTTCGTCCATCGGCACCGGCTTGGAATTGATGTGCAAGAGAATGTCGCCGACACGGACGCGCTGCGAGCAGCTGCCGACGCGCTTGACGACCGGTCCCGCGGCGCTCGGTGCAAACGTGAGGCCGAGGTCGCCATCCCGCCACACGATGCGGTGCGTCGCGTCCAACTCCAAGATGGAGCTGGCGGCGTCGCTGTCCGAGATGCGGTTCGACGGCGGCGACGACGACTCGTTGTCGCCACTCCGAAAGCGAAGTACGATGGGGAACCCGGCGCTGTGCAGCAGCCGCGTGAGGTCGGTCGACGCAAGCCCAGAGGTTGCAATGTTGTTGACAGCGACAAGCTGATGGCCGTCCGCCGAGGCCGGCAAGGTGAGCGCGCAGTGGGGCTTGACGCGCTTGACGCACGGCGTCTTGGCCGGCGAATGCTTCGGGTAGTACAACACGAGCCCGAGCGGCGGCGATGACCAGAGTACCTCGTACTCGGACGCGCGCGGTGTACAGAGCGCCCTCGCAAAGCTGCGGTTGAGGCGCGCGGACGGACCATCGAGGAGCGACGCAGCACGGAGCAGGCGCTGCTTGCGCGGCGGTGCAAACAGCAGGAGCACGGGCTTTGGCGCCGATGCCAGCCGCGCGCAATTGGCCACCATGCAGTGCGGAAGCAGCGCATCGCCGTTGACCGAGACGAGCGTGTAGCCCGACCCGAGCTGACCAACCAGCGGCGTCTGGCCTTTTCCCGTGAGCCGGTGCACGGCGGGTAGCCCCAACGCCGGGTCCTCGAGCAGCGTCACGCCGAGGAAGCCGTCGCGCCAGACCAAGACGACGTTGCCCGACGCCGACGACAGTGTCGTGGCACATAGCGTCCGTGTCGACGACGGTTGAATCTCGGTCGCCACGTCGCTTAGCTCGCGTTCGGTGAGAAGAGCCGGCTCGCTCGGCGGGCGCGGCATGGGCGCGGCGTCGCTGAGGAGGCGCTGGAACGTCAAAGCGACAGGTCGCGGGCTCTCGTGGATGTAGCGCAAGGTCGCACTCAGGCCGTGGGCAACCGCGTCGTAGACATCGTTGACCAGCACGAGGAGGTCCCCGACCTGCGGCGACTCGTCCGTCCGCGCCACCACTCGGTCGACGACCGGGATGTCGAGCCGACCGTCGCCGGCAAATGTGACCCCGAGCCGATCTTGCAGCAAAATGGTCCACGTCTCGCGCTGCACGCGCGCGGTCGCTTTGAACCGAAGCACCTACGCCCACTCGACGCTCGTAATCTGCTGAAGCAACAAGTGGGCCTACCGTCGGAAGGTCGGCGCGGTAGAGACACCGGAACGCTTCGTCCGGGGCGAGGCCGGACGTCGACATGCCACCGATGCGGTCCAGTTGGTCGCCGGGCCGAATGCCCATGGCCCAGACCAGCGGGCGGGAGATACCGATCACGATGAGCCCGCCGTCGGTCCCGACCTCGAGCTGCAAGCCAGCCGGTCCGGACTGGTGCACGTAGAATTTGAGCATGTTGAAGTCGGCGCTGAAGCGGGACCATGGCTCCGACAAGTTGGCGCGCGGGCTGCACACGTGGTGGTACGTGAACGGGATCGCAGGCGCGTCCTCGGAGAAGCTCTCGGGGGCAATGGCCTCGTCAGAGGGCAGTAACTTTTTGAGTTTCGACGGCAACAGAAAGAGACTTGAGAAGGTCTTTTTGAGAAAGGCCGGGGGCTTCTCGGCCACCTGCAGCATGTCGAGCAGTGGCATGTCATCCTCGTCCTCGACCTCGTTCGTCTCGACGTTGTTGTCCGTCTCGACAAGCACGTCGTCGGCGTCTTTCGTCACGACGGTGGGGGCGATCGTGGGCCGGCAAAACGACCGGTGCAGTGTCTTGTGGTGCACAAGACAGAGAGACGAGCAGTACGCTGCCCGGCCGCAGCGCGCGGGACACGGGCGCACGACGGTTTGCTCGCTGCAGTTGGAACACGTCGCCCACTCGGCGGCGCTCTCGTTGTTGAGCTCAGACGCAGTCGGACTCGCGACCATCGTTGCCGGTTCTCGGCCCATCGAGTCGGCGCTCGTCAGGCGGTTGCCTTTTTTGCTATTTAAAGAACGTATACTGCGACAAAAATACGTGGCAAGCGGACGAAGCAGCAAATGGCTCGTACTTCAACTTGCAACCTGCTACCTCGAATGCCTCTGACCTCTAACAAGAACATTGACGCCGGAAGCTAGCGTTCGTACAGGCCATGTCGAAGCGATATCGTGCCCCAATGCTCGTGCCTTGCCTGGTGCATGGCGTTCGTCACCCGAGACACTTTGCAGAGATGTGGAAAAGCTCAAGTTACGCATGCTACGTGAGAGTGGTGTTTGGTACAGACAGTATCCCGGCTAGCTGTGGACCAGAGCAACCGACCAGCTAAAGTGGTCGCCGCAAAGATCTTGGTGCTAAGCGGTCAGACTCGTGTCGTTGCAAGAGATAGAATGTCCTTAGCGGTTTAGGTCAACCAGGTTTGGCACCGATCGATCACAATAAACTCAGGCAGTCCTGCGATGCCATTGGTCGACATTGTTTTCTATTTTGGCCAATGGCCTCAAAGTACCATGGACACAGCACCGGTGCTGGATGCCACGTGCGCGGCCTGCGGCGCGTCGCTCGAGGGCAAGCCCAACCAGTGCGTGACGGACTGCGGCCATGTCTTCTGCGTCGCGTGCGTCTGCAGGCAGCTCGGTCACCAGAAGAACCGGTGCAGCTACTGCCAATCCGTCGTGAAGCTCGTGCGCCAGCTGGACCCGCTCGGCCAGGACGCATCGCGTGAGAAGCCGTGCAGCGTCAAGTTTGCCAACACGACGTACATCCTCTATGTAAGCATCTGGAGCGTCCACGACCCGACGGCGACGCTCGCCGAGCTCTTCCACCTGTAGACACCATGACATTATTCGCCGACTAAGAGACGCCTTGGTAGGGAGAAGACAGCGCGGCTCATCCACCAAGGCAAGGTGCTCAAGAAGGGCGACGTGTGGCCCGGCGCAGTCGTCCAGCTCGTCGGGACACGCAAGGCGCTCGATGCGGCCGCGTCCACGCCCAGCAGCGTTACGTCCATTTGGGCGGCCACGCTCGCCTGGCTCGTCTGGTTGCTCGTCCTCGTCGCCACTCCGTTCCGATACCTCTATCTCTTCTTCCACTCAATGGTTGCGGGCCACGCGTACACAAGCCTGCCCTCGCAGCGCTACGCCCCCGTCGAGCCCGCGCCGCCGTCGGCCCCGACGTTCCAGGCGCTCGGCCGCGCCGCCGCACCCACCGAAACCGACCACGTCTAGCGACCCACGTCCCATTATTCCATTGCATAACTAGATGCGATCGTAGCCAAAGGTGCCAAACTCGAGAGCGAGGGCCAACTTGGTCGCGAGCTCGTCTTGCGTCGCGTAGGCCGGAAGCACGATTTTGCGGTCGCTAGCCAGCATGACTCGAAGAAGAAACGAGTGGTATGAGGACGTACCACGTGTGGGCTTGGGGCAGCGGCGGCGTCTTTCCGTCGGGCACGGCAACGACGTCGATGGACCACACGACCTCGTCCTACACGCAGTCGTACACGTTTGTAGGGCCCGACGACGGCATTCTACCGCGTGGGCAAAGCCAAAGAGCGGCGGCAGCGACGACCCGGACCAAAACACGAGCAGTTCTCGCTGCGTAGGCTCCGCCATACCGTCGACGACGGCCCAAAAGTGGCGGATCGTCGGGTGCTCAGCGCTGCCGTGGCGTCCGTACGTGACGTGGGCCTGGAGCGCGGCCATGTCCAGCGCTTGGTCGCCGGCCAAGACGCGCTGCAGCTCGTCGGGACGCAAGAGCGCGATCTCTCGCTTGGGCACAACATCGTAGAGACCCTAACCCTATCGTTTCGAACGCCTCGTCGTCAGCGAGCACGTGTACCACGCGCACTGCGTCGAGGGCGTCGCGGTTGCTGCAGAAATGATGCATCGCGAGTGCGAGCACGTACGCCTCCTTGTTGTCGTTGGTCACAGGCGTCTCGAACCCTCTTGGCTGGAGCTCGACTTGCGCCGTCAACATTGCACCGTTGTACTCGACGTGGTCGCACATCTCAAATGTGAGATCCCACGGCGTGGCAAAGTCGTGGGCCAGCGTCGCTTCGAGGCTACGGCGCAGCGCCGGGTCGTCCGACACGAGGTCGGTCCACTGCACCGTCGGCGCCTCCATCAGCACTTGCCAAAACACGAGCGGGAACCGCGCGCCGAGGACGATGCCGTGTCGAACGGCGAGCCCGAAGAGCCGGCCGAGGCACCGGTACAGCTTGTACACATCGCTGCCCTTGGCCATCGCTTCGATCGACGCAAAGGCCACTTGGAGCACATGGTTGCCGACGTCTTTGGGCGGCGACAGCGTGCGTTTTGGCCGCGGCGCGATGCGCAGTAGGGACGAGCTGCCCATGTACGCGACCAGAGGGAACCACGCCGTCAGTGGCGTTGGAAGCGAGCGCGGCGCTGCATCCGAGCTGGCGTCTCTCCGGGCCAAGCGCAGCCACGCGGAGCCAATGTGTTGCGTGGCCGACGCTTCGACGCGGCCATCGGGCGACAGATCGACCTGCGGATCGAGAAAGGCCCGGCGCACGAGCTCGAAAAACTCTCTGCAACAATGACATCAGCGGCTTCGAGGACGCAAGCACATTGGTACCGCAGCGGACCGACGCCGGCGCCGGGCTCGTGCGTGAACTCGACGGTCATGTCGCCCCAGAGGTGCCTCACCGGTGTCGACAGCACCTACAAGAAGCGTCGTGTTGTCGACGCTGTGGCAGGAAGCGAAGGGTACTTGCTGCACGATGAACTCGGTGACGAGTCCTTGTGGTGTCTGGCGGTTGACGTGAATACGGAGGTCTGTGCCCCGGGCACTGGCGTCGGCGCCAAAGTACGCAACCTTGGTCTCCAGGTCCACGAGGTGCCACGCCTCCCGGTGCACATACTGGCGCAGGAGGGCCGCCTCGGACCTACGCGCATGTCATTCTCCGAGCTCCGGCTTGCCACGGTGACGCACATCAATAGAACGTTGAGGGGGCGTCGAAATGGTGTGAGCCATGACAAGAACAGCGCCGGCAGCGGCAGCGACTCGGCCATACGCTTGAGAAAGCTACCGGGTCGATTGGCCTTGCGCCCGTGCGTTGCCGCCATCTCGTCATGAGAGCATCAGCTGCCGACTCGCTTCATGTCCACCGTGCATACCTCTCGGAGCGTGGACGCATCTGTCGCACGCACTTGCTGCTGTAGCTGAACAAGGTACAGAGCGCCAAGGAAGCGCTCGGGGTAGTCTTGGACGTGGCGCACCGCGAGAAGCACGTGGGTGAGCAGCTGCTGCAGCACGTCGAGCGGCTTGAGCAAGGTTGCTAGCTCGGGGTTGGCACTTCCAAGCACGAGAAGCATCTCAAAGCGGGCCAGCACGAGCCGCATGAGCTCGGTCTCATCCAGCTCGTATGCTTCTGTCTGAAGCTGAAAGATCAAGGTCATTGCTACACCATCTTCGAACCGACGACGACATGCTCCAGCAGGAACGTACCACTCTGGAGGATCACGGCCGTGAGGTCCTTTAGGAACCGAGACAACGTGGACGCGGCGACCATATCTTGGAGCACAAAGGTCCACGTATGCAGAACCGACGCCGACGTGTCGGTGTGGAGGAGCTGCGCCAGCAGATGCCTACGACTCTGCGTGGCATCGAGCGTCCATAGCAGCCACATACCCATAGAGCGAAGCCTTCTTGAAGAGATGACGTTGATCTTGCAGCGCTTGGCGCCACGCCCAGGTCGCAAACGGTGACGCCGGCTGCTTTGTGAGCCGGTGGAGCCCGCCGACGTGCGAGAGGAACGGCAGCATCGCCCGCGGTGTCACCTCCGTCGCCAGCTACGCCCGCATAGAATTCACAAGCGACACGGAAACGTACCTTGGCGTAGAGGTACTCAATGCCCTTGGCGGCCACGAGGAAGTTCTTGGCCCAGCGCGAGTGCACCGCGTATGGGCCCGCGTGCTGGAAGAGCTTGTCGTACCCGACCTTCTCACCAAATGCACCGAGGACGCCAACAGTGCGCATGCCCAATTCTACGGAGAAGCGTGAGCCGACGACGAGCTCCGCGAAGGATGACGCACGCGTGTCGACGTGGGTGGGCAGTGCGTCGAGGCCCGATGGCTTCTTTTTCGTTGGCGCCAGCGCTGACTGCACCTTCAAGAGCGTGTCTTCGAGTGCATGGACGGCCGAGACGTTGCGCGCGTCAAGCACAGACGGCAAGAACGAGTGCGAGAGGAGGAGCGATACGACCGTCGGCAGCAGCTCGCGACAGGCTACATGCAGCGCGGTGGTCTGGTGCGTCGCGAGCGTCGCCCAGAGAGCGTCGGGCGGCACCCGCGTATCGCGCTCGGATGCCTCGACGAGCACTTGGATCACAGGCCAATGCTTTGCTTCTAAATCGACCAGCGCCTCCATGGGACCCTTCGCATCCAGCTGGCACTCGTTGGTCTTCTTCTTTGTGGGCCGCGTCATCTTCTGGAGCGGACTGGCCTCGGCAAGCGCAAAGAGTGCGGCGAGAAGCAGATCGCCGTAGTGGGGCGTCGGCGCCTCCTGCGCCTTGGCGGCTTCGAGCAGCTTTGTCAGAAGCGCTGCGTTCGTCCCGCAGCTCGCGAGGTGCAGCGGCCCGTCCTGGCGTCCGTCGTTGCAGTTGATCAGTGCGCCGCGGGACAGCAGCACGTCGGCAATGTTGCAGACGTCGTAGGCGCCGGCGTTGGCGCACAGGGTGGTCAGTGCGGTTCGGCCGCTCTCGTCGCGACTGTTGGCTAGCTCTGGGTCGACCGTCAAGATGGCGGCAATCACGCTGATGTCCCGTCGGCGAACGGCGCTCGTGAGCTGCGTCGATGCGACGGTCGTGGCGTCATCTTGGCCAGCATGCAGATCCGGCCGCGTCGGAGCCGGCGCAGCTGGCGGCTTGCCGCGTCGCCCTCGGCGCGGCTTGCGATGGCTGCCCGCATTGTCGCGGGGAGCGTCCATGTCTCGTTGTCGTCGGATTCCCACGGATGCCACAACCTGTCACATTCGATTTAGATACTTCCTTTCATATCGAATAACCGCGTATTTTAATACTTTGTAGTATGTAGAATCCACCCGGTTATATGTATCTCGATTGACTAAACCAACGCAATAACCTGTCATAATCAATGCGAGGGCCACGCACCAGGCTATGCAATCGACTGTTTGCTGCACCACGCATTCCACCAAAGCTTTGTCGAGCCGAACCAAGACTGCGTCAGTTCATGTGTCGCATAGTTCTTTCTTTAAACCTGGCTTGAATCCACCGTGTATCCGTCACTGGCACCGTAAGGGGCGTGATTCTAGTGTCCATCCGGCCAGCTGCGTCCACGGATCTTCCGGCAAGAGCGTCACCGGCCCGTCGGCGCGTGTCCGACGCGGCCGACGTGGCGTCCATCTCACCGGGTATTTAGTTGGACATGTAGTCGTTTAGTTGTTGACTCGACATATACATACTCGGCCTAGTGGACAGGCGATCACTCGACCTCGCTCATGCACTCGCAGCATTGTGCACGCGGCACCTCTGGTGGACGGATGGATTGAGATCTTCTTCAAGCTGTTCAGTCAGTCAGTTGTTCAGTACCGATCCCACTCGCTCGTCGCAGCCGACTCGCTCTTCGAACCCCTGGTCGCACCGCAATAAATTACAGTGTATGGACTGGCCGTCCAGCGGTGCATTCGTGACGCTGGCGATGGCAGCCGAAGAGCTCGTCACTATCGCTGGCTTCGTCGCTCGTGAGCTTGTGAGCTCGAGACTCGCTGTTGAAGCGCACTTGCGCAGAGGTTTGACGGTCACCTGGATGGCGTGATACAAATTCGCAGAGCGATATATACAAGCCCAGATATCCAGCACCGGCTGCGACACCGCCTCTCCCGTGGCCACGAGATGGCCATCGCCCTCACTTGGTGATTTCGCCAGCATGATGAAGACGACGCCAGTGACGCGCGGTGTGCTTGGCACCAAGGTCGTCACGCGCGGCGGCATTGAGGCGGCCATGGACCCCTTCGCGCTCTCGGTCTGCCGCGTCCAAGTCGCCGATCTCGCCGACGAGCAGAGCACGTGCTACGCCGTGCAGTCGCAGAACGCCATCTCGGGCCGGTCCTGGGTTGTGTACCGGCGCTACTCGGACTTTGCGCTCTTCCGCGAGAAGCTCTTGTGCCACTTTCGGGGCTTTGTCGAGGTCGTCCCGAAAGCCTTCAACCGCATGATGGCCCTGCCATTCCCGAAGAAGCAGGCCTTTCCGCGCAAGGCGACGCTTCGAGCCCGCGAGGCTGCGTTCCTTGCGCTCATGCGCGCCATCCACGACATTCTGCTGTACCCCGAGTACTTCATCCACCACGACGTGAGCTACATGGGCTTTGCGATCTTCAAGGGCTTCCTCGGCAGCCGCCTCCACGTGCTCCACATCAATATGTACCACGTGCAGAAGACGGTCCCGCAGCACCAACTACCGCGCCGCGACCGCGCCTGCGTCATTCAGTGCGGTACGTTAGCGACCATCGTGGAAGAGCCAGCGCCGATCCTCGTCCTCAAGCGCGCCGCGTCGGACGAAGCCGAGACGAGCATGACCGCGAGCGTCGCGTCCGACGACGACGACGAGGCAGATCCGAGGTACGCGCCGGCTCTCAAGCGCAAAACGTCGTGGACGGCCAAGGCCCACCGCGTGCTCAGCGTCAAGCGGCTCTCCAAGAGCCAGCTCCTGCCCGCCGTCGCGTGATCGCCTCCATCGTCTCGCCGTCTTCATGTCTGTGTAGCGTATGTACATGCTGTTGCAACTGTAATCTATAGCCTTGTCGTCTTCCCCTTGCTACCCCGCCAGCGACGCCTGCGACCCGGTCTTCGTGTCCCTGCCACGCTAGCCGTTGTCCATCGCGACGTCAGCCTGCTCTAGCCCACTCCTACTATGGGGGTACCGCACCAAGAGGATCATTTTGGCAGCGAGCTCGCCATCGTCGCCGACGGCTATCGACGCTACCGCCTTGGCTTGCGATCCTCGCGGAATCTATGCGTGGTTCTTTAAATTGCAGCGGGTTCGATATTTTAGACTTGGCTACAGTATGCAAAATCGGATTCGGGGCTCGGAAAAATGGAATAAAAGATCCATGCGCTGGAACCGCCATTTTGCGAGGTCCCGCGAGCAGCGCAGATGGTCGAGCCCTCGCGGTATGGCCCGAGCTACCACTGCGTCACGGTCTCGCGCGACGTCTTCGAGGTGCGCGCCCAATACGTCAACCTGCGCCCGATCGGCGGCGGCTCGTATGGCATTGTGTGCTCGGCCGAAGACACGGTACGTCGATGAGCGCATCGTGGCCGCCCATGATGGCTCATGGCGCCATCTAGCTGCGCGGGCGCAAGGTCGCGATCAAGAAGATCACTGATGTCTTTGACGACCTCACCGACGCCAAGCGCATTCTGCGCGAAATGAAGCTCCTTCGCCATCTCGGGACGCACGAAAACATCATCAACGTACGACATCGCTGCGCGTGAATATGCATCGATCCACGCTGGTATAGATTCTCGATGTGATCTTGATCCCGCCCGACACGACCAAGTTTGACGACATTTACATCGTCACCGACCTCATGGAGAGCGATCTGGAGCGCATCATTAGCTCGACCCAAGCGCTCTCGGATGCGCACTTTCAGTACTTCCTCTACCAGATCCTGCGGGGCACCAAGTTTATCCACTCGGCGAATGTGCTCCATCGCGACCTGAAGCCCTCGAACCTGCTCGTCAATTCGAACTGCGACCTCTCGATCTGCGACTTTGGCCTCGCGCGTGGCGTCGAGCTCCTCCACAACGAAGATCTGACCGAGTACGTCGTAACGCGATGGTACCGCGCGCCCGAGCTCCTCACCGACTGCCAGAACTATGGCAACCCCGTCGACATGTGGGCGATCGGCTGCATCTTTGCCGAAATGCTCCGCCGGCGCCCGTTCTTCACGGGGAAGGACCCCTCGGACCAGCTGCACATGATTGTGCGCGTGCTCGGGTCGCCGACGCTCGACGAGATGCGCTTTGTGACGCACGAGGCCGCCAAGAAGGCCGTGACCCAGCACGGCTACTACCCCAAGGTACTCGAAACTATCAACTTGATACAAAAGGCGTCTCTAACGCATGATTGGTAGAGGTCGCTGCTCGAATTCTTCCCGGACGCCAACCCGCTCGCGATCGACCTCCTCGGGCGCATGCTCAAGTTTAGCCCCGACGAGCGCATCACGGTCACGCAGGCGCTCGAGCACCCGTACTTGGCCCAGCTCCACAACCCCGTACGAACCTTTTCCTTTTCAAACTCAAACTCAACCAACGTAGGCGGACGAGCCCGTGTGCCACGCGCCGTTTAACTTTGATTTTGAGCGCGAGTCGCTGGACCAAGGCGTTGAGATGCCCAAGGAGGAGCTGCAGCGGTACGTCTACCTCGAGAGCACTGCCATCCACCACGTCGAGAACGTCGACATGGGCGACGACGACGACAGCAGCTTTCTCCATGCGGACGCGATCCACTTGCATTGATAAATACATGGTCGCTTGTGTACTTTGGCGGACTTGGCAGCCGCTACCAAGTTTTCTTCAATAATGATAAGCCGGAGACCAAAGCTCAGACTGCAGCTTACTAGTATGTAGAAGGGGTGATTCTAGAGCTTACGAGGGACAAGTTGACGTTTGTAGTTGATATCACAGCTGGCACCGGCCAGGAAGGCTCAACAATCCGTCTTGTTCAGCTGTGATGAAATGATACACATTGTCCATATGGCTCAACAGCAATGGTCGCCTCGACATTGCATAGACCGCTGCACCTCGGGTGACAGCTTGACAAGTAGACAATTTTATCACTGTTTAGGAGGACAATGCAGAGGGTTGACACTATTTCGCGATGTCGTGCCGAAATAGTATACTCACTGCCGATTGGCTCGAAAGAAGCCAATGGCCGTTGACGTAGCAGAAACGAAATGCTACAGCTAGGCCGTCGACGCTTCTTGAGCAAGCTCGCGCAGCCGCACGACATTGAGCGCCTCCGCCCGTTCGGACGCGGCGATGACTGCGTGCGCCTGTATCTTCCAGGTACTTAGTAGATCATGCACTAAGATCAGCCTGACGCTTGTGCAGGCGCGCTGCCAGCGTGGGCGGCGTCCTTGCCCCATACGGCCGTGCTCGAGATCTCGAATGCGACGGCGCGCAACGCCTTTAGCGGCAAAATGATGGCCGAGTTCGCCGACGCCATCTCGGAGCTCGAGGCGCAGTCGCCTTCGCTCTCGTCAGTCGTACTTCGCGGTGCGGGCGGTCACTTTTGCGCCGGCGCCGACATCCGTGTCGCGAAAGCGCACTTGAGCTCGCTCGACGGCGGCTCGTTGATGAGCCGCGTCATGACGTCGAGCCTCACGCGGCTGCGCAACCTGCCGCTGATCAGCGTCGCGCTCATTGAAGGCGCGGCCATTGGTGGCGGCGCCGAGCTTTCGACAGCCTGCGACTTTCGCCTCTTTGGCGTCGACGCCAAGGTGCAATTCGTTCATGCCAACATGGGCATTTGTCCGGGTGCGTTGCCTTGTGTATGTTTGGATATGGCTCAGGTTGTTCATGCAGCGTGGGGTGGCGCTGCGCGTCTCGTCAAGCTCGTGGGGCGACAGCAAGCGCTGCGGCTCCTCGCCCGCACCGAAGCCATCTTTGCCGACCGTGCGCTGGGCATGGGGTTCGCCGATGGTGTCGCGACGCATGAGATGGACATGGACGCGACGGCCCTCGCTTTTCTCGCGCCCCTGGCGGCGAAGCACCCGCGTACGCATTTGATTGCGTGTTTCTAGCGGCTAAGGAGCTTGTAGATGTCATTCGCAGCCTCAAGCGCGTCGTCAGCAACGCGGATGATGTTGCGCTCTCCAAGATGCTGGACGCCGAGCACGCCGTGTTCCAGGAGCTTTGGGGCGGTCCCGCGAACCTCGAGGCGCTCAGCCGCAGCAAAATCAAGGCACCGAAGGCAGAGTAATCAGCGCTGAGCAGCAATAACCCTTTTAAAGACGATAACCATAGATGCTGCGTCTCGATTGGTGATTTGTGCTGTCTACCACTAAAATGTGGTTATTTGTGGCTACATGTGGCGTCTGCCACTTTGAAAAATGTGGGCCTCAATTGCTACTGTTGTAGGCCTCGAACGCCGACGGGAAGTAGCATTCCGGGCCCTCCAAAGTGTGTTCTATCGCTCAGCAAAGTTTGAGCGACTTTTCTTCCGACGCAATTTCACCGATCCTGGCATCGTCCGGCGCCGACACCGAGCTGGGCAGGTGTCGAACGTCGTACATGATTGGTCAAAATAGAGATAAATCACGCAATGAAACGATTTTAAAGATGTATTGTATTGCATATAATGCATATGATATTAAAATAAGCATTTCCGTGGTACCCTACCCCGCCTCACTCACCGTAAAGTGTCTATTCACGGATCGACGCGGGATGCTAGTAGTAACTTTAGTACGTAGTCCACTGACTTTGAATTACGTTTTGTGGATATCTTAGGCTCGACCCGTGAGCTTGGGCATCTTCTTGGTCGACGAGTCTTCGACGTCCTTGGTCTTGTAGTAGTGCGGTGCGATCTCGGTGAGCCACTCGGCCTTGATGGGCGCGACCTGGCGCATGTACTCCTTGGACGTGAACGCGAGCTCGTGGAAGACGACCCAGCGCGGCATCTCCTCGAGCTTGACGAGGCACGACGACGGGTGGATGTGCACCGAGTGCTTCTGCTTGACCGTCTTGTACGCGCCCGAGTTGTCGAGCTTGGCCGTGTTGTAGAAGAAGCCCGCGCAGAGCGCCTTCCGCACCGCCTCGGTGTTGTGCGGGTTGGACGTCTTTTCGATCTCGACGCGGTCGCAGAGCCCGGCGAGCTGCTCGCGGATGTCGCGCGCCGTCTTGAGCGCGCGCATAACAACAAAGTTCTCGTACGTCCACTGCGTCGAGTAGTTGGTCTCGACCCACTGGTTGTAGACGTTGAGGAGGCAGATGTGGTCACCGCCGCCGCCACGCGCAAAGTTGAGGCGCGCGTTGTCGGCGTGGACGGCCTTGTCCTTCGGGCGATAGAAGATCGTGTTGTTGACACTCAGCATCGCGCAGACGGTCATGACCTCCTCCGAGACGCCGTACTTCTCCGAGGCCAGGAGCGCCTTGGACATCATGGGGTCGAGCGGGAACTCGGCCATGCGGCGCCCGAGCTTGGTGAGCTCGCCGCGGTCGTTGAGCGCGCCGAGCGCGTAGAGCTGTTCGAGTGCTCGAATGAGCGACTTTTCCGGCGGCGGGTCCATGAAGTCAAAGTGCAGCAAGTCGTTGATCCCGAGCGACTTCATCAAGAGCACGACCGTCCCGAGGTTGGTGCGCTGAATCTCAGGAATCGTCGTTTCGTCGAGCTCGTGCTGGTACGACCACGCCGTGTAGAGGCGAAAGCACTTGCCGGGCTGTGTGCGGCCGGCGCGACCGGCGCGTTGGTTGGCCATGGCCTGCGAGATGGGTGTCACGAGGAGCGACTCCATGCCCGTCTGCGGGTTGTAGTTGGTCTGCTTGCAAAAGCCGGCGTCAATCACATAGCAAATGCCCGGAATCGTCAGCGACGTCTCGGCAATGTTGGTACCAATGACGACCTTGCGCGTGTTGGGTGGCGTCGTCTCAAACACTTGGGCCTGCCGCTCGGACGGCAGCGTGGCGTAAATGGGCCGAATCAGGAGTTCGCGAATCCGAGACCCGAGCCCGCGCGTTCGAAACAGTAGGAGCTCTTCGGCCGTCTCGATCTCTTCTTGGCCCGTCAAGAAGACGAGAATGTCACCTGGCGGCTGCGTAATGTGGATCTGCAGCACCGTCACGATCGCAGCGTCGAGGTAGTCGGCTTCCGGCGCGCGCGTATAGAGAATGTCGACCGGGAACATACGACCCGGGATCTTGACGATCGGTGCGTTGTCAAAGTAGACCGAGAACTTTTCCGCGTCGAGCGTCGCCGACGCAATGATGATCTTGAGGTCTTCGCGGTAGCGCGAAATGTCCTTGATCAGGCCAAAGAGGATGTCGGTGCTTAGCGTGCGCTCGTGCGCCTCGTCGATGATGAGGCAGCTGTAGCTCTTGAGGTCCGGCTCGGTGAGGAACTCGCGGAGGAGCATACCGTCGGTCATGTACTTGACCTTGGTCTTCTCGGACGTGCAGTCCTCGAAACGGATCGAGTAGCCGACTTCATTGCCGAGCTTGACGTTCATTTCGTGGGCGACGCGGGCGGCGACGCTCATGGCGGCGACTCGGCGCGGCTGCGTGCACCCGATCTTGCCCATCTCCGAGTAGCCGACTTCGTGGAGGTACTGCGGCACCTGGGTAGTCTTGCCCGACCCGGTCTCGCCGACCATGATGATGACTTGGTGGTCACGCACGGCTTCGAGAAGCACTTCGCGGTACGCGTAGATCGGCAGCTGCTTGCGCGACTCGAGCATGCTCAGGTGCTGGTTCTCCTCGGCCCGCTTCCGCGCGTCTTTGATGTCCTCGGTGCTGACGTTGTGGCCGGCCATCATCTGCTGCGAGATAAACTCAATCTGGTCGTCCATCTCAAGCTCATACTCGACTTCGGCCTTCCGGTCCTGCGCGCCGTACAGCGCGTCCTTCCGCGCGTTCTTGAGCTGCGTCTCTTCCCAGATCTCTTGCTCCGTCTTGACCGGGCCTTCGTCATCGCGCTCGACAATCGAAAAGTCCTCGACCGTCTTTTTGACGCGGTTGCCGTCAGCGTCGTACTGGTCGCTCGCGTCTGGAATCTGGTACGCGTCAATCGTGTCGCCCCGCGCCTTGGCCCGCTCGATCGAGAGGATCGTCTCCTGGAGCGTCCGCTTCTCGAGCTCCTTCTTGGATACGTCGTCGCCAAACATGAGCGCGTCGTCCTTGACCGCGTAGTCGACAAGCTTGGACATCTTCTCCGTGCGCATGCGGAGGAACTCGCGCCGGCTCGCCGCACGCCGGGCTTCAATCGCAGCGTCGCGCACCTTGTCCGCCACGGACCCGCGCGTCGCGAGCTCGCGCAGCTCGGCCTGGTCGAGCGACTCTTCCTTCTGGCCGGACCGCTTGCGCGTGCGATCTTCGTCCTTGAGCCGCATGCGCTCCTCGAACGCTCGGCGCTCGCGCTGGTCTTCGTCGAGCTCATCGCCTTCGTCGCCAGACCCGTGGCCTTGTTGCTGCTGCTTGCGCTGCTGGTACGCTGAGAGAGCGGCGCCGACTTCGACGGTCTCATCGTCGTCGTCGTCGTCTCGGCGCCGCTTCTGCGTCCGGTCCTTCCGCTTCCCCGACATGGTGATCCTGTTGGTTTATGGTTGGGATGCTTAGATTCGGCATATGCCAGGTATACCACCACACTCACAGCATGATCGCGATCATTCCTTTTGCCGCGCCTACTCTACTACAACCTTCTCTTCGCCAGCACGTATGGATTGCACGCTCTGCGCAGTGCGGTTCTTGGCGTCGGGTCTCGCACACACCGCTGCCTACAGGTGTTGCCACGGTGGCTCTTCAGCATGGCGTCTGCCGAATATAGTACACTATAAAGTACGTACAGTTGTACGAGTTTACTTAGGTATAGTATGGACACGTACAATGTACAATGACGTACAAAGAACAACAAAGCCGTCCGCGATCTTCTTTGCTGGCACAACTCGGTGGCATGGAGACCATCGTGATCGACGCGCCCGACCTGGCAGCTGTGTGGACCTCCATCGTCCACGCTCGCGCCACGTCATCCGCTGACGACGCCAGTCTGCGGACGGTCGCCCTTCATATGAGCCTCTTCCTCGTCTTTCTGTTGCCCATCGGTCATGCCATGGCGTCCATGGCCGCCGCCGCCAGTAGCTTCGAGCGCCGCAGTACGCTCTACACCGCGGGTCTCGAGACAGCATCAAGGATTGAACCCGCAACAGTCATTTGCATGGGCGTGGCCGTCCTCGTCCTCGTGTTGCAGCTGCTCTCGGCGGTGCTCGATCCTCTGGCCGCCGACGCCTTGATGTTCCACGTTGCAACAGGCCTCGTCCTCATCTCGGTGCTGCACGGAACACTACACCTGCAGCTGCCGTCTCAATTGCTGCTCGTTTTGATATTGGCGGCGGGGGGCGTCGTGTATCCTGCGATTTTGCTCGCCGCGTGGGCGGACCATGGCTGGTTCACCCCCGACGGGAGCGGTCTTGGCGCGATCGACATGGGCGGGCTAGCTGCGGTGCATATTCCTATTGGCAGCATTGTTTTGACCGCGATGCTTGTTTTGCCCGACACGCTCCAGACAGCCCATGTGCACGCTACGGACCCCTTCTCGGTCCTCGCGTCGGGCATCACGGGGATCGGGTGGCCGGGCCTCGCCCTCGGCCACGCGACGCTCTTTCTTCGCAGCGATAACTGGCTGCCAACGCTTGTGGGCATCGCAGTCGATACCATCTTGGCCTCGGCAGGTGGCTCGCTCGTTGGGCTCGTCGCGATCGTCATGGCGTTGCCAGCCATCGACGTCTCTGTGTGCGCGATGGCGGGGTTTGTCGCTGGCTCGGGCGCGACAGGCTTGGTTCCTCCGTACGTTGCGCTGCTACTGGGCGTTCTTGGCGCTTGCGTCTACTTGGCCGTTGCCAAAGCCGCGGTGGCTGTCCAACGCCTCCGGGTGCCGAGCGAGTACAGCAGCGCCGTTGCTCTGCACTTGGGCGCTGGTGTCTTTGGCCTACTCGCGACCAGCGTCGTCGTTCCGGACACGCAGCGTAGCGCGCTTCTCGGCGCGCAAGATCGGACGACGTGGCAGCAGCTCGGCGCCAATGCGCTCCTCGCGCTTCTTGCGATGGCGTGGAGCATGCTCATCACCGCCGTCGTGCTCGTGCCGGTGCGAATGCAGCGCGACCGCGACGTCCAACGTCTGGTCTATACGGAGATGGACGACTTTCGCTTCGACTCGTACCATGACGACGACGGATCGACGATTTCCAGCAGCAAGCCGCGTCTCAGCGAGTGGCTTTAACGTCATAAGCGTAAACATCTTTCTCGCGGATCACGTGATCCGACCAAGATCTGGGATCCTGTCATTTCCTTGCGCGCGCACGTCTGTGTACGCGATCGTGCCGACGTGTGGGACTGGCGCAGGCTCCGTGGAGCATCGAGTGTCAGAATGCGCCAAGTGACTGGTTTAGAGCAGGAAGCCGCGCTCTTCTACGCGCTCTTTCTCTTGAACTCTTGGATGGCGGGCTACTCGTCGCACCATGCGACGTGATGACGAACATGTCCACAGGACCTGTCCACACGCATAAAAGTTCTTGATGTTGATGCAACAAGCATCTGGCGTGATCGTTTACGCTAGCGGCGTGACATAATCCCTCGCCTCTGCTCGGCGCAAGCTCAACCACAGCGGTTCCGCGCTAGCGGTTCGCTGGCAGCTAATTTAGCTGTGTGAAGGTGCACCGACATATTGTGTACTCTGACAGGCGGCGATCGACCAGCTGGCAATCTTCTTCCATCCATGGCAATCTCCCTAAAGATTAGCTGACCAATTACCGGCCCGTATCCAATATTGCAGCCAATCATCGCGCGTGATGGGCCTCTACAATGCGCGTGTTTGAAGCTCACTAAAGATTTGTATGCAAAATGCGAAAATTTAAAAAACGGCAGCAGCCCCAGCCGACCTCATTTTCGATTTTTCAACGCGATGGGCAAGCGGGGCAACTCGATCGCCAAGCCGCATCCGGTGCTCGATGGCCTCCTCATGGCCGCGCTGCTCGCCGAGTGCATCTCGCTCTACTACATCCTCGAGACCGACCTCCTCATGACGCTGTGCGCCATGATCCTCGTCGTCGCCGTGGCCATCTTCGTCGTCAAGGCGACGTTCCGCGCAAGCGGAGCCTGGATCTCCAGCACATTCCTGCAGCACCTCGGCGACCCGCTCAAGAAGAAGACGACGATGAAGAAGTTCACGGACCAGTCGTGGCAGCTCGCGATCCACGCCTCCATGACCGTGCTCGAGATCGTCGTCATCATGGACGAGACGTGGTGGCAGGACACGCGCTCGAGTACGTCCCGATGATTTTGCTGATGATGATGGCAGGGAGCTCATGCATGGCCTCTAGTGTGGAACCCGGAGAGCGTGACGTGCGACTTCCCGACGCAAAAGTACTTAACCAAGTTCTTATACATCACGCAACTCGTACGTGCTTGCTCGCGCCTTGCGAATGCGGAATTTTGACCGTTTGTACGTAGGCCATTTGGATTTACACGGCCTTTTCTTGTAAATTCCTCGAAGAAATCCGCAAAGACTACCTCGTCATGATGACGCACCACGTCGTCACGATCGCGCTCGTCTCGTGGAGCTACGCGCAGGGGTACCTTCCCGTCGGCGTCTTGATCCTCATCGTCCACGATGCTTCGGACATCCCGCTCGACCTGCTCAAGATGGCCAACTACATGAAGCTCGAAGGCGCGTCGGGGCTCTTTATCACCGAGGGTCTCTTCGCCATCGTGCTCAGCGTCTGGTTCTACGTGCGCATCTACCTCTTCCCTGTGAAGCTCATCAACTCGGCCTTCTGGGAGAACCGGGAGGCGTGCATGTCGCCCAAAGACGCGCACGACCTCAGCATCTTGAGCTTCCCCGGCGTGCCCATGTGGTTTGGCTTCAACGCGCTCCTCATTACGCTGTACATTCTGCACGTTTGGTGGGGCTTTCTCCTCGTGCGTCTCTTGGTCAAGGTCACGACCCACAGCGTCCACGATACCGCCAAGGACGAGTACGAAGGCACGTCGTCCGACTCGGAAGCGAGCAAGGAAGACTAATAAACCTATACGCATTTGTACCATCCGTCATGCGTCAAATGCTCATGCGTACTGCGGTTGCAAGGGTGACAGCAAATGCGCTCCCAGAGTATGCTAGTCGCACGTCGGGTGGCTCTGCTGCGTGGAGCCCAAGGGTTCCGACTCAAGTCTGTAGGTAGACATAAGCCTCTTTTGGAGCATGAGCGACTTGAGACACCTTGGCGGCTAGGATGGAGCCCAAGCAACATAGCTCCGAGGCGCAAGTGGTGCGAGTGCGTAGCTGCTGCTATTAGGGCGCACCTACTGGTAGTCGGGCGTACTGGCTTGCTTTGGTCATGAGCTTATTGATCTTCTTCACAAATGTCTCGATCCAGGAGGTCCCACGAGGAGGTCCCACGAGCCCGAGGAATCGCGGCGATAGGAGCGAGGCTTGAACGAATGTCCCTGCCAGTCGCACTGCGCACGCACATCGTACGCGTGCACCTTGCGCTTCGACGCGGCCATGACGAACGACTTGGGATGAGCGAGTTGTGTGACCATGAGGATAATGCCGCCACCTGCTGCCACATCGTGGGCTTCGTCGATGCTCCGTCCTTGTCGTCTCGCTACCGGTCTCAGTGCAGTGGTCTCAAAGATCTCTATGCCCGATTCCGCCTTGGGCTGCCCGGCGCTTGGTCGCGTCGAGCGTAGCACTGGATCGTCCCGCGCCGTCATCTTATACGACTGCAGTGCATATAGGTCTATCCACCGTTCTGCGCTCACCTCTCCTCTCATAACCAAAACGTGAACCACTCGAGAGAGACATAGCCTTACACACCGGCGAGTGATCCAGCTAAGCTGCGTCTACTGACTCCAGCCAAAGGCCATACAGAGCCACATCAACGGACGTCTCCCGGAAGATCAAGTGCAAGCATACATCGCCGTGTCCCGGCCGAGTGGCGTTGAGGTGAGCTACACTTAGTGCCCCACCACGCAACCAACAGTCCCGCACCTCCGCCTGCTGGACCTGGATCGCTCCAGTCTCAAGGCGTTGGACGTGAAGAAGGCGTGGCAGACGACGAATGCACAGGCATTCTCCTTAGCAGGAGAGTGGGATGCCGACCGCACAGATGCACAGGTTGGTGCGCCGATCACTTCCTTTCTAGCTCAGATGCACACTGACCAAGCACGATGAAAAGAAACAAATTACATTCAATTTACAGCGTGCTCTCGGCCCTCTTTACTGGGCAGCGGTCCACACCGCGGCAACCGCGAGCGTCAACGACACGGACGTGATCGCTGCGCTGCTGGCCGCGGGTTTGGTCGTCGTCGCCGACGGAGCCGTCGTGGCCGTGGACGACGCGGTCGTCGACGACGGCTTGGTCGTCACAATTGTCGTCGTCGAGTTGCCAGGCTTGGCCGTCGAGTTGCCACCGGGCGCCGAAGCGCACTTGAGTGCCGCCAGCTGCGCCGTCGTGAACGTGTCCTTCGTGCCCGGCGACGTCGGGGCAGCCGTCGACGTGAGGGCCGCGCCGGCCGTCCACGTGCAGCACGGATCGCCGAGCTCTTCACCGTTGGTCGCGCCGTCGCCATCCGAGTCGAGCTTGCACAGCGCCGTGTTCCACGCTAGGCCATTAGCGGCAAAGTCCTTGCCAAAGGCGTTGCGCGCGCCGCCGCCACTGGGGTCGACGTGGCCGACCGCGGCCGTGCCAGCGACCTTGTTGCCGTTAGGGAGGAGGGCAACAAACTTGCCGTAGCCGGACGCCGACGGCACGAGGAGGCAGAGCGCAGCGAGCGAGAGAACCGACTTCATGGTGTGAGAGGCGTTTGGCAAATTGCAGAATGAGGCAAGAGCGGGATGGCCATCACGACGAACGCTTTACAACATCTGTTTTGAATGGGGCCCACGTGGGTCGCTTCATTCTATATAACTTGTTATTTGTATACGCGTGCGACTCGTATGACGTGGGGTCCCATCAAAACGAACGATCCAGTGACATTTGTCGCATAGATGCTCTTGCTGTTGTGGTCAAGTTCTCGCCCCGAATCTGGCGCGTTCTGTGCGAGTGCAAGCTGGTGCCATTCGAAGCACGTACTGTAGGCGTGGGTACATCGCGCCGGCTCGAGACTGCACCCGCCTCTGAAGAAAGCTTGGTTGCCGTATCCCTGTTCCCGACCTCTATATAGTCTCGGAGAACTGAGTGCTAGTGCATGACCGCTGTCGAGGCGCACGAGGTCACTGGTTGAAGAAGTTGCTTCTGTGTTACCAGCCTCGGTTCCAGTTTCTAGCATGGCGTCGTTCAGTACTTGGTTGGCTGCGCCATAGACTCAGAAATCAGGTCGCATGGAGCCGATGCCGCTCCTTTTTTGCCATCTGAGTTGCGAGATGACTTCGTTGGACCCGATCACACATTCCTGCAGCCAACGTTAGCGCCTGTACCGGTACGCGCACTCAGACGTCAGCGTACCACCGCTCCCCGCACATCACTACGGAATAAAAAGCCGCGTCTTGGCTACTCACCGGGACACAGTAGCGATGTAGCAGCAAGGCGCTCAAAATGGAGTTCCCAGGTCGTCTCGGGAATTTTGAAAAATTGTTTTCGTGCGAACTGGCCAGGCCATGGCGTCACCGCATGTGTTATGCTCGCCTGGATTCCTCTTGACGCATCTTTGGCCTGGCGCTGGGTGAGGTGTGACGGTGCTCGAGCCACCTTGCGAAGCACTGTCTGAGTCGCGACGTCTGAGCGGGAACCACCGAGGCTGTCGTACGTGCCCAGAGCACATAGGGACAGCCCGTTCGCAACGAACGGGTATCCTGCGACTCTCCACACCAGTCGTATTACGCTAGCACGCTCTGACTTGGGTTCAATACCGACAAAATTGTTCATTTTTCAAGTTAATAGAGGGCGACGACGACAGCCCCGACGAGGGTTGTGGCGGCGACGGTGTACGAGACGGCGCCCGACGTGGACTTGGGCGTCGGGTACGTCACGGACGGAGCCGCGGTATTCGAGTCCGATTTGCTGCCGCCCGCCGACGGAGACGTCGTGCTGTTATTGGACAAAGCGCACTTGAGCGAGGCCAGCTGCGCCGTCGTGAACGTATTCTTGAGGCCGGGGTGCGTCGGGGCAGCCGTCGACGTGAGCGCCGCGCCAGCCTTCCATGTGCAGCACGGATCGCCGAGCTCTTCGCCGTTGGTCGCACCATCGCCGTCCGAGTCGAGCTGGCACAGCGCAGGGTTCCACGTCAGCCCATTCGCGCCAAAGTCGCTGCCAAAGGCGTTGCGCGCGCCGCCACCACTCGGGTTGACGTGGCCGATGGCACTGACGCCCGGGATGTTCTCGCCGTTGGGGAGGCGCGCGACGTACTGTGAGCGGCCATTGACGCCGACAAGAATCGCGGCGAGGACGAGGATGAGGCGAGGCTGCATGCTGGCGAGTTGGGATCTGGCGTCATGTGCCCACGCCTTCAACTAGGTTTCCTTAAATGAGTACAGGGCGCCCTGTCAATCGACCCGGCTCTGCGGATGGCCTGTTCTATCTGCGTCGTCTATTCGCATCACTATCAAATCATCGCACAGTGCGCATCATCGCAAGGGACCCGGGCGTCGCATGGTAGCCGCGCTAAATTCCTCTTTCCGGGGTGCGACATGGGTGCGAGGAAGCTCCAAATGTACTCATTTAGAGGAATTGAATCCGACCAATCAGACACCACAGAAGGTGTTCGTCCAGTCCGGTTTCTCAACTGGACCGCAGGGTCACGGAGCTGATGATGGGGCTTGGACCGACGTGGGTGGCAACAACTTCGCTTTCGACTGACTCTAGGAACCTCTGCGCTTCTGGCATTTGATGCGCTTTTAGATCTGGACGAAGCTGCCAGATCGCTCGCTTGCATCGGGCAGCTATAGAGGCAAGTGGATAGGTCATCAACTTCATGACACTAGCTCGATCATTCAGCTGAGGACTGAGTTGAGAAGACCTCTTCTCCCGGCATCGTGCGGAGCGTTGCTCTCTGTGTGATTGAAGCTGACACTTCAAAATGCAAATTTACAGGGTTAACGGCATGATCTAGTCGTGCTTGGTCTTGGGCGCATCCGAGTCAGACGAGTGGCCTTCGTACTCATCCTTGCTGGCGCTGTTGGGGCCGACCGTGAGCACACCGTAGAGAAGGCGCATGAGGAGGAACGTCCACCAGATGTGGAGCGTGTACAGGGCTGCAATAAGCGTGTTGAACCACAGCCAGTGCGTCGGGCCGGGCGACGGAAACAAGATGGAAAAGTCGAGCGCGGCGATCGGGTCCATGCACGACGCGCGCATCTCGTAGAGCGTCGAGTACATGAGCTTGGTCGGGAAGAGGTAGACGCGGAAGTACACCCACTGGATGAGCGTGAACGCGAACATAAACTCGGTGATGAACCAGCCCTCGCGATTCTCGAGCTTGAGGTAGTTGACCATCTTGAGAAAGTCGAGCGGGATGTCGGAGATGTCGTGCAAGAACATGACGATGACGCCGATCGGGAGGTACCCGACCGCGTAGCTCCAGATGATGAGCGAGATCGTCACGACGTGGTGGCCCATCATGACGAGGTGGTCCTTGCGCTTCTCCTCGAGGAATTCACACGAAAATCCCACGTAAATGTACATGCCCTAATGTCATTCGCATCGTGAGCGTCAAGCAAAGTCTCTCAGATCGTAGTCGTACCAGCTGGAACACGTAGAGTGTGTGCACGGCGCTGCTGTAGGCGGGGAAGGCGCCGGTCACCGACGTGTAGTCCCAGCCTAATCGACAATCATGAGCACACGAAGCGACATTGAGTATACGTACAGCTGCTCGTGTCCTGCCACCACGTCTCGTCGGCCATTACAACGAGCTCCGCGAGCGTCAGCACCGTGTGGAGCACGAGGAACCAGCCTTGGTCGCAGAACTTCTTCATAGCAATTGGCTTGCGGAGCGGGTCGCCGAGGTGGCGGAGGTAGTTGGCCGAGAGCCAGCCGCCGAAGACGCGGAAGAAGCCCTTGGTCACATGGATCGCGACCGCGACGCCGAGGACGGACGCAATGAGCAGCGGGAGGTACGCGCTGTCGAGGAGGTGCACGACGACGCCGATGAGCGCAAAGTACGCGATCACGATCGGCACGTGGAGGAAGACGTTGGGTTTGAAGCCGGCCATGAGCGTCTTCGTCTTCTTCTTCGACGACCAATGCTCAAATGACTGAGGCTTGGGACGACCTTGCTTCAGACCAGCTGGCACGCGCCGCTGTTCCTGATTGGTGGCCTGGAGACAGCCCATGCGGTGCTTGGCGCGTCCATGCGTGCGTGCGTCGGGCCGCCCTTTACCTCGGGCAAGGCGTGGCCGTGGACTCTCGCGGCATAGGCTGGTGCGCTCTCGCCGGCTGCAAATACGCGGGCACAGCGGCGCCAGTGTGATCGGGATGGCGCTGCTGACGTGGAATTCGCTTAAGCAAGTAGCGAACCTCTGCCCAGGGTGGGATGACGTGGGCAGCGCCACGCTCGAGGACGTGGCCATCCATACGCTCCACGGCGCGTGAACTGTCGGCATCATCTGCATCGATTGCTAGCTAGGAGTCAACATGCCATGGAGAAAAGTACGGTGGCTATGGGGGTCTGGGCGTGGACGTGCGGTCCACGGCGCTTGACGTTGCTCGTCCGCCATCTGGCACAAACGCGGCCGAGACCGTACTTGAAGAAGGCAATACAGCGGCATCGGCCGACCATTACATGTGATTGCTCCGACGCGCGCCACTGCGCATGGTTACGTATTCATTCATGGCGGCGTCGAATGAATTTGGTCGAATGGTCAAAGAAGAAGCTCGCTATGGTCATGGGAGTTGGGTGCATTCGGGAGTCGGCTCCGCCCACCGTGCATCGCGGTGATGCGCACGGTAGCCACGTCTTTGGGAGCCTTGGGCCATCTAAAAACACACCACCGCCTTCGGTCCAAGCTGGCCCAATATCCCAGGCGTGCGAATGCGGCGACGTGTTGTGCCAGAGCTACCAGAGCTCAACGCTACGGTGCCTGCACAAACTTGATTCAGGACTCGATGTCGGCGTGGCGTGCAATGTGCGTGCTTTTAGCCACTGAACATCCGGATGCGGTGCGCAATCCACCGGATACGGGCCGGAGGTTGGTGGCGGATAAAAAATCGCAGCAGCATGGACGCCCGTCGCGAAAGCCCGCCGCTGCGCATTCGGCAGGTCACTGTCCGCGGGAACAAGCGCACGAGGTAGCCGTCGCATGCGCCTTATCGTCTTCTCATGGCTGCCTAGCCCCGAGATCTTTGAGCATGAGCTGCAGGTAGGCTTGCAACAAGAGGATGGCCACGCCCGACTGTGTAGGCTGCGTACGCTGCGAGCTCGTTCGCTGGCGTCGCCGAGTCGTTGAACCACGCCGCCGAGGTGCGCTGCGTTTTTGTGCTTGTGGCAGCATGCGAAGCATGCGTAGGAGCTGCGCAACCTCAGCATCTTCGAGTCGGTCGACATCTTGATCGACACTGGTGCGATCATGATGCACATGGCAGTGGATTCATTCGGTGGGCTTAGCGCCGGGTGGCAACCGCAACGAGGCGGACGTGACGATCACGGTCAAGGAGCTGGGCATGGCGTCCGTGTACGCCGGCGTCAACTCGGACGGGCACGAAGGCACGGCGGTACAGTGGTCGCTCGCTCATCGCAGACGTCATGAGGCTATGAACTTAGAACACGACGTGCACGCTGACCAACCCGCTGGGGCACGCCGAGCGCATTGAACTCTCGGCGTCGCACGGCCAGTTTGGCAGCGACACGCAAAAGGCGTCGTACCACAAGCCCAAGTTTTTGGGGCTGCCTCTCTGGCTCAACGCCAACGCGGTCAACGAGGTGCTCAACCACGACCGGTTCAGCTCGTACCACGAACGCTTCCGCGGTGGCACTGTCTCGCTCACGGACGACGAGTCCCGCCACGAGGTGTTCTTATTCTTATCCGCCTGCGAGGTCTAACTGTATGGTCGATACAGCTCGCCCTCAACCTTGGCTGGCGTGACATTGTGCCGGTCCGCAACAAGAAGATCCCGTCGACGTACGCTGCGTCGCCCAGCATCATGGCCGAGGCCGAACCATCAACCAAGAGCAGCATCAAGGTATCAAACCCACTTTAGCTCGTTTGGACTAACTTCTTCCTAGTATGTCTACAACGATGACCAACGCAATGACACGGCGCTCCCGACGGCCGGTCGGCTTTTGCGCACGAGGTACGACGTTTTGACGTAGCTAAGGCCAATACAAAGTGGCGTAGCTTGGAAGTGGCCGGGCTCTGGGGCGACGTCAACGTACGACGAAATGCGCGAAATTGCAGTGTATTAAATTCTGTTTTTTAGTTTGTCAAGGGCGAAGTCGAAGTGCAACGCCATTACCCGATCGGCCCCGTGGCGTACAACCACCCGATCCTCAACCTCTCGCTCTCGTCGCGCGTTGGTACGCAGCATCATTTCCCACTATGATCTGAGTCTGACGCGTCGTGCGTCACACAGGCGCGGTCAAGTCGTACGGCAGCGACCGCCACCAGCCCGCGCGCATCTCGGACCGCTTCTTCCTCGGTGGCCCGCTCACGCTGCGCGGCTTCAACCACAAGGTACTTGTCCGCACATGTTGACGTATTCTTCTTACCGGTCGTAGGGCGTGGGTCCGCGGGCCAACCCGGACGATGGCGGTGTCGCGACCGGCGATGCGCTCGGCGGCGAGTTTTACTACAGTGCGTGCGCGAGCCTGGGGTTCCCGTTCCCGTTGCCGCTCTTGGCGGTACGATTGAATTTGAGATGCGCGAATCTGATGGCATGTAGATCTTGGGGGTCCGCGGCCACGTCTTTTGCAACGCTGGCAGCCTCATGAGCTGGGACCGCGTCCTCGACGAGCGCGCGTGGATGAAGAACCTTTTGAGCGAAACGCGCGCGGCGGCCGGCGTCGGTGTCGTCATGGGCACGCGCTTTGGCCGCTTCGAAGCCAACTACTCGTGGGTGCTCAAGTCCCTCGCGGGCGTACGTGATATTGTCCTTTGTCCTCAAACTAAACATAATGTGTACATTAGGACCGCGTCAAGCGTGCGCAGCTCGGTCTCGGCCTCCACTTTATCTAGAAGAGCCTTATAACACGTCCGTAGTACACTCGTACATCAATTTTGTGCTACCCTAACCCCGAATGCGAATTCGTATGTACAGGTATACGTGGTGCGTTGGCAGCGAGAGCATAGACTCGTCCGAGCGTACGCTCTCCTACCAATCCAGCGGTATCCTGCACGAGACGACGTGGTAGAATCGGACGACCTCAAGGTCGCACAGGTCGTGGCGTCCATCCAGGCTTCTACAAGAGAACAGCACTTCTCTGATGCGACAATGGATGACAGCCCCCGATCGCTCGTCAGTTGAACGCAAGGCTGTAAACTGCCTAGTCCTTGACGCCAATATGACATTTCTTCTTCGTGCACTGTGGCAGCGCTGCCACCAAGGGATATAATATCTAGTTATTATATCCCTTGGCTGCCACCGAGCGCAGAGTTCGTCATTGACACACTACTACTACACAGAGTTGAGATGGGGCGGTGGTTGGTTGCGCCAACAAAAAGTACGTCCGAGATACCGTACACTGCGACCATCTCAAAGATCTATCTCAAAGATTCTTGAGATTCATTCCGCGAGCCAATCGCTGCACCTTGAAGGCGCCACCGCGCGGTCGCTCGCAGTTGAAGGCGGCAACCCTGTGGCTGGTCATTCTGGATCCAAGTCAAGTCGTACAACGTACATTCGTACACGAACATGTCGTACAGTACACCGTACAACCAATAAGATCGCCATGGGTGTCAATCGCCAACACGAAGCATGCTGCGTGCACTGCCTTTGCTTTTGCTCGCGGGCGCGGCTGTCGACGCGTGCACCGTCATTGCTGTGACCAAGGGTGCGTCGGCCGACGGCGCTTCGCTGACAGCGCACACGGACGATACGGGCGGCGGCGCCGTGGACCTCCGTGTGGCGCATGTTCCGGCCAAGGACCACGCGCCGAATGCAACCCGCCCCGTGTACGACTACACGGCAGGGTACCCGCGCCTCGTCACTCATGAGCGTGGACCGCACTACGCGCCTGCGGAGGTAACTCTTCTACTCCAAGTCGACGAAGAATATCGTGGTGATAGGGCCAAACGCCGATGGTGCCACTGGGCTTTATCCCGCAGGTGGCGCACACGTATGCGTACTTTGATCAAGTGTACGGCCTCATGAACGAAGCGCAGCTCAGCATCGCAGAGAGCACGTGCTCGGCCCGCACGGTAGCGTTGTCGTGTTCCTTCAGCTTGAAATTCATTCGACCTGCAGGTGGGCTGGCCCGCGAGCAAGCCGTTTGGCTACAACCTCTTTAGCATCGCGGAGCTCTCCAAGCTCGCGCTCGAGCGCTGCGACAGCGCCCGCTGTGCCATCCACACCATGGTAGTTTGATGTGAACTGGGAATCATGTGCCTTAGACATCACGTGTCTAGGGCAATGCCGCCGTCCAATATGGGTTTTACAGCACGGACAGCGGCGAGCCATCCGCGCCCGGGTACGACGACTCGTCCGAAACCCTCGTCATTGCCGACAAGTACGGCGAGACATGGGTCTTTCACGTCCTCACCGGTACGTCTCCGTCTCTCTCACCCCGCTGACACATTGATACATTGATATTCAGGGCCCCAGAACGCCAGCGCAGTCTGGGCAGCGCAGCGTGTGCCCGACGGCCACGTGACGGCGGTGGCCAACTTCTTTACGATTCGGACGCTCAACCTCTCGGACAGTGACTCGTTCTTGGCGTCATCGAACGTCGAGTCGTTTGCGCAAGAGATGGGGTGGTGGCACCCAGCGGACGGTCCATTTGACTTTACAAAGGCGTACGCACAGCCCGTCGAGGGTCCCGTGGTGCCGCTCTACGGTGGCCGTCGCATCTGGCGCATTTTCGATACGTTTGCTCCGTCTCTTGGTTTGGATTCGACGCTCGGGAGCCTCCCAGAGACGCCGACGTACCCATTCTCGGTCAAGCCCGACGCGCCTGTGTCCCTGAACGACGTCATGGAGCTGCTCAAGGACCACTACGAAGGCACGCCGTATGACATGACCAAGGGCGTTGCTGCCGGGCCCTTTGGATCGCCCTTGCGGTACCAGTTTCTGCCACAGCTTTAGCTAAATTGGCGTGCTTCTAGCTACGACTCACCGGCCCACGGTGTCTCGGGTGGGTGGGAGCGCTCGATCTCAATGCACCGGACGCTCTACAGCTTTGTCCACCAAGTGTTTCCAGGTATTATAGTCCCCGCTTTTGTTCCGACAAACAATTGCATCTATGTACTAGATGCTGCGTCACGGGGCTTCATCTGGTACGGTCAAGGCGCGCCTCATGGCACCGTGTACCTTCCGTTCTCCAGTGCCCAGACGACGGTCCCCACGCCGTATCTGCTCGGTACACAGAGCCGCTTTGACGCCGGCAGCCTCTGGTGGGTGCACGCGTTCGTCAACAACTGGTGCGCGCTTCGCTACGACGTGATGAACGCCGATGTCCGACGCGTGGCGAAGAGCCTTCAGGAGTCGCTCATGGCGACGGCGCCGACCATCGACGCGCGGGCTTTTGCTACATGGCACCAGAATGCCGCCGACAACTTGCTGCGCGAGTGGTGGGCGCTCGCGTGGCGCCTTGTGAGCACGTACACCGACGGGTACGCGACAACGGGCGAAGGCCCCGACGAGATGCGCGCGATCGGGTACCCCGCCTGGTGGCTCCAAGCCTCCGAGTACCGCGCGTGGCCGGGCCAGTCGTTCCAGCCACCGCCCACGCAGCTGGACGCGACCTCCTCGGTGCTGTCATCGATGACGATGGGTGTGCTGTACGGTGGTGTCGGCCTCGTCCTTGGCATGGCCCTCATGTACCGACTCCAGACCAAGCGGCGTCTGCACTACATGCAACTCGACTAAGATCTGGCAATGCCCTTGCAATATACCAACATGAAGACTTCAACAATCATTGCTTTTGTCTTGTCTCTAACGTACACTACGGCAGCTTGTGGTAGTGGTGGCGTCGGGTCGGCAGCATCGACATGATGGCGACGCCGAGCCCGACGCCGAGCAGCACGTAGAGGACGTTGGCACCCATCGAACTCCCTTGGTGGTTCAAGGAGGCCAAAAGCACGGCGCCGGGCGGTGCATTCTTGAACGAGTCGCCGGGCCAGAGCACGTACTCGGTCGTGTTGAGCCACTCCAGTGGGTACCCGTTGACTTGCATGTCGCCCTCACCATTCGCAATGTAGCCGTCGCTGTGCTTGCCAATGAGGCGGTACGCAAAGGCCCACCAGCCGTGAAAGAGCTTGGTGGCATACGCCAACGTGGCCGCTTCCACCTCGTCAACCGACGCGCTCTCCGAGAGATTTTGGCGAAGTGCAAACGCCTCGTCCTGCCACTTGCGCGCCTCGAGCCGGACGTCGGCGTTGATGACGCTGAAGCGCAAAAGGCTCCAGTTGTTGACGAATGCAAAGGCCCACCACATGCTGTCGGTGCTAAAGACGCTCTCCTTCCCGCGGAGGTACGCGTCGGGGACCTTGGACTGGCCGCACGAAAAGGGCGCGTAGACCGTGCCGTGGGGCGAGCCCTGACCGTACCAGAGCGTTCCACCGAGGCCATCGTCCGGGACCGTGTCATGACCTAAGGACATTTTGAGATCTGATTGCAGCGTAGGAGATATGTACCGTGGACGTGAAGCACAAAGCTAAACATGGTGCGGTACATGGAGATCGCGCGCTCCCAGCCGCCCTTGAGTACATGCGGCCCGTCGTAGCTACTCGAAACGTCAAGCACTGTACGTTTATGACGATGCGACGTACCGAACGGGCGATCCAAAAGGCCCGGCAGCAACGCCCTTGGTCATGTCGTACGGCGTGCCTTCGTAGTGGTCCTTGAGCAGCTCCATGACGTCGTTGAGGGACACAGGCGCGTCGGGCTTGACTGAGAATGGGTACGTCGGGAACTCGACCCGAGCGCCGAGCGTCGAATCCAAAGCCAGAGACGGTGCAAAGGTATCGAAAATGCGCCAAATGCGACGGCCAGCGTAGAGCGACAAGATGGGACCGGGCACAGCAAAAGCGTATGCCTTTGTAAAGTCAAATGGACCGTCCGTTGGGTGCCACCACCCCATCTCTTGCGCAAACGACTCGACGTTTGGTGACGCCAAGAACGAGTTGCTGTCCGAGAGGTTGAGCGTCCGAATCGTAAAGAAGTTGGCCACTGCCGTCACGTGGCCGTCGGGCACACGCTGCGCTGCCCAGACTGCGCTGGCGTTCTGGGGTCCTAAATATCAATGTGTCAAGTGTGGTGAGAGAGACGGAGACGTACCGGTGAGGACGTGAAAGACCCATGTCTCGCCGTACTTGTCGGCGATGACGAGGGTTTCGGCCGAGTCACCATACCCGGGCGCCGCCGGATCGCCGCTGTCCTCGCTGAAGAATCCGTGTTGGACAGCCGCCTCGCCCTAGATATAGTTGCATAAGGCGGTGCTAGTGTGATGGTTGAATGGTATGTAAAAGTACCATGGTGTGGACGGCACAGCGGGCACTGTCACAGCGTTCGAGTGCGAGCTTGGAGAGCTCCGCGATGCCAAAGAGGTTGTAGCCAAACGGCTTGCTCGAAGGCCAGCCCACCGTCTTGGCCGAGCACGTGCTCTCGGCGATGCTTAGGCGCACTTCGTTCATCATGCCATAGTCCTGGTCAAAGTACGCGTATGTGTGCTCGACCTGCGGGATAAATCCCAGTGGCGTCGTAAGCGCTTGGCCCTACATTCAGGCGTGAGGCCACGCAAGCGAGCGACATGTACCTCGACAGGCGCGTAGTGTGGTCCGCGTTCCTTGGCCACGAGGCGCGGGTAGCCGCCGTTAAAGTCGTAGACTGGGCGCTTGCTGCCCGGCGCGTGGTCCTTGGCGGGCACGTGCACGAGGCGCACATCCGCAGTCGACCAGCCGGCATCGTCCGTGTGCGCTGTCAACGAGGCGCCGTCGGCCGACGCGCCCTTGGTGACGGCGACGACCGTGCAGGCGTCGGTGGTCGCAGCTGCTAGCAGCAAGAGCGATGCGAGGCGCATGGTGGCAAATTGCGTTCTGCCAGCGCGATCCAAAACGACCACGATGTACGAGTACGAGCGTACATTCGTACGTACCGTACATTGATGTCTTCGCCCTCGAGCCCTACGCACTGCGTCACAAGTCAGCTGCAGCCTGTAAGCTTAGCGATGGGGTAGCTAAAGCACTCGGGCAGTGGCACTTGGGCCGAGGACCTGCTCGCATCATTCGGGTTGAAGTACGAGCGGACGATGTACCCGGACTTCAACTTGACTTGATTGGTCAGCATTTGAGTGGCTTCAGCCAATTAGATTGCGCGACTGATGGAAGCTCGTTTGCGTTCGTTCGTGACCACCACAGGTCGTCGTCGTCTTCCATCTGTCGCCGAATACTGTACGAGAAGTACCTTGAGGACCATGCTCGCTCCAACTTCTAGCACTTCTAGTTCTAATGCTTGAGCTGTAAGTTGCTCTATCCTAGTGTGTCAAACAGGTCGACAGAAGATGACCAAGTCGCATCTGTCAACCTGCAGAACAATGATCGACGTGCAAAGCCGTCGGAACGAGGAGCTGTAGTCTGATCAGCTTAGTAGCATATCGAGCGTGTATTCCGCAGTTCTTATTGCTATGGTACAGACTATTGGCGATTGGCGAGGATAAATCAAAGGGCGAGTTTGGCTCAAAGCATCTCGAATGGGCTTGACGGCGCATCGACGACGCACTCGAGGAGGAGTTGAATGTCTTCGTCGCTCCACGGTGGCAGTGCCTCGTCGTCGTTGAGGACATCCCAAGTCCATTCCGACACCGTCATCCACGTCGCAACCGTTGGCAACACCTCGTTCTTGGCCGGTGACGCGTCGTGCAGCACCGGCCACCGCGGCTCAATCGCTGCAACGGGACGGTGCACACGGTCTTTCCGGCGCTTGGTGTCGGCTTTGCGCTGGTTGCGGTTGTGCCGAATGCGGTGCTCTTCGCAGAGCGAGTGCACCTGCTCGCCGTTGTACTTGAGCGTGCGCTCGTTGGGGCAGCGACCGCTCTTGTAGCGGCAGCGGCCGCGGTAGCCCGGTAGGCTGCTTGCACTGGTTGTCGACGACGACGATGGCATTGGATCGCAAATCGGGCAATGGATCTCACCACCCGCAAGATACGCCGAAACCGCCAGCTGCCGTCCTTGCCCAATCAGAGTCGAGCTCCAAGTGTAGCTTTGAAAAAGATTCGAAGTTTAGCACGCGGGCGGAAGGCGCGGGCTAGCGCTCTAGTCGAGCTAGCGGGCACCAAATATTCCAGTCACTGTAGGGAAGGGTGCGACGCTATCGAGGACGTGACGGGCATGTTGCGCGTCCGAACAGTGTACAAAGAAAAGGGGCCGAGATTGAGCGAAGTTCGAAGGCAAGAAGTGCAATGTGGGTTGATCGCAGCATGTTCTCGACCAGGGGTGGACTGTTCACGGAACGCAGAGCTGTTGGCGTCGTGAGAAAAGTTGATGGCAATCAGGTCTGATAGGGCTGCCGCACCGTTCGACGGCTACTGACGAACAGACCACTTGATTGTACTCTTTTGCATGGTCTCGGAAGGACAGGATGCACGCTGCCTTCGTGGCAAGCATGACAACAGTCCTAAGCCATACGAGGGTTCTACGTTCGTTCCTGGCACTGGCACCAGCTACTACTGCAACGCGAAAGGCTGCGGTCCGACCTTGAATGCACCCAGTGCCAAGATGCATGTGATGGGACCATCGTCACGGACTGAAGCACGCACCTTGGAGGCGCAAGATAGGGTCACCGTAGGTATCGTTCATCGCGATCCCTTGCAACCAGCAATACCAAACGTCTTCATTCTCTTGGTTTTGAATTCTGTTTGAAACAGAATATGAAGCGCTGTTTCGTATCGGATATAAAACGCTGTTGTAAACAGCTTTTTCACCGCTGTTTCATGACCCGTTTCAACGGTTATCCGGATGACGGGGCGTCCGGATAGGAGAGGTGGAGCAGTTTTCGATCTTTCGGCCGCCGAGCAAGTCGACGCAGCATGGGCGACGTCGTGCGCATCTTTGGTACGCTCTCGCAGCATGGACATGTGGACGGAAGGTTGACGCTCGGTATATGAAGGTGGTCGACCGGACCCGCTCGAACGCGGACCGCCCAAGCGCGTCTCGCACTCGGTCGAGAACATTGGCGAGCACGTCGCTGCGTCCAAGAAGCGGTCGTCCTGGAAGTTCACGCTCGGCGAGGCCGACACGATCCACGAAGTGACCTTGTTCCACTCGATCATGTCCATGAAGAAGGTGCGACCTTGCTGCGTATGGCCATGCGGCGACACTAACCCCGTCGTGCAGGTAGTCCACTTCGATGGCCGCGAACAGTACATGAGCAACACGATGGCGCCTGGCGACTGGAGCGTCGTGCTCCTTCTCGAGAGCTCGAGCTCGGCCATGGAGGTGCGCATCAATGACATCGAAGCCGGCGACATTCCCAAATACGGTGCGTCCGCCTAGCGTAATCTTCAGGCAATGATACCGTTGGCCATAGATTTCCTCATTGATCGCGTGCCGTACCGGCGCATGGACGTGTATCGCCGGTCCAAGGCCAAGCCGGCGGCGCATGTGTTTGGCGCGTCGGCCGGGTACAGCAACGCGCCCGAGCCGCATCACGCGCCGTCGCACGACGGTAGGACTATGGCATAGTCCGTGCATCTAATATCGAATATTATGACGATAGCGGGCCTCCAGCACGGCCACTGGGGTCCGTCGGGTATGACGCAAGAGACGAACCGACCGCCGTCGCCGCAAGAGTTGCCGTCCAAGCCCAAGCCAGTCGCGCCCCAGCACGAAGTCAATCTTCTCGACACGTCGGCGCCAGACGTGTCGGTCTCGGCCCATGCGATCGTGTTCGATCCTTTTGTGACGGTTCGCGACAGAGAGCGTCTCTCATGAAGCCAGATTTATACATCGTAGGGAGCGCCACCGGCCAAGTCTGCGGCGCAAGCACCAGCAAGCGCCGACCTCATGGGTCTCTTCTCGCAGCCAACGTATGGTTGTGTAGAGTCTTTGACAAGCTCACGCATCTGTGGCGTAGACCTTCGCAGCAGCAGCCGCAAGTAATCGGTGGAAGTAGCTTTGGCCAGCAAGGCTTTGGCCAGCCTCCTCAACAAGGCTTTGGCCAGCCTCCTCAGCCAGCCTACGGTCAGCCTCCTCAGCCAGCCTACGGACAGCCTCCTCAGCCAGCCTACGGACAGCCACCTCAGCCAGCCTACGGACAGCCTCCTCAACCGGGCTTTGGCCAGCCACCGGTGGGCAACTTTGCGTACGTACTGCTCTGGGCCCAAGACAGGGTCTTCGACGTGTGAATAGGACGGCGCCGATGAACAGAGCACCGGCCATGCAGCAGGGATACCAAGGGTTTCCTCCTGCGCCAGCCCCGACCCCTGGTTTTGGGTACCCGAATACTGCGTACCCTCCGGCGCCCTCGCAGCAGGCGTCGGCCTTTGCGTTTATGCAGGCGCCGCCAGCGCCAGCCGCCTACGCGAATGCGCCGCGACCGGCCAACTACCGGACGCCGCCGGCCAACTTGAGCATCTCGAGTCTCATGGACCCGCATCACGTCAACAACGCAGCGCCGCGCGGCCCTTCGAACGGGCAGAACATCAACATCAATGCGTTTGCAGGCATGCGTTGAGGTAGAAGCGATGCTGGCAGCTATCACACTATACCTGGCGTTTCGATTCATAACACTAATCCACCGAGAAAATACTAAGAGATGCTACAGCCAGTGAAAGGGAGTACACGTCGTCGTCTGCTCGTTCAGAGTCACTTGCCGCCATCCTATCTTTGGTGACGCTGAATGGGCCCCCGCCTTTGTCATAGTAAGGGCATAGATCCACCTGAACTAGTTGTTGCTTGGTTGATCTGAGCGTTCTTCGAGTCGAACAGAATCATTCCTTTGCGACTTCAAGCCTCGTCCCAGGCGCTCGTAGAGCAGGTCGTGGCCATGCATCGAACGAGCGATCGCAATTCTGCGGAAGAGACAGACCACCGCCTCGTGTACTAGTACCTACTACAGTGCTTCTTACCACCTTGCGCCAACTGTGGCAATACCACCTTCCTTGGCTTCTTCATGCAGCATCCCATTATCCACCTGCTGATGCCGCTATGAGCCATTTGGGATTCAGACGACCTTTTTTAGATTGCTTTCAGTTAATGTACCTTGCAATAATTGGTTGTTCATCGGATGCCGCCTTATCAAGATTGCTACAGGTTTGTATCCCAATCAAAGATCCCGACAACACCGGCTCGATGGTCGAACGAACGACGAAAATCACTTAGCGGCTGGTCACGGCAACTGAATGGTGCGCTCGTCCAGGACGATGCTTGACGCATGCGGAAGCGAGGTCTCAAGTATCGCTGCAGTCACTCTTCCTTTTGCCGCGCGTCGCTAACCATGTCTTCTCAAGCCCCTTCTTCGTGCCTCCCCGAGACGCCACCGCGCTCGACGATGGCCGATGCCATTATCATCCACGACGAGTTTGGCATCAACGACGCCGCTGCTCCTGCACAGAAGCGCCGCCGCAGCCGCGCTCTCGGTCTCGCTGGCGTTGTGCTGGTCACGGCAGGCGTCACGCTGGCCGTGGTCGTGACACATTCACCGAGCGATCCGGCGCTGACCGAAACCCGCACCGGTGTCTTTGTCGCGACGAACAGCGGCGGTAGCACGACGCCGCCAGTGCCGGACCCGACGTTCATGTCGCACAACTTTTCGCTCGACCCGCACCCGCACGGAGACGTCGAGGGCATGCGACCCGATATCACGCGGCCGCCGTCCAAGCACACGGACCGCTGGAACTCGCAGCTTGGTGACGTGACGCCAGAGCCAACACACGCGGGTATGCCGCGGTCGGGCACGCCGTGCGCGTCTCGCACGACGTCGATCCCCCAGAGCCGAAAGCCGCGAACGACCTACCCGACACCGGCACCGACGCAGCCGACACCTGCACCAACACAACCAACGTCCGCGCCGACGCAGCCTAGCGTGTACCCGACACCCGCGCCAACGCAGCCCAGTGTCTACCCGACGCAGCCTATCGTGTACCCGACGCCGCCGCCGGTCTATACGACGAGCCCGCCAGTGCCAACGTCGGCGAATCCTACGGTGCAGCCTACGGTGACGCCCACGTCGCAACCCACCTCGCAGCCGACGTCATTGCCAACTTCGACACCGTCGCCCACCAACCCACCAGCACCGACATCGACTAACGCGCCAGCACCGACGTCGACGCCGTCGCCCAGCACACGGCTACCCACAACGCAGCCGAGCCCGAAGCCCAGTCCGCAACCCCAACCGTCTCCGTCGCCGTCGCC